CGTAGCACCCAACAGCATGCATCTGACCAGGTCCTCTCAAGATTCAAGCTGGTTAAAAACTCATCTACCGTCTTGTACCACTCCAATGGTGCGTCAACCAGTCCGTAGCATGCTCTCCGGAGTCTCGTGATAGTCTCCGGGGGAACCCCTAGTGCAGCACAAATCTCGGGACAAGGGATGCAGTACAACTTGTCCGGATACTCGCGTCCCTGGAGAAATGCTCCTGAGACGTCGCCCTTCGCGATGCGCCACTTCTTTGTGGCAGCCAGGGACAAGATAAATTGTCGCGTCTGCCTCGTCATGACCGGCGATGTTGTAGACCGGTGTTCATAAGCCGGGTCTTGATACCCCAATAAGACCGCTCTGGCCTTCGGCTTGACCGAGCCGTCGTCCTTTTGCTTCCAAGTCAGGATCCAACGCATGCCGACGGCCTGCGCCTTTGAGGGCCGTAACTCTGGCGGCAGGGTTTCGAATGCTTTGGCTGCCACAAAGTTCTTAATCTCTACAGCCTTGGCGCCATCAAATAGCGCGCGCTCCTCTGGCGTGAGGCGCTTCTCGCTGACTTCCACTGCTCGCTTCTTAATGTTACTCAAGAAATAAGCTGATAAATCACGGCATGCCAGATCCCAACCTCGGTGAGTCTCCGGCATAGTCAAAGCGATCTCCACGGCGGCACTCTCATGCTGCCAATGGTCACTTTCTTCACACCAGAGCGCCTCATTGACTTGATTCCACCATAACTCTCCTTGCTCCGTGGCTGCACGGCTGTAGGGTCCTGAGCGACTGCTAGAACTCGGTTCCCCCGTGCGTGGGGGCACTCGCCCATAGCTGCTCTCCTCGGCCGTCTCACTCAGGGGTCGCTTCTGGCGGATCCTGTGTCGGGCTGGCTGTTCTTCTCGTTCCGCATCCTGTGCACGCAACCACTCACTTTCGGGTACAGCCTCTGTCACGTCTTGGTATCTGTTACCTCCAATCTCTTCGGCTACACGAGTGTATGTCCAGGGAACTGGTTCAACTTGGCTCAGACTCTCCACTAGTTCTTCCCGTGCGGAAGCTCTGCGCACTTGTTCGGCTGCGCATTTGATGAGGCTTCTGCCACGCACGAGCCACACTGAAGATGATGGCCGTAACAAGCCATCATCGTCCTTCTTGGTTTCCGTGGCCAAGATACGGGCCGGTCCCAAGAACATGCCATGTCGGTCTCCTGGTTCTCGGCGGGACTTCCCGCTCACTTGGGACCTCCAGAAGAACACCAGCTCGCCGGGTTGAAAGTCCAACACGCGTCTTCCTCGGGAATGTGTGGCGCGAGCTAACCTTTGCTTGGCTTGCCACTCCACCAAGGCTACCTCAGCGGTCTTCTGTCTTGCCACATTCCGATGAAATTCCCCAGTGGGATTCTCGACCAGTAGCTCGGGTGGTGGTGCCTTGCCAGAAAAGTCCAGTCGTCCCGTAGCATCCGCGCTTTGTCCTAAAGCGTGTTGGGCTGGTGAAAAACCTCTGATGACTTCTCTCTGGTTGAAGGTCCTTATGGCTACGGCTAAGGCCTCCCGGGTATCCAAATCCGGTTCATCGCTCAGAAGCTTCTGCATTAGCTCTTTGACTCCTTGAATGGCCTGCTCCACCACACTCACTTTCCAGTGCGCCTCGCCTGGTACTATGTCTAAAAATATTTGGTGTCGATCGCAGAATTCCTCGACAGCTTGTCCTCTAAATGCTCCAGCTGGGTCCAGTCTTAAGGTCCTGGGGGCTCCAAAGTAGGACATCCATCCGTCCCTCAAATACTCTAGGCACGCAGCGGCTGTGGGCTGTTGCTTCGAGCCTGAAGTAAGCACGCGAGCTGCTTTGAAGCGGGAGCCTTCATCCACTAGAATCATAAACTGCACATGTTCCTTCTTGTGTTGATTGTAGTAGTGTCCAATATCGGCACTCACGCAGTGCCACTTTGGGGGAAGTGGTTCAAGGGACGCAAGGTGTCGGGGTTGAACTCGTCGTCGCTCGTTACACACCGAGCACTGAAACTCGCTAGCCATCTTAAGGACTTCAGGGTGAGTTCCTCGGCGTCGAAGGGCTTCACACAGGTGCTTCACACTCCCATGTCCCGTCGCAGCATGCAACATGTACAACTGCTTCTGCACACGCTCTTTCTCTTGCTTCGTCAACGGCCTATCGTTCACGGTCCAAGCTTGTCTCTTATTGTGACCTGGCACCTGGAACCCAAGCTGACACAACTGTTGTCTACACGCGGGGCTCAGCAGCTGATGACTCCGACTTACGTAACATGATACCACGTATCTCTCACCACTCCAGACCTCGGTCCCATGCCAGGCCTTGGGGTTGAATCGTACCACCTGGCCCTTGGTCGCATAGACCTCGCCCTCTCGTTCGCTTCCATCTGGCAGTACCTTGGATACGGGCTTTCTGATTGGTTCTGTTCCCATGCGTTCCACCCAGAGCTGGCCTCCTGTGTAGGAACCTACTCCATGAACGCAGTTTTCGTAGTGATTGTCGTTGTGGCAATCCCTGTGCAGAGGCATATGCATATTTCTAGAAATCACAAACGACGTGTACTTCTGACCCTCGGGTAATATGCCTTGCAAGTACTTCTGGAAATACCGTTGACAGTTCGGAAGGTCCGTGGTAAGCTTGGTCACTCCATGGAAAGCACCATGTGCATACAAGCCGAACGTGAAATAACCCTTTTTCTTCTGGGGGTCCTGGGGTCCTTGGGCCTGCCGTCTACTTCGAGATGTGGGCTCTGGCAGGGCCTCTATCACTTCTTTGCAGTCCTTTGGCTGGAACCTCTGGGCCTGTAGCAGTTGTTCGGCGATGGATTCTGCGTGCGCTAGCTCCTCTCGGCTGTAGAGGGCCTCTTCTTCTCCGGTCTGGGTGTCGGGGGAGTCCCATGCTTCGTGGTTCTCGGGTCCTGTTTGGTACCTTGGGTCTTCGGTCCTCAACCCTGAAACCTCCTCTAACTTTTCCGCAGACTCCAACCCTTCACCTGCCTGAACTTGGGATCCTGTCAAACACATCCCACACATCACCTGATCCCGACCTGCGCAACTCCTCTGGTCCTCGCACACACACCGAAGTCCTGTGCCAAATGCCTCTGGCAACTCAGTTTGTCCCTGAAGCTCCCTCAGAAGACTCACATGATTGTGTTCCTGCACCATGACTTGTCCTATTCTCTTGACAAACTCATCGGTTAAGAGACCACTCTCTGGAGTGGTCCTGTCCTCGCTCTGTGAATGCTCATAGCCCTTGGCACACATGCAGGGAGCGTGCAGCACATCGTAGAGGCGGCTGTGCGTCGTACACACCTTCCAGCCGCGCCTGATCAGCCGATTATCGGTCCCTCTTTGGTTCATGCGGCATCCCTTAGTGACGCAGGTCCTTAGTGAGTGCTGCTTGATCATCTTCTGCATTACGGGTAACCTCCACGCGTTGCTATGCTCGGACATCAAGAGAGACACATGGATTCCATGCTGAATACACACCGCGACCACAACACTGCAACCTATCAAGTACCTCATGGCATGCTGCTTCTTACTTTCCAACTCACTATCAGTCGTCTGCTTGTTCGCTTTTTGCCATGGACTAAATCCCTGAACTGGGGGCTGTATCCACACATGCAGCGGACGCATCTGGTTCAGTTTTTCCAGAAAACCACGTATCCCCTCGTTCGTACTCAGATCGCTGCCGGTACACTCGGCACTGCTAAGAGCGGCACCGGGTCTTCCGACAACCTCTCGCACATGCTGCGCCAGCTGACTCTCCGGTGAGCTGGTTACTTCAAAAAGGTAGGGTCGCATCTGAGTCACCACTTCCTGAAACATCTGTGGCACTAGGGTCCAGGCCTGATGCTCAACCAACGACGCAGTTTCTTTACTAAGGTAGGCGCTGGGTTCCTCAGCAGACGAATCATCTAGGCGTTCCCTACTTATATCTGCATCTGAGGCTGCCTCCCTCACGGCGGACTCTGCTCGTTCGGCGTCTTCACCACCTGGTAGGAGTCGTCCGAGACCTCCGACTTCGGTGCCCGCACTTCCTTTCGCGGGCCTTCTGCTCGCATCTCCTGCACCTCTTGCTGCAGGTTCTGTATGGTCTCCATCATGTTCTGGAGGATCGCGGTGTTCGGGTCGATGGACGACCGTGCCGGAGACTCCAGCGATGGAGCGGCCGACTTTGGGTATCCTCGCATGTTCTTCTTGGGTTCGATGACTCGGATCATCTCCTTCTCGGCTTGCTCCTGTGACTCCAGCCAATTGGCTAGGCGGCGGAGCCGGTAGTCCGTCTCCTCTGTCTCGCGTGCGGTCTGCATCACCCACTGGGCGTACTGGGTCCGTCGAGTGCGGATCTCCTCGCAGGTCTCCGTGCTGTGTCTGCCAAAGCCCACAATGTCCTCGGCAGCAGGTGTTGCCAAATCGTACAACTTTCTTAGGGCGTGCTGCTCCAGGGTATGCTTTGTGTGGTTCACCTGGACATTCACCCCGATCTCGCGGCAGAACTCCTGAAGGGAGTCCTTCTTCTTGGCTGCAGCTCCCAAGGCCTTGATGCGCTCCTGCAAGTCCGTTCGCTTGCTGCGCGTGTTCTGGTCGGCCTGGGGGTCTAACTCCAAGATCCGCATGATGATCTCCTTGTTGGTCCACTTGGCGGGCGTCTCTTCGCCCAGCTCCTGCAACTTGGCCTTCAACTCGGCTTTGCGCAGCTTGCTGAGAGCCATGATCGCACGGGAACTCTGGTAGGAGATCAGGAGGTGCACAACTCGTACTATCTCCGCACTTTGAGATCTCGCGGCTTGTTGAGGCTTCTGTTCCTTTGTCATCAAGACTACAACCATCACCATCATCACCTAAAACTAACGCATCTTGTCTAGCTTCAGTACTGCAATCGGAAATGCTGCTCTGCTGTGCAATGCGGCGCTGTGCGGCAGCGCCTTCCGTGCCTGAAAACAACTCTGACACTTCTTTCCTGTCAGGCTTACAGTCAGAAGTGAGCTGTCCCTACTCTGCGGCATTCTGTACAAACTCTCGCAGGCTGGGTACAGGATCGCGAGTGCGCTTGGCCTTCTCGAACAAGTCGTCGGTTAAGGATATCAATTGGTGGCCTGTGTTCGAGCGCTCCAGCTTGAGAATCTTCTGGGGGTCGATGGCTCTGAAGCAAACCAGGTCTTGCTCAAAGTCGATGATTGCCTTGAGCGACCTCAGCGTCGACACTGAGAGAAGGATTGGTGTCTCGCCGCGGTCCAGTGCGTGGATGGTCAACTGTCCTGGGCGGTTTCCTGCGGTGATGCCCATCTCCACGGTGCTGGCGCACTGGTCCTCTGTTGCATTGCCGAAACCAAATGTTGGCCTGTTCTCGGTGTTCACCGAGATCACCCTGTTGCTCCCGTGCTTGCGAGAGTTGAGCTCCATGACCCGGTGAATGGCTTCCACGCTCCCCAAGGTGCGGGTGGCCCCGCCATCGACCACTGCATATCCTTCTCGCACGGCTTCCTTGGTGCTCCACCACGCCTGCTCGTCTGGCGTCTGTGCACTGAGCGCTTGCTCCTCATAGGAGTAGCACACGAAGGGCGCTGACTGTGTAGTGGTTCCTGAGCTACTGCTGGAAGCTCCCCCTGAACGGCAGTCCTGGGTCCGGTGGCCCTTCCGGCCGCACTTGAGGCACTGAAGATCTTCACGAAACCGTGGAGCACCACCTCCTTTACCACCGCCACCATTGGGCTTGTAGTACTTTCGCGACAGCTTCACGGCATTTTGCCGCGCTCGTGCGTCCTTGAGCGTGCGCCGGGCTGTTTGGACAACGGCCCAAGCCTGTTGCGCCTCAGCCTCGGCTTCCGCCCAGAGCACCTGGTCCTCCTCATCTAGGTCCTCGACGCTGAAGCCGTCCTCGGTGTTGGGGTTCTCCGTCTCTTCCTCGTCCATGTCTTCGCCCCAGTAACCGGCGTGCTTGCCTGCTCCATCATGTCGGCGATGTTCGATGTCCAGAAACTGTGTCCTCAGCTCCTGCGCCACTCGCTGTACGGAAAAATCGTTCCTGATGGCGGTCATCACTAGGTTCTTCTCGCTGGCACTCAGTCCAGCATCCTGCAGAAGATACCATCCCTGTACGAACTCTGGTAACAGCTCAGGTAGCAGCTTGACGTGGCGGGCCTCGCGAGCTGTTGCTTCGGCTCGCCACCAACTTTGCTGCCCATATCCATAGCTGCTCCAGTCGCTCCAGTACCAAGTAGGCGACTGCCACCATGGTGCGCTGCCCCATGACCAGGCGTCCTCGGTCGTGGGCTGCGTTCCTGCCTCGCTGGCGGGGGTCTCTGTAGTCGCGCTGGTACTGTTTGGCATGGGTGCAGCGGCCTGCACCGGTGCCGGTGTGTTCTCCTCGCCATCATCGTAGGTCATCTGGGAGTCCCAGCTGCTCCGGCGACTCCTCTCCGGCCAGCCTCCACCGGCCGACCATTGTCCTGCGGCGCTCCCTCCTGTTCCACTGGTCCTCGCCTCATCCTTGATGCTCACCTGGTGGTGTGGAGCTACTCGAGCCATGGCCTGGCATGCCCGGAGGTATAGCTCACACTTCCTGGCGATGTACTCGTTCATCGATTCATTCTGCTTTCGGCGTCCCTGACGGAAGTAACGGTTCAGGTACTCCGTCAACTCGGGGATTTGGGGCTTGCCTAAGCATGCCCGTAGGTGCCGAAGTAGCGTCTCCACGCCTTGGTCGTTGGAGAGCCAGGTTGCTGGCTGCCCGGCAACGTGCCGCTTCGCGGCACCCTGTAGTTCGCCCAACAGCCTTGGCCCCACCAGGTATCGCTTGTGGAAGGGGGTGCTTTGCTCATAGATCATGACCTGTTCTGAGTACTCTTCAAAACTGGCGGGGGTACCATCCCAACATGGCACTCCCTCCTTGCTCTTGGCGACACTTGTCGCCGCTGCCATCTCTCGGTTCTCCTTTCGGCCTTGCAGAAAGGAGCGTGTCAAACTAGGGCCCTGGATCACGAACCCGGCTCAAGCTGATAGCCGGGCTCCGCTACCATGCAAGAGCTGGCAGCTGGTAGTAGCGTTCGGTACTCAGGATAATGCAGATCGTGACTAACAGCGGACTCGAAGCTTCGATAATGGCGCGGCACAGGCGGCGCTATTCTTTTTCCTCAAAGTCCCCAGGCACTCGATCCACAAAGCTGTGACATGTGCCAACTGTCACCTGTGCATGTTGTGTACGTGGCACCAAGTGTGGAATCACTTGCAAACCCTAAACCCTAAACCCTAAACCCTATAATGTGGGATTCATATACAGAGCCCCTGAAGGCCCAAGGCTTCTTAATCAGGTTCCTACATTTAAACCCCGAACCCCTAAACTCCTACAGTAAGCCCGTAGCTAGACCCCCCAACTACCCTTTATTGTAGTCCCTCATAACCTCTTCATGAGAAAGATTAGAGCCCTTTAACGGATACTTGGGGGGGGGGGGTGGGGTGCTGGCAAAAACCCCCTATAAACCCTAAAGCCTGCCTTGGTTCGTGCACCGCGACTACTAACTGCTCCTACGACTATCCATAATAATCATAACAATTTAAATTACTACTATTTAAAAAGCCTGTTAACCCTTAGCCTGCCTTGGTTCGTGCATCCATGTAGAGATACATGAGCCCCAAAGTACCTGTATAGGGACTACATTCAGGCCAATGTATATACTATGAGTACATGCAATGGACCCTTATACCCTAAACCCTTATACATTCCTTAAAGGACCCCTTAAAGGTACCCTTAAAGGACCCATATACTATATGAGTACATGGACCCTTAGGGTATAGTATAAACCCTAAGCCTGCCTTGGTTCGTGCACCTTGCTTGGCACCCATCTTGGAGATGAAGGTCCGCACGGCCGTGTCCGCAGACCTTAAAGGGAACTCCAGAAAGTTGGAATATGGTTTCAGGGTAGGATCCCCTATAATTTACCTTAAAGGGGTTACGATAATGATATTCCAACTTTCTGGCTTCTACTGTAGCTGGACCAGGGCTGAGCTTTCCACAAAGGGTCCTAGGTACTGTTACGGGGGATACTTTCCCAAATGGTTCCTGTGAGGGTTCCTTTAAAAGGGCTCCTGTAAGGGATCCTACAGGGGATTCCTACACGGGGATACTTCTCCCAAATCATGATAGTCACTCCGAATACAGAAACCCCACATTCTACTATATAGGTACTTCGGACCCTTTGGGTTCTTCAGGCCGTAGCGCAGACCCCGAACCCAAAGACCTTTGTTTTAGGAATATACCTTGAAATATAGTATGATTTGAAGCATATTCCTCAGATAGAGGGTATTGGAGTCTCTAGGAACCCTCATCCCATACCTGAGCCGCGTACCTCGACCTGAACTCCCACTCCACAGCCCCTGCATCACGACAGCCCAGATGCTTCGTGAACTTGTAGGTCTTGCGGACATAGGCCATGGTTGCCTTTGCAATTGGCATTGGGCGCGTGAAAGTGACATCCGACAAGAACAGGCCTGTATGGCGACATTATTGCAAACTTTCAGTTGCGAATAAGGCTTTATGCAACATCAGGCTATAGTCCTGCAGATTCCTCGGTTGAGGCTGAAGGAGCCCTCGAAGGAACCCTTGGGCAATGAAACTTTGATGCCTTAGGCCTAGCCAACACCCAACCCGACCCTCGACCCTAAACTCCACCCTGAACCTTAATCCTAAGGGTCCACCATTAGTAACACAGTATATAGTATATACTCTGGCCCTACAGCACTTATATAGGGACTACTTTGAGGCCTATAAAAACTAAGTGGGTGCATGAACCCTTCGGCTAATGCACCCAACTCATGCTGACCAAATAACCCTTTATCCGCAGACCCAAATACCCGTAATTTCGCTGTTTATCTGAAATCACAGTAAGGATGTAGGGTGTATACGTGAATTCCTGAATGAAGCGCTTTCTTTGGAATCTCTGCGTAACCAGAGGAACCTCATGCCCCTAGACTTAGGGCCCGAGCCTTCTCAATGGCAGAGTAGCTGGAGCGGCCGTCAGTTGTAGGTCTACAAGCTCTGCAGATCATCCTCACAGAAGCAAGACTTTAAACTATGTTACTGTACCTAGACCCCCCCCCCCCCCCATTACCCTCCAATGGAGTGAGACTTTGCTGTGTTTAGAGAGACCTCTCAACAAAGTCCGACAACACAGGCCCTAAGCCCCAAACTACTGGTCTAAAGTGCGACGTGAGCCCTTCATCCTACTTGGAGGTTCATGGGTAGTTAGAAGTGGAGTTATCAGTCCCCTAATACGGGTTATAAGTATAGCTACCCTACTTAATGAACCTCCAAGTAGAGCCGCCTAAACCCTATACCCTTATAGAATCCATGTAGATCCCTTTAAAGGCGCCCTTAAAGAAACCTTATAACTACCCATGAACCTACAAGCCCTAAACCCTAAACCCCCAAACCCTATAAGCCCTAACCCCTGAACCATGAACCCAACACCCCAAAAGCCCCTAAAGCCCCTGAAAGGCCTAAATAATCCCTTGGCCCTGGCATCCCCGAAACCCCAAAAAACCAATAAAAATAACGAACGGCACAAACAAAAACCTTGGTCCTGGCATCCCCAAAACCCCAAAACGCCCTAAAACCCCTAGAATAGGGCCCCAAAAAAGCACATAAGCAAAAATTAGGATAGGTATATCCCATATAAACCCCCTTAAAAGGAAGCCCAATAAGGTAGGGATATCCCGGTAAAATGCTTCTGCTTATGTGCTTTTTGGGTCCCTAATAGAAGGCCGCTAGAAGCCCCTGGTCCTGGCATCCTTCTGCGAGATGCGACCATCGCCCGCACCCTTCACCGCAATGTCGGCAGCCTTCAAGATCGTGCGGTCCTGAGGTCGGGGGAACGGTTTAGCGCTTAGGAGTTTAGGGATTAAGGGTTTAAGCTTAGGGATGAAGGGTTTAGGGCTTGAGGGGTTTTGGGCTTAGGGGTTAAGGGTTTAGGGATTTAGGGCTTAAGCATTCGGATTAGGGTTTGGAGCATCGGGCTTTCGGTTTAGGATTTGGGGCTTAGGGTTTGGGGTATAGGGGTTTAGGGTCGGGCAACGGAAGGGAGGGGGTGGGACCTAAACCCCAAACGCGTTTCAAATCCTAAAACCTCAAAGACATAAAGGCCGCAAGGATCCCTTGAAGGGCTGTGCAAGAAGTATAGAGTATAGAGTATGGCGGAACGTCCGAGGGCTGCATGGGCTGCAGCTTTGCGATCCAATACCCTAAAACCTAAACTCCTTAACCCCTATACCCTAATCCCCAAAATCCTAAACTCTAAAGAGCCTAAACCCTACCTTAAACTTCCAAACCCTACTTTTTTGTAGGTTCTTATTATAAACCTGACTATGGAGTTTATAGGGACCCTACCAACAAGTAGGTTTTGGTAGGTTAAGGTAAACGGTAAACCCAAGTGAATCACCAGCCCTGGCAACAAGAGCGACCATGATCCCCCAGCGGCAGAAAGCCCCTAAATTGCGATTGCGTACTGCCCCCACCCGGTAACAGTCTCCATTAGGGGTCATGCAAAGCGCAATATATACTGATATTACAAATATTACAGAATGCGGGCAGAGCCGAAAAGCATGATTTAATTTAGGTTGATAATGGTGGCGGGCTCTGCGTTTGGGAGAAGGGTCTGAAACAGTTAGCTTTATAAACCATGCAGGCAAGGAAACAGGCTTCACACCTAAATCCGAAACCCGACCTAGACCTCCCAACTACCCTTTATTGTAACCCCTAATTACCTCTTAATGAGAAAGATGAGAGTCCTTTAAAGGGTACTTGGGGGGTGCTGGGAAGCCCACAGCCAACGCCTCGAAACCTCAAATCCCAGGACCAAAACGTGAAACCCTAGGAACCCCAAACTTCCATCCTCCCAGTACTCCAATGCGACACTGGTGGGCAGGGTTTAGGGTTAAGGGTTTAGGGGTTTAGGGGCTTAGGGTTTAGGGTTTAGGGGTTTAGGGTTTAGGGGTTTAGGGGTTTAGGGGCTTAGGGTTTAGGGTTTAGGGTTTGGGGTTTAGGTAGAGATGGCTAGTATATTTTGCACCCTAGACCGGCAATCCGACACACCCTACACACCGAAACCTAGACACAAGGCCCTCTAAACCCTAAAAACCTAAGCAATGCAAAGCCTAAACCCTAAACCCCTGAACCCTTAACCCCTAAGTCCCCCGAAACCCTAAGCTAACCATCGGTTCAGACCAGGCTCGTACTTCTTGCCCGAAAATAAGGGACGCTAATAGAGTACCCTACATAGTAAGATCCTTATTCCAAGGACCCCAAAATAAGGTACCCCTAATTTTCGCAACCTCCCCCATGGATTCAGACGAGGCTCATACTTCTTGCCCTTGATGGTCTTCACACGGCCGTAGTCGATCTTGCGGTACTGGCCCTTGTGGTGCCAAGGCTATCGGGCTCAAGGCTCCATGTACCCCTTTTAGGGCTCCTTTAAGGGTTCCTCTGATGGTTCCTTTAACGGTGCCTTTCAGGGTTCCTTTAAGAGTTTCTATAGGGTTTAGAGTTTAAGGGTTCATGGGCTTAAAGGCTGTGTAACTTAGTTGCTGAGTTCGTAAGCCCAAGAGAGTGTACACTTTCAGCTTTATGGGGGGTAACTATAATTTCCGAGAAAAAAAGTGTTAAGTGAACTCACTCAGCTGCTACTAAGGTAACGGAGTGGTGGGGACACACACTGTCATGGGCTTCAGGATTTAGGGTTTTCAGGTTCAGGCTTGAAGTTCTAGGGTGTGAACCCTCGACTCCTTTAGGGCCTAGGGTCTAAAGTTTAGGGAAGTAGTTCTAGGGTGTGAACCCTCAACTCCTTTAGGGCTTATGTTTACAGTTTTCGGAAGTATAGGGCTTGGGGTCTGGGGCTTGAGCTTGAAAGTTCCACGCAACCTCGCTTTCAGACAGCCCGGCAAGAAATCCTCCGGCGTATTGGCCCCTTGTCTACTCCACGAAATATAGATAGTCTTAATCGGAAAGAAACTTCAGACGAGATCTGAATTAGTTGAAAACTTCAACGGCCCAAAATCTCGAAACCAACCTGTGTAGATTCTACACACAACTCCATCTATCTAGTATACTCAAGTATACCGCAAGTATATACCCCAAGGTGCCCCAGGCATGCCGGACCCCTATACCGCGTGCTGCACCCTGAACCCCAAAAATCCCAAAGCCCTCAACCCCTTCTGCAGACCTTCGTGTTGCGGGAGATGAGCTTCTTCATAGGAGCCATGCTGCGGAACACTCCCCACGGAGCTCAGCTACTCTGGGTCTCTCTGGAGCTGAAAAGCAAAGCTTCGGGCTGCATTCATGCAGTATGGGGGGCCTTGAGAATTAGAACAGGGTTCCTTGTTTAAGGGATCTTCAAAGGGCTCCGTAGGGTGATCCTCTAAACAGGGCAGGAATAACCCTAAACCCTAATACTCAGACTAGGGTTTGGGATCATTGAACGCTTATATGGGAGTTTCCGAAAATAGGGGACCCAAATATAGTACCCTAAATAGTAGGATCCTTATTATAAGGACCCCAAAATAAGGTACCCCTAATTTTCGGAAACTCCCATATGAAACCCTGAGGAACAGTGTCGGCAATCTCTCAGGTTTCGATGCATTGGGGTGCAGGGCTGAGGGTCGGCAAGACCCTGGCAAACGCACACCGCCCTCACGTCCAAACAGGGTTAATGGTTTAGGGGTAGGAATATTAGGTATAGTGGGAGTATCGGATAATTCTGCGGGGTTAAGCGGTTTTGGAAAAGGGTCCTTGAGGGCACTATATTAGGGTGGTAGGAATATTGGGTATAGTGGGAATATCGGACAAAGCTGGCAGAATGGGGTATGCTGGGTACACAAGAGCGTCGGGTTGGGGTTAGGGCTTAACGTTTGCTGGTCTGGAGCGGAAACGTTGAGGGTTTAATATAGGGTCCTTTATAATTAGAATAAGGTTTTGGGTCCCATTATACTATAAATATTAAATAGTAAAAAGGAACCCCCAAAATAGTATAGGTAGCTATTAAGGCCACCATATTAGGGTCGGCCTAGACCCTGGGCACCAAAGCACGTCGGATTCCCTCTTCATTACCCAAACCCCGCAAAGGCACCAATTTATTGGCAGATGCTCCTTAACAAGACCCCCTCCTAGCAACCCTGATGCTAAACCGCATTATAGGAATCAATCCTTCGGCCTCTTCATTACCCAAACCCCGAAAAGGCTCAAAGCTTAACTCTCGGCGAGAAGGAAACCAGCGACTCTGGTGGATTTAGGGTTGCAGATTCAAGGTTTAGGGATGAAAGTGTAGGGTTTAGGGCTCAGGGTTTGGGGTTTACGGTTTAGGGATGAAAGTTTAAGGTTTTCGGCTCAGGGTTTGGGGTGTGGGGCTTAGGCTTAAAGGTTTAAGCTCCTTATCTTGCCGCAGAGGTCTGGGTATGGATTCCAGGTATGATGCGCTTTCTGTCGCTCTGGGTACGGCTGGGGGCTTGGGGCTCAGATTCAGGGTTCAGGTTTGAGTATGGTCCAGGATGTCGTAGGTTTCTGATTTTTGTTTTGCTTGTGTTTATGTTGTCCCCTAATCCCCAAGCAACAGCGAAACTGGGAGATCGGGCTTTTTCCATGTGCATAGCGGCAACTCTTTCCTCACGGTGACACATCCGATGCTCGGGAAAGCAGGACATGGCTAGAATGAACAAATACTCTTGCAAGTCGCCGTCGCAAAGGTTGCTTTGTCGACTGCTGCTAGCCACTACTACTACTACTACTACTACTACTACTACTACTACTACTGCTGCTGCTGCTACTACTGCTACTACTGCTACTGCTACTACTACTACTACTACTACTACTACTACCACTACTACTGGTACTGGTACTGGTACTGGTACTGTACTGAACCTGTGACATTCTCGGGTGATCTACACTGAACCCTAAACCTTAAACCATAAACCCTAACTAAACCCTACTTAAACCTTAAATCCTAAATCCTAGACCCTAAACCCTAAGCATCCCTAAACCCTAAACCCTGCTTAAACCCTGAATCCTAAACCTACACCTTCATCTCGCGCCGGTGCGCCGCTGCGCCGGAGGCGAGGCGTTCGTCTCCCTGCGGCGGCCCGGGGCTCAAGGTAGGGTTTAGGGGTTTAGGGTTTGGGGTTTAAGGGTTTAGGGGTTTAGGGTTTCGGGGTGTAGGGTTTAGGAACCCTTAATCGGGATATACTGGCTATATTGAGGTAATACAAACTCTAAACCCTATAGAGGTGCCTGTTTACTTAGAACACGGCTTCATATGGTTTTGGCTTCATGGGTTCTAGGAATTTGTCAGATATTGGCCTGAACAACTAGAGCAGCGTCTTGGAGTATACCTCCAGCACATTCCTACAACCAATGTACTTCCATAACGCCTAATAGGGATAGCGTGTGACAACATCAGTTTTGAGAGAAACTTGGAGGTTCGTAGGTAGTTACAAGAGGGTTCTAAGTCCCATAATTATGGGTTATAACTAAAGTTATCCTACTTACCGCACGTATAACTACAGTTATCCTACTTGTAACTGCACTTTAACTACACGTGAACCTCCAAGTACTGCAACATCCTTCACTTACGACGGGTCTTGCTAAGTGTTTTGGGGCTTCACTTTTCGGAGGTTTGCAAAAACTCTGCAGTACGTAAACAGTAGCCTAGACTAGGCCGTCGTTTAATGAAAGATGCCCAGTATCATGAAAGGAATCTTCCTTCTTTACAAACAAGGACTCTTTCTGGAGTTTCTTGTGCGCTGAGCAGAACAAGTCGTTTGCTACCCGTCTCACAAAGGACTTGTTTGGCTTACCGGAATGCTTTGTGCTTGGCCTGCGTATTCCTGAACAATCGTTTGCGCCGACATGCAATCATCTGACAATTCTGTACCATGCCATCGTAGGAACCAAGGCCCTCGTCGTCATCATCATCATCACAACCGTCATCAACCTCATTTTCACTTACATCATAACGATGACCATCTTGTTCACGACATCGCCCCGAGCCAACCGCTTTGCCGGATAACAAACAGCATGGAGACAACAGAGAATTAATTCAGAAGAAAGCACTTCGGGTTTGCCGGCTTGCGCTTTCTGCAATCGACGGTTAGAGTTTAGGGTTTAGGGTCCCCTAAACCCTAAACCTTTGGGCTTGTCGAATGCTCTTTTGTCTTTCCAGCCACTCGGTCACGAGACCCGCGAAATTTTTTTCTGTTATGGGAGTTTCCGAAAATAGGAGACTCCAATATAGTAGGATCCCTTTGTAAAAGAACCGCAAAACAAGGTGACCCTAATTTTGGGAAACCCCCTTATCGTGCTGCTAGCGATTCCAATGTGCCTCCTTGTTCGGGGGGGGATGTCCTCTGCACCTCAACTTTTCGTGACGTTTGCACGGAATGCGCTCGAACGCGCGGGAGGCCTTACGACCTGTGAGAATGCTTGATGCGCTAACTTGTCCTCACAGACATCTCTGACGGAGGGAGCAAGTCCTAACAGCAAAACAGGCCAAACTGATTCTAGCGTGGCCACGGAGTGAGTCCTGTTCAGAGGAAACTAACTATACAAACATGTCAAAGCAGTGACCTGTCCCGGCAATTCTTGTCCAGGGAAGCAGGCATCAACGTCATCGGGGTATTTCCTGGCCCCCGCTGTCCAAGGAAACAAAAACCCCACCAGCAAAATGAATTAACAGTGTCTACATGTACAAGCCACAGATGAGGCCTGCAAAGAATGCAGGCACAAATATGCAGAATGACTAAGCACGGCCCGGAGAAAAAACAACAATCAATTGTGGGACTCACTGTTGCAGGCATCCACCCGCCGTTCCCACAAAGGCCTAGGTGAAGCAAAGGGGGGCTTCTCATGAACACGTCATATGTAAGGCTGCTAGGGCCCAGGGTTTGAGAAACGACGCCGCTGGATGCCAAGGCGTTGGAAGCTAAAGTTTCTACCTTTTGGGAACCTCAGAAGGGACCTTAGTATCGATATGCAATGCACTGCTTCCTTCAGCTTGCTGGCTGCGTCGTAGCATAGTGTAAAAGGGCCTCCATGGAAGGGTTGAGGTTGCGGTTGTCACATGGGGTTTTCGAAATTAGGATCCCTGTTTGGGTCCTGAATACAATACGGCACCCAATATCGTACCTACAAAGGACCATAATTTTGACGAGAACCCACATATCTTTGGGCAGCACATTAAACCCTAAACTCCTAGACCCTAAACCGAGCAAGCAGTCATGGAGCAACCTCCAATTATGCTCTCTCGCGTAGGTGGAGTTTTCACAGGGTTTAGGGACTCTACTATAGAAGCCTTAATAAGTACCTATGCTCTTTGGGGGTTCCTTCTTATATTTATAATATACTATTTTGGGGGTTCCCTCTTATAGTTATGGTATAATATACCCCCAAAAAAAAACTATTCTAATGATTACGGCCCCTGAAGCTTGCACAACCTAGCAGTCCTGTCGACAGCACCTACGGTGCCCCTACCTGGATTGGCGCCTGGGCAGTGCCTCCAACCCAAGAGCCCGGAACAAAAACCCAACATCCTAACACCCCCAACTCGATTTCGGATCAGGTCTAATGCAATGCAAGGGCCTGAACAACAAATTGTCAGTTCTATTCCTGACAGTTCCTCAACATACATATACTATAACATACCCACAGCGTATGTATCTCTTTGACTACTCCTTAGTGGAAGGCCATCTGATTGCTGAGGCCTGCATATGGGAGTTCCCGAAAATAGGGCACCCCAATAGGATCCTTATTACAAGGACCCCAAACTTACCCCTGACTTTCGGAAGCTCTAAACCCTCATGGAGCCCTTTAAAGGAACCCTTATAGTACCCTTACAGTAACCCTTATAGTATCCCTTTAAAAGGAACCCTTATGGTACCCTTATAGTAACCCTTTAAAGGAACCCTCAGGTACCCCATCTCGCAGCGAAGGAGCCTACAAGGCCCTCAGCAGCCCTGCCCACCGAGGAAGCGATGGCAAGTCAGGGAAGGACTCAGAACGAGAAGGTCACCGATCAGCCTGGGTTTGGGATTAGTATAGGGTTTAGGGTTTAGGGCTCTAGAAGGATAAGGCACCCAAAATAGAATAGAACTAGGTTTAGGGCGTACTGTATAGGCACGAGGCTTGGTCCTAGGATTAGCCTCGCCACGCCCAAAGACTTCAATGTGGATCCTCTAACACGGCTCCCTTGCGTCACGGAATGGCAATTTAGAGATGCCTGCACGACGAACCCCAGGGCTCCCAATTATGACCTTACGATATAAGAGGATGTATTAGGGCTTGGGGCTTAGGGTTTAGGGGTTAGTTTCGGGTTGGGCTTTAGGTTCACTGAACCTAAAGCCCCAACCCGAAACTATTCAGGGTTTAGGGCTCATGGCGAGGATAGAGGGCTTAGCTTCAGGGTTAAGGGATTTTCATGGATTAGTCGTGGGGTTTCGAGCCTAGGTAGGCTTCACGGGTTTAGGGTTTTCATCTTGCTTGACTCCTGAGATCAGCCGCTGTTGTCCCAAACACTCCACTCTCTCTCACATAGAGCGCACTTATTCTCATGGACCCCTGCAAAAGCGTCAAAGTCTCGTGGTCTGCTTAGGGATGTTACTTGCGGGTTTGGGACGCGTGTTCCAGGGTGGATCGAATTTTTAGGAGTTTGGAGGGAATGAACATGGTTTAAAGATACACTCCATATGGGCACATATGGAAATGAGGATCCCTCTTTTCAGGTCTTTATTTTCAGGAGACTGCGTATCTCTAGTAACAAACGCCTGGCCGCGTGTAGAGCAGGGCGAGTCCAAGAATCGCCGTGGCCAAGAATGCGAACAACGGTCTACGAGACCACGTTTCTTTGCGTTCTTGCGCTTGTGCTTTCCTGGGATGATCGGCTTGGTGTTTTTGGGACCTCAAATGTCAGCACATGATTTGGGGGTATAGTAACTATACCCTACTTGGAGGTTCATGGGTAGTTATAAGCGGGGTTATAAGTCCCCTAATGTGGGTTACGTATAGTTATCCTACTTATAACCCTGCTAATAACCACCCATGAACCTCCAAGTAATCTCAATAAGAAGTTATCAGGAATAGTCCTGGTACTCGGATTCGGGGAGGTGCTCTTTGCGAAACACTGAACCCTAGCCCTACAACCTAGACCCTGGAACCCTAATTAAACCCTTAGACCCTAAACCCTGAACCCGAAAGTCCTGTCTCCCTACCTACTTCCCGAATACCCTCTTTGCCTCTTCCCTGTGGAGAACCCACCCTTCAATACGCACAAATGTCAGCACACAAGATAGTTCCCTAAGGGTCCATGTAGCCCATATAGAGATACATGAGCCCCAAAGTACCTATATAGGGATTAAATTAAGGCCAATGTATATACTATATGAGTACATGGACCCTTAGGGAATAGTTGTTCGTCTGAGGAGTCGATGCACAGGTTTGGGATCTGTGACCTTGGGGCTTAGGGTTCAGGGTTTAGGGTCTAACGGTTTAGGTTTTAGGGTATAATGCGCAATAGCCTCTTACATTTGAGGTTTAGGGTTCAGGGTTTTGGATGAAGGTTGCGATTTAGTGTTCTGGGTTCGGGGCTTAGGGATGAGGGTTTAGAGCATTCTAGAGCAACATGTTTCCCGCGGCCATGGAGAGCAACACACTTCCGAAAATCTAGATTTACGGGGCTCGTGCACGTTTCAGGTACGGATATTCAGGGCCGTGACCCGAAGGCTTCCTGTACCTATATACTATACCTCTGTAGGGACTGCTTTAAGGCCTGCGTGTGGAGCCTCAGGGAAACTTACGAAGTATGCTCAACTTGTGCGTGCCCAGCTTCTGCCTAGGCAGCAGCGGCAGCGTCAAGAAACAGAGCAATGACATGGTATAGGATAGCAGAAAAGACGAGGCCACCGTCCAGCGAAACTCCGGCGTATCCTCGACATAGTTCCTGAGCCGGTTAAGTGGAGAATCCCTCAACCCTCAACCCTAAACGGCCCTAAACCATAAACCCTAACCGCACAAACTAGGATGCCTACAAGGCCACCTCCAGAGCAGGACCCCTGAATTGTCGTCGAACTCCAACAGCACTACTCTTCTCGTCCAGTTGATGCTTGCGTGTTTCCATCTACGGGTTCACCAATGCCTTGGGTTGATCTAGTATCTGCAGAAAACCAGGAAATAACAATAAAGGATGAGCTGGATCTCGGGGTTCGGGGTTTCGGGCTTAGAAGGGTTTAGGGTTTTGGGGTTGAGGGGTTTAGGATCCTAGCACTTGGGGTTTAGGGGTTTAGGGTTTAGGGCTTAGGGCACGTCCACATGTACTGCAGGATGCCTGAAAATTTGAATCGGGATTTGGGGATGATTCATAGTACGCTTCTAATCAAGAACTCTCACGAGGGATATGGGCAATCATTCACTTACCTTTGGTTAGTAGGGAATGGAAGAATGGTAGTAATAGTAGTTATACTTGTACCCCATTCCTCCATTCTCTACAAACCAAAGGTAAGTTCAGGCTTCTAGACTGCCCCCTCAAGAGGAGTACCCGAAGCCGCGACAGACTAAGCATCCAAGGATCCTCCTGACAGCGAGATCTGGGGTGAACATAGAAAAGACCTTCCATTCAGGGAAAGTGCCATCAACAAAAATCTTCCTAAACCCCAAGTAACCTACCCTTGTAAGGACTTACATAAAGAAATCATATTAGGGAAGCCTACAAAGGTAGGTTCCTTAGGGTCCAGGCACCTCTAGAAGGGAGTGTCTGCACCTTGGGGGGGGGGCGTATTTAGGGGTGGGTCCTCCCATGTTGTGGTCCCTGAATTTTCTGAAAGTCTTCCAGAAGGCACCTGATTCGAAAGGAGGACGGACAGCTGTTGCCCCACCGCTGGAATCGTGTTCCTGAGCTGTGCCAAAGGGTCTTAGGTACTGTTATGGGGGATACTTTCCCCAATCATAATTGTAACTCCTAATATAGAGACCCTACATTCTACTATATAGGTAACTTTGGACGCTTTGGGGTAATCTACACAGCCATGCCAGTATGTCCTCTACCCTGACGCCCTGAACATTTATGGAGTGCTGCCAGACCCCTCAGATAATAATAGAGCCCGTTGAAGCCTACAGGCAGCCTGAGCCGACATCTTCACCCTGAGCCCTCTATCCTAAAACCCTTAACCCTACATCCTAAACTCCTAAACCACCAAAGCCCGCACCGTAAATCTTAAACGCCTAAACCCTAAAGCACATGCTCAAATAGACGATAGAGCCCATAATAAGAGAGCCCTCAAAGGAACCCTATTCTAATTATTGAGGCTCCTACATTACAACCCTTCTAGAACCTTTGTGGTTGTGGTACCCTTAAATCAAGATAGTATAGAGCCCTTGATGCGACAGCCCTCAAAAGGAACTCTGCGCTCCAAGGTTCATGAGACCGGCCACCAATGCGCAGTTGCCTGGGCTCTTGCTCGGGAACTCACCCCAAGAAGGGGCCTTACAGAGGGCTTGTTTAGGCGAAAGGTATGGGGTTTAGGATTGAGGGAGTTAAGGGGCTTTACAGAGGGCTTGTTTAGGCAAGGGTATGGGATGTAGGATTTGGGGAATTATTCGGCATAGGGTTCGAGTTCAAGGTCAAGACTAGAGGCTGGAGGGGCTCATAATAAAGTCTTCTAATGACCTTTGACTTGACATGATCCGGCTCAGGGTTTGGGCCTAACTATAGGGTTTAGGGGTTTAGGGTTTAGGGTTTTCCTGTAGCTCGGACTGGTTTGCTTGACAAGATCCCAGGCACTGTCGTCGGCAAGCTCGTTGATCAGGAAAGTGGTGACGAGTGCTGACATGGCTTGAGGCACGTTCTGTGTGAGAGGCTCGCCAAGATAAAAGTACTGGTTCCGGAACACATCGAAGATCGTGCAGAACTGCGGAATGGAGTCGAAAACTGAGGTCAAGACGCCAGTTGCGCATATAATTTTCCGCCAGCTCACTCCCAGAAACCACTTTTGAGTGAGCCAGCATCCGACAAAACTGAGAACAGCTGCCAACATGCCAGAAATCTGCCGCTGCATGTTTTCGGTCTTCGCCCACTCCAATGCCACCCACGTTCTCGCAGTAGTGCTGAGATTGAAGATACTCGTGTTTGCGAAGAAGAAAAGGGCAACGGCACAGAAGGCCTTTGAAGGGAAAACGAAAGCACACCTAGCCTAGTTCTACTGGGGTCTCCAATCCTATGAGTGTCCACATATATATATATATATGTATATATATATATATGTATATATATACTCATACAATACGTATATACCTTGGCGTTAAAAGTACCTCTATAGGGACTGCTGCGAAGCAAAGGCAGGTGTAAGCCTGCAAAATGACACCCAAAGAAGAGCGCCGATTAGGCGCTCTTTCTTCGTTGGTGGCCTCAACACCCTCAGAAGAGCACCGAGGAGACCCTCTCCCGAAACCCTAAAGCCCCCAACCCCTCTAAACCCTTAAAGGAACCCGTATATAAACTTCCTAAACCCCGAAGCTTTGCCTTAGAGGAACCCTTAAACGACTCCTAAACACCCTAAGCTGTCTTTGATGGCCTTGCTTTCCAATAGATGCCATGAAGATCGGCAATACCCTCGAATCGAAGATCTTCCCCCAGGTCGCTCTTGAACGTTGAAGATACAGGAAACCTTATTAGGGGTTTAGGGGGTTAGGGCTGGTAGTATACTAGGCTTCCTTAAGGGTCTCTGTAAAGTGTTGTAATTGGGGTTCCTAAAGGGTACTATAGTCTATAGAAGCTGCCCCCACCCAGTAATAATGACTATAAGGGTTATATATTAGGGCCCTATTACATTCCTATCATACCACTATTACAGGGCTGGGCGCCCCTTCTAGAGGGAACCTGAGCTCCGAAACAACGGGCCTTAATGCACCAGAAAACTCCACATCAGGGCTTAAAACAACGCAACAGAAATTCCACATTACTCTGAGGGTCCATGTACTCATATAGTATATACATTGGCCTTAATGTAGTCCCTATGTAGGTACTTTGGGGCTCATGTATCTCTATATGGGTACATGGACCCTTAGGGTTAGGGTTAGAATAAGAACCTACAGGGAACTAGGTTATGGAGTTGAAGGTGCTTGCCCAGTATTCCAGGGGAACCAAAGGTTAAGCTTTGGGATTACAGTAAACCACAAGTCTAAAGGCTACCTTCCCCACTACCAAGACGAAAACCGAAAACTCGTCTCAAAGCATTCCGGGCTTGGGCTTTAAGTTTTGGTGATTGCAGTTTAGTCTGTATTGTTGTTTCTTAACGGCCCCTCTTGAATTAAACAAAATCAACAAAACAAGACAGAATCATAAAGCTTGACGTCCCAGCAGCACCTGTCACGAGGCACATCACAGCAAGAATGGCCACAGCTTGCTGATAGCTAAGCTGATTTTGCTGACTGAAGCTGCCTGTGAACATACGCCCATTGAAGCCGAAAGCTACTATCGTCAGAGAGACGAAATAACCGGCCATGTGGACCATCTGAAGCAAAGTTTGTGCACGACCGCGACGCTCCGCCGGCTCTGCCTTCGCATACTCCACCATGAGCCTAAGCTGTGAACCACCAAGGCTCCACCAACCCTTGTAATAGTTCCTCAAACCTTACAGTAGTCCCTCTAGGTGTCCCTGAAGCTTCACTTCTAACACTCAACTTAAGCCAACCTAAACCCTGAGCCCTACCTTGAACCCTAAACCTCAAAACCTTATCTGCCTTATTTGATGCCGAAACCCTCAAATTTCAAAACCTTATGAGCTGTACAGAGCAATATATACGAAGCGCCCGTTGGCTGCTGCACTGGCCGCTGTGATGCCCACTTGCGCAATACAGACGCAAGCCTAGCATTTTTTGTTTGGGGGGGGCCTCAAGACTTATAGGTTTAAGGAGTTATGGAATACCCATTGAGCTTATACATGTTGATACCTACGGTTTAGGGTTTAGGGTTTGTTGGGGCCTTAAGAACCCAAAGGGTCCAAAGTACCTATATAGTAGAATGTAGGGTTTCTAGATTATAGGACTTACTATTATGACTTGGGAGAGTATCCCTCATAACAGTACCTATGACCCTTTGGGGAACTAGAGTAAGGTTTAGGGTTCGGTTCCTTTAGCGGGTTCCTCTTGAAGGGATACAAAAAAAGGTTGCACTCAGGATACCGCTTCGGGTTTACAGGGATTTGGGGCTCAGAGTTACCAAATCGAGGTCTTGGGTTTTAGGGTTCGCGGGGTTTAATTAGGGAATACCCATTGAATTCATATATATATATATATATATGTATATATATTTTTCTACCATAGTCAGGGTCGAGTGATGCCGAGAAGGAAAACCCAGAAGCCATGAGGGGCACGTAGAACTCGACAGCGTCGGGATTGCAAGGGGGCTGGTCATACTGGTACCTTTCGTCTGCGGAGCTGAAGCAGTAGTACGGGGCTGGGAGGCCCATTCCCATCAGGAAGAAACAGCAAGCAGCAGCCAAGAGCCAACCTCCAGCCATGTAAGGACGACGCCGCAGGCCACAAATTGGCCGAGAGTCACTCAGAATGCCCAGTAGAACCTAGGATGCCCAGCAACCTAGGAATGAAAATGGGCTCCCTTCTTGGTATTGGGTATATAAGGAACCTAGGACTACAAAAAGAACAAAGCGAAATAGAAAACTACATATCTCAAAAAGGCAAACCAATATGTCAATATAGACATAACGCCCTAAACCCTAAACCCTAAAACCCAAAACCCTAAACCTTAAAACTCCAAAGACACCAAAAACCCAAACCCTAAACCCTCCAAAAAACGGTAAAAATGGGGCCTCCACTCTCCCCCAGGGCCTAGGAACGAACCTTAAACCCTACAAACATGAAAAAAGGGGATCAGTGTCCCAATCAAAGGGGAAAAGGAGGGACCCTTAATGAGGACCCCTAGGTGTAGACCCATAATATAGCCACTATATACCCATTAGATAGCTCATTGTAGGGTAAGGCCCCATTAAGGGTCCCTCCTTTTCCCCTTTGTCCCAAGGCCCTCCAAGGCCCAAGGCCTAGGAGCGGAGAAGACGCTGGGAAGCTCCGCAAGATTTGCTCCAGCCTTGATGTTGTCACTGGGGACCTCGGCTCTGTTGGGGGCTTTTCGGGGGTTTCGGGGCCCTAAACTCTAAACCTTTTTTGGGTTTAGGGGCTTGTTGGGTTTTGGGTTTAAGGTTTGGGGGCTTTTGGGGGCGTTTGGGGCTTGGGGGCTTGCTGGGGGCTTTTTGGGTTTGGGGGCTTTTGGGGTTTACTTCGCAGGGTTTAGGGTTCCTTTAAAGGGATCCATGGAAGGGTTCCGTTAAGGGTTCGGCTCTGGGGGCTTTTGGGGGTTTAGGGTTTAGGGTTTAAGGTTTAGGGATTAAGGTTTAGGGTTTAGGGATTTGGGGACCTTGGCTCTGGGGGCTTTTGGGGGCTTTTGGGCTTTGGGGCTTTTTTGGTTTAGGGTTTAGGGGCTTTTTGGGTTTAGGGCTTTAGGGGTTTAGGGTTTAGTGGTGGGGTGTAGGGTCTAGGGGCTCTGGAACCTTTCTGGGGTTTAGGGCTTTTTGGGTTTAGGGTGGAGGGCTTTGGGTTGAGTAGTTGGGTTCAAGGATTTAGGGCCTAGGGACTAGGGGCTTTTGGGGGCTTTTGAGGCGTTTAAGGCTTTATGGTGCCTTTTAGGGTCTTTTAGGGGTTTCAGGGCTTAGGGCTTTTTGGGTTTAGGGTTGAGGGCTTAGTGTTTAAGCTCTGGGGGCTTCGGGGCTCTGGGGTTTAGGGCTTTTCAGGTTTATTGTTGAGGGCCTGGGTTTTAGTGTTTAGGGGGGTTTGGGGCTGTGTGGGTTTAGGGTTGAGGGCTTAGGGTTTAGTGTTTAGGGTCTAGGGGCTTAGGGCCTTTGGGGCTGAGGGTTTAGGGTGACTTCTGAACCCCTCCTAAAGGTTAAACTTTAGCCTCCTTGTTATAGTTCATATACAAACCTAAACAGTTAAAGTCCTAAGAGCCTACCAGAAGAACGCCAAGGAACATTCAGGTAGCCTGCAAGGACATTGAAGAGGATGGCATTGGCAGCCCCCGATGTAAAGCCGGTTGCGACATAGTGCAGAGTTATGCCACAGTTCCTGCTTTGAGTGCTGGGGGACTTAGTAAATAGTTTACAGCTAAATCAAGCCTAAAAGTATCAGAACCGCATCGAGGATCCTCTTTACGATGGCCTAAACCGTAAACCCTATATGGGTGGTTAAAAATGATGGTCCATTTTTGGGTACCCTAAATATTAGGTGCCGTACTATAGTAGGGACCCAAAAAAGGTACCATATTTTCGATGACCGCCCATATACACATAACCAAAATACTGGACCCTAATATAGTGCCCTAAATAGTAGGACCGTTCTTATAAGGACCCCTATATAAGGTACCCCTCTTTTCGGAAATTCCCATATGTGGAACCTCTAAGGCACCCTCCAGGTTGCGCCCCAGGATTAGTCCGTTTATCATAGGGTTTAGCTGCCGTACAAGATTAGGGACCCAGAAAAGGTACCATATTTTCGACAAACACCCATATGACCCTAACCCTAAACCCTAAACCCCCAAATATATGGCCCCATGTATATGCCGAGGTTCCTGGGATCGGAGATGGCGAACTCGTATTGACCGTTTGCTTCTGCCTCCCGGCAAACTACTCTACTTGTAGGTTCATGGCTATATAGTTATAACGTCTGGTTATAAGTAGAGTAACTATACTTATAACCCATATTAGGGGACTTATAACCCGACTTATAACTACCCATGAACCTCCAAGTAGGGGCCTCAATAATCATGCAGGATATTGGTGCTGGGCTCCCTTTTATGGTGTAATGCATTAAAGAACGATGTTAATAACTGTTTAAGGTTCTATGCTACATGAACCGGAGCTCTTCTCGGAACCCGAACCATACCCCGAAGTTACGCTAAGGGTCCAGGGTTTAGGGAGGTTTAAGCGAAACAAGACGCCCCAGTGAAACGTTCAGGAAACAAAGTTATTCTATAGTCCTTTTGCTATTTCTATGGCATAGTATCACGTCCTCAAACCTTAGAAAAGTTTTGGGGCACGCTGTATCAGAATTGACTATAATGAGGAAACCTTGCAAACTCTTTCGTTTTTGGTCAGACTGTGTACTAATTAACATTATCCATAGGCCCCAAAGTAGTTCCTTTTTGGGATTACCTAATAGGATTCTATATATGAACCCCAAAAAGGAGCTACTTGGGGGGCCTCTGGGAAGTTATTAGTTACACTGCTCGGACCTTTCTGGCAAGGAGTGCATGTCGGCTCTGATGAAGGACCCCAAGGGTCCAAAGGACCCAATAGTTAGGTACTCGGTTTTAGGATAGTGGTTATGTAGGTTAGGATTTTGGAGAGTCTTGGGGGAGGTTTAGGGTTTGCACGTCTTCCACGGAGCCTTTGCGAAGGAGTCGCTGGAAGGGCTGCTCGTTGTCGTCTTGGGCGACGCAGGGATCACCGAGGAAGTTGGTGATCGACTTGCTTCGAGGTCCATTCCTCGCGATGAGACAAAGAATCTCCTGTGATGGTACCCCTCTGTGCCTGTGTCTCGAGCCAGCGCGGTGTGTCAGTCGGAAGCCTTAAAGAATGGGAACCGAAGTTATCCCTACACCTCTAACCCAGCGCCCCAAACCCTGAACCCCCAAACCAAAAAACTCTTGATGTTAATTGCGCCTCAACCCCTCAAACCCCAAACCCTAAACCCTCTGAAATCCGCCAACATGTGCTGTCACCCAAAATCGTAAAAACCCTAAACCCCTCTAAAGTTCGCCAAAATGTGCTGTCACTTCAAGTCCTATAAACCCTAAAACCGCAAAATCCTGGCACCGGGAGCGCCCTCCGCGGGAACATTGACTAGGGGTTCCTTTGCAGGGCTTATAAGTTAGAAGCTTCCCCCACCCTGACCCTGTAACAGTGACTATAAGGATTATATTCGGCCCCTATTATATTCCGATTATACCACTATTACAGGGTGGGGGCCCCTTCTAACTTATAAGGGTTTATGAGGGTTTCAGTAGAAGCCAAAAAGTTGCAACATCATTGTCCCCATGCCCTTAGGGTAGAGTAGAAGGAATCCCAGCACTAATCCTCCCAAATCCATGTTCCAACTTTCTGGGGTTATAAGGGTTATAAAGGACTATAAGGGTTTATAAGGGTAGTAGGGTTTTATAGTGGTTTATAAGGGTTATAAGGATTGTAAGGGTCCAGGGTTGAGGGGTTCCTTTAAAGGGAAGTCTGGGGGTTCCTTTCGGGGTTCTTTAAAGGGGCTATAAGGGATCTATAGTAGGGTTCAGGGTTCAGGGTTTTGGAAATTTATAGGGTTTTGGGGTTTAGGGCTTTCGGGTTTAGGGTTTTGGGGGTTCAGGGTTCGGGTTTTCGGGGTTAGGGTTCTAGGTACCGAAAGAGCATTTCTTAGATAGTAGGGCTTGGCAGTCCTTGATATGGCCCCTGTTCCGGGCGCGGGCTCCTTTCAAGACGCTCACTGGATTAACATTAAGCCTCAAACCCTGATAAACTCTGGAAACCCACGATCATACCTTCGTCGTCCATGAGCATGGACATGGACAGTAACCTTGCCCCCATCGTTATCAGCATCATCGTCAACATCAGAACGACTAGTTGACGAGTACAGATACTGCAAGTATAACTCCTGCAATAAAGCAGTCCTTCACACACACACACACACACACACCGTACTCGTCTGATATCCGTGGGCATCTGGCCAATACCTGCACTTCTGCGAAACTCGTGTAAAGTCAGTGCCACGTAGGCTGATACTGGTCTGAGTCTGCACGGGACTTGATGCAGCCTCTCGACAGGAACATCAAATGTCTAGTGTCCACCGTTCCACATATCTTCCACGCAATTATGCTTCACAACCTGGGTCCCTGCAGCGGAATCTCATCCACTATGCATCAACACCATCGGCTCTAGCTCTAGCCTGATGCTCTGGCGAGGAAATTGAAAATGATGCTGGCACTAAGCGGAAGACAGTGCAGGCTGATAACGACGATGACGATGAGGCTATTGCTGAAATAGAGGTTTCGCTATCCGTAATGGCAGCGGTAGCAAGAGAAGGCATAGCACCAGCAGTCGCTAGATGTAGCTAGTCATAGCAGTCGTATAGCTAGAATGAGCGAATTGTCGACATCCCCTTCGTCTTCCCGAGCTGAGCTCGAGTGGAGAGTGCGTCCGGCCTTGATTTTGACCATTGCAAGCCACAGGAGAAGTGCAAAGGTCCGAGTCTACGGTGCGGGTATGCTCTGTGCTGCGACCTTTCCTCACAAAGACTGTCAGAGGGATCTCGGTCCGAACAGCAAAACAAGAGCCAGACTGGATCCGGCTTCAGAATTACTAGGGCTTCAAGTATCCACGTAGTATCTCTGCTTCGGGTCTGCAGTGTGTACGAAATACCTGGCGTTTGAAGCCCCAGGGCATGCTCATGGAACAAAATTGAAATCCTGTACAGAAAACGTCTGTGCAGTGACCCGTGCTGGCAGTGCAGGAAACGGGCACTGATATTTTCAAGATGACATACCGTCGCACTCGTCGACTTCTGCAATAAAACGCCAAACTAGGGGTCCATCTGATGGGTTTCTTCCGAAGCTTCCAGTCAAGCCGTTTCTTGAAGCATCGAGATCAGAGGCTGCTGCTGTCTGTACGTAGAGACTCGGGCGCGAGCTCTACAGTAGAAGCCAGAAAGTTGGAATATCATTATCGTAACCCCTTTAAGGTAAATTATAGGGGATCCTACCATTAATCCATATTCCAACTTTCTGGAGTTCCCTTTAGCAGCCTTGTCCACCAAGGAAGTGGAGGCAAGTCAAGGAAGGATCTAGCACCAAAAAATCTCCAATCAGCCTTGGCTTATGACACAAGATCCAGAGCCATGGTTTAGGGTTTAGGGGTTTAGGGTTTAGGGTTGCCGTCAAGAAACTTCACATCTACAGACTGCCTTTAGACTCAAAAATGTTGACGAACAAGTCGCAGCCACGTGTAGAGCAAGGTAACTCCAAGTATGAACGTGGCAAGCATAGCGAAGACTGGCCTTTTGCACCATGTCTGCTTACGCTCTCGCGCCTCCCCCTTCCTCAGTGATCGGCTCAAGGCTGCAGGTTTTCGGGCCAACCGCAGAATAAACAGGTGAGAAGTATGTACGCATGTCAGCGTGTATGGTTGGGGAGCAACTTAAGCGGGGATACCCTACCAGCGGGGATACGCGTACCTAGGGGCTCGGGCCGGGTCTGATTTTGGCAGAGGTCATGTGTGAAGATTGCGGAGCCGTCTCTTTTTCAACATCCGTCGCGAAATTAACATCGAAATTAGGATCCACGGATCAAACGTTTCTGTTTCACAACCCCTCAAATCCAAGTCATGTGTCATGTTTTGGAGGCCCAGCTTTTCCAAGCTGTTCCATGCGAACTTGGATTGTGTTGCAGTGCTGGCCAATGCAAGATCTTTGCTTCCATGGTGCACAAAGGGCTTGAAGTTGAGGGCTTGGCTTGTGACTTCTTGGGTTAAACTGACCTATGTCCGTAGATTTGGCGCGGTTAAACCGAACCAGACGTCTCTCATGTGCACATATGTGCACGATGTCTGTGCTTCTCTAAGAAGGGGTCTGCTCAAAAGAGGGGTTGTGGGGAGACCACAGACCGAAGCGCGTTTCAGGGGCGGTTCAAGCGCATTACAATGGTAATGATGATTACAAGAGCTTCCAAAAACACCAAAGAGCAATCACAGATCAAGCGAGTTTCCAGCGTTTTTCAAGCACAGTTCAATGGTAAGGAGGATTCCAAATAGGTTAAAACGAAGCCAAAACCAAATACAGATCAAGCGCGTTGCAAGCACGTTTCAAGCATATTTCAATGATAATGAGGATTGCAGGGGCTTCGAACGAAACCAAATAGCAATCACAGATCAAGCGCGTTTCAAGCGCATTTCAATGGTAAGGAGGGTTCCCATCGTTTAAACCGGAGCCAAAAGCAAATACAGATCAAGCGCGTTTCAAGCGCATTTCAAGCGCAATTCAATGATAATGAGGGTTGCAGGGGCTTCAACGAAACCAAAGAGCAATCACAGATCAAGCGCGTTTCAAGCGCATTTCAAGCGCATTTCAATGGTAAGGAGGGTTCCCATCGTTTAAAACGGAGCCAAAAGCAAACATAGATCAAGCGCGTTTCAAGCGCATTTCAAGCGCATTTCAATGATAATGAGGATTGAAGGGGCTTCAACCAAACCAAAGAGCAATCACAGATCAAGCTCGTCTCGAGCACATTGCCATGGTAACCAGGATTCCATAGTCTACAACGAACGAAGCCAAAGCCAAACACAGATCAAGCGCGTTTCAAGCGCATTTCAATGATAATGAAGATTACAGGGGCTTCGAACGAAACCAAAGAGCAATCACAGATCAAGCGCGTTTGAAGCGCATTTCAATGGTAAGGAGGGTTCCCATCGTTTAAACCGGAGCCAAAAGCAAATACAGATCAAGCGCGTTTCAAGCGCATTTCAAGCGCATTTCAATGATAATGAGGATTGCAGGGGCTTCAACGAAACCAAAGAGCAATCACAGATCAAGCGCGTTTCAAGCGCATTTCAAGCGCATTTCAATGGTAAGGAGGGTTCCCATCGTTTAAAACGGAGCCAAAAGCAAATACAGATCAAGCGCGTTTCAAGCGCATTTCAAGCGCATTTCAAGCGCATTTCAATGATAATGAGGATTGGAGGGGCTTCAACCAAACCAAAGAGCAATCACAGATCAAGCGGGTTTCAAGCGCGTCTCAAGTGCACCTCAGCTGTCTTTGAGGTGCATTTCATGCGCGCTGCACTTGCTCACAAGTGCCTTTGAAAGCAATTGATGCACATTTCAATGTTCAGGCAGATTGTGCGGTAAGGATGATTGCATGCATGAGTTAAGAGAAACCACAGACCGAACGCGGATCAAGTGCGTTTCTAGCGCAATTGAAGCCCATTACAAGAAACAAGCCACACAAGCGAAGGGCGAATTGCAGATGCAGTGCAATGAACCGCCCAACTCATGAATATCAGGAGGATCTGCACCAGTTTTGCAGAGACGCAGAGCAAGCGCACAGCAAGTGCAGCGTAAGCACAGAGCGAGCGCATTTCAAGGGTATTTCAGGCAGGGCCACACAGCCATGTCACACCTGTGTAACCAAAACAACCTGCAGACCACAGGGCCTGGCAAGGCCCTAAAACATCAGAACAATAGAAGCAACACATATACATCCTTTGATTTCACTCGCCAATAAAATCATGTTCAGAAGGTAGCCACTGCAGCAACCGCAGAGCAATCCGAAACCACTCGCAAGATAATTGAGCCAACCAACGCAGAACTGTGAGAATGCGGCGACTAGAACTAAAGCAAGAAGACCGGCTGTGGGACTAGCTTCTATACTGACCCACAAAAATTGACGGCACATACTTATCCCAGCTCGCAACCACTAAAAGCGACTACAGAGGGACACCACTAATATCTTCGAGAACTTATTGTTGTAAGCTCACTGCCAGGAAATCAAGCAGTGACTAGCACAAATGGGCCGTGAGCCTGGACGATACATAGCTCAGACAGAACAAAGTAGCACGACAAACCTTTCAAGGAAAATGCAAGTATCAAAGCCTCGTCAAAATTTACTTGCTTATGTGCACGAACTATCGTCGATGCATGCAACTATTTTCTGAATATCTTAACTATTTTAATAAATCAGACCAGGGTCAATACAGGTATACGTATTACAATACCCAGACCTGCGACGTCCATCGAATTTCAATATTCATTCCAAACACGAGAACGGATCACAGAACCAAAAACCTTGGCAACAAAGCCCTGCCGACCGATCCGAGTGGAGTCAGTGGGGGTCTCCTCCAAGATTTGTAGCTTCTGCAATGACAGTCGCTGTCTCATTCGTTAGACCATCAGAAGGTTGAGGTTTTAAAAAGCTACTGCTTGCGGCTTAGGGGTTTAGGGTTTAGGAACAGCGTGCCAAACGAATGATGCTTGCATATAACGACCCAGGGACCCATTTTGAGGGGACCGCCCGGCCAACTTAAGCGGGGATCTGGCGTACCTTTTTGGGGGCCCAAATGCGCCCAAAATGCGCCCAAAATGCGCTCTTCGCTACGGGCCCCGGCGCCGGTCAACTTAAGCAAGGCTGTGCGTACCTACTCAACAGTAGAAGGGCGCCTGGGAGCCTTTATCAGGCCAATCCCGAAACCCAGGGGTGAGCGGGGATACGCGTACCTATCTTTATATAAAATACAATACAAAGACTCCGCCCCAAACCGAGCCTGAGCGGGGATACGCGTACCTCGCGTCGGAAAAACGATTTTGGTCGGACCCAAAAGCTACGAAAATGGCAGCCAAAACGGTCAACTTAAGCAAGGCTCTGACGTACCTCGCCTCTTGCCTAAAACGCCTCAGAAATATGCTGTTGCTTGCCAAAAAAAAAGCCCGCCTGCGGCGGGCACACCCAAACTTTGTCCGTCGTGTGGTTGTACACCATGATGTTCAGCCAATCGTCACTGCCCACGTGCACTGCATCTGCCACCACGCACAAAAAATGTCCGTCGACTGGAAATCTGACTTGCCCTGCGTGACATAGGCGTGTCGCTCCATGCGTGCTAGCCTGTGTGCGTCCATGGAAGCGTGCTTCTTGATCTTTTGCTCGTCCTCCGTGGGGGTCTCCTCCAGGATGCATACGTGTCCATGCATCGCCCTGCGTGTAGAATGACATGAACTCGCCATTTCCTCTCGGAAGCCCATGGACGATCGACGACACCCGGCGGCACCCCTTCAACAGCACGGGAACGTTGATTAGTTACTAAACTCGAACCTTAAACCCCTAAAGCCCAAACCTCAAAGCTAAACCTTAAGCCCGAATGCCTCCTCAGCTTCATAGTGTGCTTGACATTAAGCGTGTCCAGTGGGAATGGGTGTTGTCCGGCGAGTCTTCGCACCTGACACAGCCTCCATCAGGCAGCGCTGCATCTTGGGGCTGGATTCTTTGCGATTCTCGCTCAGTGTCCGGCTTGTGCAATTTTAAGAATCATCCTGTGGGTCCATCGCTGTGTCACCTCCTTCACGTCCAGGGAACCTGCTTGGAATGGAAGCACTATGTCCACGGCCGTGTAGTCCTCCTCCGCAATGACGACGAAACCATCGTCGACGATCCCAGGCAGTTCTAGCGAATCAACCGGTCGCGCAGTGTCCGGCGTGTCTTCCTGCTCGAAGTGCTCCGGGAATGCTGCATCGACCGGCGCAAGGTGATCCTCGTCTCCGCATCTTCAAACTCCTCGTCGTCCTGCATTTGGTCCTGCTGCTGTCCTTCGTCCGACTCAACCTCGGCCCAAAGTCCAACGTTCGCCATCTCCTCCCTCACCGTCTCCGAGTCGGTGTCGGCCTGGTTGTCATCTGGGTCCGGCGCCTTCATGTCCGCCTCATGCGCCCTGTCGCACTCCTGCTTGTCCGCCTCCAGCAAACCGGACTGGACGGTCACCACATGCCACGGGAGTTCCCTGCTACACCAGCCCTTGAAGGCGTACTTCGCCATCTCGATGTACTCCGGCAGTTTATCCGACGGGCCGAGGTCCGGCGGCGACAAAACAATGGTACCACTTCATGTCCCACATATTGGGGCGGTTGAATGTCGGGAGAAAGATGGCGCTCCCCGTCGCGAGGGCGGACAGTCCGGCGGCGCTGCGTTTGCCCCGCTTGGCTCAGCAGATCTTTAAAGATGAACCACCAGTCAGTCAGGGCGAATGGAGCATATGCAACACAGCTGCAGTACGTAGAGGTTAATGACCAGCCGCACGTTGTCGGAATTGAACTCCAATACAAACGACAGAACGGCGAGGACAAGGAGCAGCGTGTTCCGCATTGGATAATGATTTTGATTGACAAGGGCTGGAGAACCTTGTAGCTGACCGTCCGGGAACCTTTAGCAACAATCAATAACATGAGTTACGTCACAGGCCACTTATCTACTCCGCGCTGCATCGGTGCAACGACACTGGATTGCAATTGCGGTACCTCGTGGGCAAGTGGTGTTTTTCTCCATGTCCGTCAGGCCCAGCCCTCGAAAGTCGATGTCCCAACACATGTATGTCTTCTCGTCGATATTTTTGTGAGGTGCCTGGCCGACGACGCCATTGCTGCCCAACGTGTGAGAATTCGTGCTGGCCGGGCCTGCGTAGAAACACACATCGTGCAGTCAGAAGTGCACACATCGTGTCACTGTACTATCTGATATATCAGACAAGAAACAGGAGTACGGCTTCGGGCACTGCTTGTCGGAGCCGACAGGCAAAACCGCGCGTCCGTCGAGACGCGAACGTCCCCCGAGTCCCGCGAATAGCTTCCCATGTTGCCCGTCGGGCAAGGCTGCAAAGTCGAATTGGGAGCGAAGGGAGTTGGCCTCGCATCGGAAAAAGCCATGGCTGCGAAAAATGTACCAAGGAACGGCGAGGATAACGTGTAAGAGACCTGTGGGGAACTAAGTAGTGTATACACTTCCCTAGGACCTCGACAGGGACGCTACATGTTCTGAATGACATCTTGATGCGCATGCTATACGTGTTAAGGTCCAGTATATATGCTGTGTGAATGAAAGACGTCTGTCCGAGTGCCCCTGCAAGTCGTCTGCAGTGTTGCTGTGACTGAGGGTAATAGAAGCTGTGCTCATGCTCTAGAACTAGGTTCTGAGTCTGGTCCAACATGTGGCAATCGAAGAACCGATGCTCCTCAAACAGCTTCAACCATGCTCGCATGCACACACGTCACATCAGCAACAATCATGTCATGAGCAGAGCAAGTTGGAGGGCGGAAGGCACCTAGTCCAGCGAAGAGCGTGGCATCGGCGATGCAGATAATGTCCACCGTTGCAGAACGACGGGGGATGCACAACGGGCAAATCTCATCGGGTTGAACTACGGGTGGCCTCTCAAAACAGCTGAAGAAATACACCCCAGGCAACATCTGGTAGTCAAATTCTGTGCTTATTTTCGGCCTGTTATCCAATCCACAAATTCATACTACTATTTTCCACACAGATCCATTAACATCAAACCGCTGTCCAAGCGGGTGTTTGCTTAATGTGCTTGCTTTTTAGTGTAGCTTAGAAGCTTCAGACTTGAATACGCACAAACACCACCGACAAGTGAACCACACTCAACTGTCATCATCTCAAAGGTGGGGGTTTAAACTCACGAATGTGCAATTTTTGATGATCATGTAAAACGGCCCAAAACATACGCCCTATCCCGGCCATACGCGTATCCCTGCTTAAGTTGCTCTCTGATATGTGTTTGTACAGTCTTGTAATAATACATACATACATCGGTGTGTATGCATGTATGTATGTACGTATGTATGTACGTATGTATATGTAAGTATGTAAGTATGTATGTATGTATGTATGTACGTATGTACGACGGTTCTACGAATCTGTTGTGAAGATTCTACATCGGCTTTTGTGGGCTTGATGGCTCTGCGATAGGTTTGTTTCCAGGTGTCAAGTTGAATCTTATGAGCGCATGAGTGCAGGTCAGGTCTATGTGTCATGAAGAGGCCATAATCATTAGAATAGGGCTTTGGGAGTTCCTCACTATAACTATAGTATACCATGCCTCGTTAGTGCCTTACATTGTGAAGGTGCAGCTGTGCGGATGCAATTATGTTGATTCTGCTTGCTTGCATCGGGGGGTGGGTGGGTGTCTGGGCGTGTGGTGGGGCTGGTGGTCTGCAGTGTATATTTGTAGGTGATTTCCAGCAGGCCGCACATCCGTTCTGCCGAGTCAGAATGTTTCTATGCAAGGCAGACTTGGGAGTCTCCGAAAATAGGGAACCCTAATATAAAACTCCAAATAGTAGGATCCTTACAAGGATCCCAAAATAAGGTACCCCCCAATTTTCTGAAACTCCCACTTGCAGACATGGCGGGGCCCCCAAGCTTGGGATCTGGATCTGGTAATCCAAATCTCAATCCTTAATATTAGGGGCCTTAATAATTGGAATAAGGTTTCGGGGCCCATTATACTATAATCATGATATAGGTAGTTCTTTCGGCCTCTATGTTGTGCACTTGTCAAACCGAATCCACAAACCTTATGCCTTATGCCCCCAAGCAAGCCCGAAACCGAATCCTTACAAACCCTACTTGCATAGTTTTCGTCAATCCCTATACTCACTGCAGTATCTCAACCTTGTGACTCGTCTTTAGGGTCCTGGTGCTCGCGGACGGCTAGACAGGTAATTACTCCCCACACTTTGTTGAAATCCTCCGGTTGATATGCCAGGTGGACCTAGTATATACAGAACGAAAAACAGCCCTAAACCCTAAACCCCTAAACCCTAAACAGTGTTCCTGCATCCCAAAAGCCCCACCTTCTCAGGATTCCTTATGATGATTTCCGAAAGGTAGGCTGTTTGGGGTCCGAAACCCGAAACCCGACATCCGAGCTTCTGTGCTGGCAGCAAGGGCAGCGCGAGGAAGCAGAGGGAGTAGATGAAGTAGGAAAGAAGAAACCTGGCGAAGGACCCTGATGACGCAGGGTTTATAAGGTTTAAACTTTAAACCTTACTTGGAAGTTCGTGGGTAGTTATAAGTGGAACAAAACAGGCCGGGCGAACGATGAAGCAACCGTCCAGCGAAAGTCCTGCGTGTCCTCAATGTAGTTCCTGAGCTTGGAAACACAAAGGGTCCTAGGTACAGTTATGGGAGATACTTCCCCAAATCAATCTAGTAGTTCCTAATATAGAAATCCTACTATATAGGTAACTTTGGACCCTTTGAGAAAGGAAGAAAAAGGGGCCTCACGCAAAGACCTGGAAAAGTAGAAGGGACCCGCACTTTCCGGACAATCGGCTCAGGCGTACTCATCCTGCTTCTCATTGCTACAAGACGCTAAGATTGACAGCCTTAGCATTGCTAATGCTCTAATTACTAACTTAACTGCTTCTAACATGACTGACAGAAATACCATACGAGTACTACAAAAAATACCTTTTCCAAGTCTAAACTGAGCTTGTGGAGTTTCGGCCTCACAAGGGTGTGAGGCTTCAGGGTACCAAGGTGTAAGGCTTGACGGTTTGAGCATCTGGGATTCAGGGTCTTGGGGTGTCGGCTCTAGGGTCCACGGTTTAGGGTTCGGAGGTTTAGGGTTTACGAGTTTAGGGCTTTAGGGTTTAAGGTTTGGAGGTTCAGGGTTTACGAGTTTAGAGCTTTAGGGGCTAAGGCTTGGGGTTTTGAGGGTTCGGGTTGACTTTCACTCTTTGCGTTCGGGGTTTAGGGTTTTGGGGGCTTGGGATGTCGGCATGCAGGGACCCACTGCAAGCCACGGTTTAGGGTTTTGGGTTTAGGGTTTAGGGGTTTAGGGTTTAGGGTTTAGGGTGTCCACTGAACCTGACCTTTCACCCAGAGACTCCAATATCCCTGAATCTAGGGATATTGGAGTCTCTGGGAAGTATACCAAACTCCTAAACCAGCCTAGTTGGAGGTTCATAGCTAGTCGTAAGTATGGTTATAAACAAGTTTTAAGGTAACTATACTTATAACCCATATTAAGAGACTTATAACCCCACTGATAACTACCCTAAACGCTAATCCCTAAACCCGAAGTCCCGATAGAGGGACCCTTATACAGGGACCCTTCCAACCCCACTTACAACTACCCATGAACCTCCAAGTAGGGTTTCGGGTTAGGGATCACGCAACATTCGCCCTGACTCCGGGGCTCCTCTAACACGAAATACCAAACGAGCCGCAAGCCCTTTCTGCTATTGTGGGGGGGACTTAAGAATTAGGTTTCAGGATTTATGGAATACCCATTGAGCTTATACATGTTTATACCTAGGGTTCAAGGTTTAGGGTTTTTTGGGTGCCTTGAGAACCCAAAGGGTCAAAAGTTCCCTATATAGTAGAATGTAGGGTTTATGTATTCGGAAGTACTATTATGATTAGGGTTTATATGTTAGGAATTAGTATTATGATTAGGGTTTATGTTTTAGGAATTACTTTTATGATTTGGGAAAGTATCCCCCATAACAGTGTCTGGTAGTGAGAAAGCCATATAGGGAGCCTGAATAATCAGAATGCCTATTTTTGGCGGCAGGCATAGTATAGTAATGAAATTATGAGGGCACTGATTACATTAGAATATGGTTCGAATTGATAGTTCAGTACTAGTACATAGGGACTAGAAGGCTATAATAAAGACGACTATTGCGAACTAGTCCGGCCCCCATATTAGGCTCAGGATGCTGGAGCTGTGGGGCCTTAGGGGCAAGATAGGGATTAGGTTAAAAGGCTACCTCCCCCGCCCCTAAGGCTTGAAGCCTAAACCCTGAACCCTAAAGCCCCCTAAACCCTAAACCCTAAAGCCCCCTAAGCCCTAAACATTGAACCCTAAACCCTAAACCCTAAGCCCTAAACATTGAACCCTAAACCCAAACCCTACCCCCAGCAGCAGGCAAGGCTCATCCTGTCAGAAAGACTTGGGGTAAACACAGAGAACACCTCAGGCTGAGGGATTAGAATTTTAGGGAGTGGGCTTTTGTGCATTGGGGGCTTAGGGGTTTATGGATTTTAGGGTTCAGGGTTTAGCGCTTAGGGAGTAGGTTGTACAGTTGGGGTTTAGGGTTCAGCTCGAACCCACCGAGTACGCTCACGCACGCCTTGGCCGCGATTACAGGTTTAAGGTTTTCGGTCTGCTAGAGAGCACGCGCGGCTCTACATACTGGGGTTTGGGGTTCACCGGTCTTTCGAGACTGTTGATGCGCAGCACTCTTGCAAGGTTGCTTCTCTTAATAGGGTTGCTAGAACCTTGGGCGTTTAGGCAGATAATCTTGTTTTCCGGGTTTGTAGAAAGCAAGACAAGCAAATCTCGAGATGTCTGAGTGGCTTGGTTCGACAGAACAACGGAGAGCCGCTGTGCCACTGCTGCAATGGTGTCCATGAGGCCAGCCACCAGCGCACAGTTACCTAGACGGTTTACATCCCTTGAATGATCAAGGAATTTTTGACTGAAAACTCAGCAAAGCTGTACCTCCGAGGGAATTAGGATCTACGACACTTAGCCATGCGATGCCAGGATCAAACGGATCCTCTGGAGCAACAAAAAGCTTGGGGTTTCCGAGGTGCTATCGTCTGCAAGCTCATTGATTAGGAATGTGGTGACGAGTGCTGACATTGCTTGAGGCACATTCTGTGTGACTGGCTCACCAAGATAGAAGTACTGGTTCCGGATGACATCGAAGATCGTGCAGAACTGAGGAATGGCATCGAGAAGTGTCGTTGAGACCCCAGTCACGAAGATGATCTTTCGCCAGCTGGCTCCCAGAAACCATTTTTGAATAAGCCAGCTTCCCAGAAGGCTGAGACAGGCACCCAGCATGCCGCAAAGCTGCCTCTGCATGTTTTCGGTCTTTGCCCATTCTAGCCCCACCCACACTCTCGCAGTCGTGCTGATATTGAAGATACTGGAGCTGGCGAAGAAGAAGAGGGCCACAGCGCAGAAGGCCTGCATCACTCAATGCAAGAAGTGAAAGTTTCCGAAAATAGGGGACCCTAATATAGCACCCTAATTAGTAGGATCCTCTTTTATAAGGACCCCAAAACAGGTACCCCTAATTTTCGGCAACCCCCAAGTGGCGATTTGGGAGTCTTGGGTCTGGGGTCTGGGGACTAGGGCTGATAACAGGCAACCCCTTGCAAACTTCTAGCTTCGAGCCTTACTTTCCAATAAGTGCCATGACGATCGAGAGTAGTCGCGAAGTGACGCGCTCCCCCCGGGTCGCTCGTGCACCTTGACGGCGCACAGAGCCCCAGTTACTGTGCACATCACAGCAACAATGCCTAGGCTGTTCAGTAACCCACTGGGAAAAGTATCATAATTTTATAGGCTTCTTATCTTATAATAGGAACTCAGAAACCTGAAAGCAAAAAAGTGTACCACTGAACAGCTTGGATGCCTATGGCTTCCTGGTAGCTTAGCTGGTGCCGTTGATTGAAGCTGCCAGTAAACATACGCCCGTTGAAGCCGAAGGCTACCTTAGTTGTTGAGTTCATAAGCCACCAAAAAGTGCACACTTTTAGTTTCATATTGGGAAAAGTATCCCAAAAAAGTGTAAAGTGTATCCACTCAGCTACTAAGCTACTATTGTGACCGACACGAAGTATCCGGCAGTATTCACCATTTGAAGCAAAGTTTGCGCACGACCACGATTCTCCTCTGCCTCTGCTTTGGCATACTCCACCATGAGCCTGCTTTCAAGGCAGCGCAAGCCGAAGTAATGGGCGAGGGACGTAAGAAGTAGACTGAGGTATATTACACACATAGGCGAACCCAAGGATTCGTAGCTGTTCAAGCTTGGGCACGTATTGAGGAAAAGGCTTCCCCTAGAAAAACAAATAATTTCACGACTGTAGTAGACCCCCTTAACCCCCAAATCCCAGGCACAAAAAACAAAAATCGTAAGGAGACTACAGGAAAACCTAGACCTAAGAGTAACCTAGGAATAAAAAGGGTGCCCTTTTTGGTTTAAAGGGGGTTATAAGGGAACCTAAACCCTAAAAAAAGGAATAAGGGCCTACTCCGGGTCCTAGAAACACTGGCAGACAGAGGAGCCCGTTGGCCGCTGAACCGGCGGCAGTGATGCCCAGTTGCGCACCGCAGACACAAACCTGGGTCTTTTTTTTTTTTTTTTTTTGGGGGGGGGGGCTTTAGAATTATTGTAAGGTTTAGGGTTTAGGGGTTTAGGGTTTAGGGTTTAAGGTTTAGGGATGGAGAATTAGGTTTAAGGATTCATGGAGTACCCATTGAGTTTATACATGTTTATACTTTGAGGGGCCTTGGGAATTAGAACAAGGTTTTGGGTTCGCGGTCCCTTTAGCAGGATCCTGTTGAAGGGTTACGATAAACGTTACACGAAGAAAAACCCAGAAGCCATAAGGGGCACGTAGAAGTCGACCGCATCGGGATTGCAAGGGGCTTGCTCGAAAAGGTAACGGTCTTCCTCAGAGCTGAAGCAATAGTAGGGGCCTGGGAGGCCCATGCCCATCAGGCAGAAACTGCAAGCAGCAGCCAAGAGCCAACCTCCAGCCATGTAAGGGCTTCGGGGGCTTAGGTTTAGAAGTTTAGGGGTGGAGGGCTTTCGGGTTCTGGCCAGTTTAGGGTAGTCCACCTCCAAGCATGTAAGGACGACGCCGCAGGCCGCAAATTGGCCACGAGTCGCTCAGGATGCCCAGCACAATGGAGAAAACGGTCGGCAGCTGGGCTAAGTTCACCCCACCTTCTAGGATGCCCAGTATCCTAGGAATAAAAAGGGCTCCCTGTTTAGTATTGGGCAACTTTATAAGGAACCTAGGACTGCACAACGGGAATAAGGGTACTACTGGGCATCCTAGCCTTGCATGACTGCAGCGGAAACATTCAGGTAGCCCGCCAGCACGTCGAAGAAGATAGCATTTACAGCCCCGGTAACAAAGCCGCTCGCGAAGTAGTGCAGAGTTATGCCGCAATTCCTGCTAGGTCAAGAGGGTCGGAGGAGTTGGTAGGCAATTATGAGGTCTGGAAAACCTACGTAAATAGTGTCCTGACCCCGATTACGAAAATGAACCCAGGGTCTCTTAATCAGGTTCCTACATTATTATATTATCCATATAGATCCCTTATAGTAACCCTTATCGACCCCTTTAAAGGGACCCTAAAAACCCTAAACCCTAAGCCACGAAATCCCCTAAAAGCAGCAGCTCCTGGAGTCCGAGAGGGCATACTCGAAGCTGCAGTTGCTCTCTACCTGCCCACATGGGTGGCTGTCAAAATTTGTGGTCCCTTTTTGGGTCCTTACTATAGTACGGCACCTAATATTTAGGGTACCCAAAAAGGGACCATAATTTTGACAACCACCCACACGGAAAAGGCTCAACCTTGAGCGTTTAGGCCTCAGGATTGTAGAGCTGCTGCGGTTAAGAACCGAGGGGGCCCAACTGCTCCGACAAATTTCCCAAAGGGTCCTCGGTACTGTTATGGGAGATACTTCCCGAAATCAGAGTCGTAATTCTTTGTATAGAAACCCCTACATTCTACTATATAGATACTGTACTTTGGACCCTTTGGGTTTGTAAGCAGTGCTGGGGGCTGTTACCAGGATCTACTCGCGGAGCCTTTGCAAAGGAGTCGCTGGAAGGACTGCTTTTCGTGGTCTTCGGCGATGCACGGGCAGAAGGCGCTGGTGATCTCGTGGTTTGCAGGCCCATCTTTCTTTACCCTAAACCTTAAAATCCCAAAGGGTCCTTAGTACTGTTATGGGGGATATTTTCCCAAATCATAGTAGCAACTCCGAATATATAAGCCCTACATTCTATGTACTATGCAGGTACTTTGGACCTTTTGGGTTCTACTATATAGGTACTTTGGACCCTTTGGGAATAGAGGTGGGAGCTTGTGTCATGGATCCCCTGTCTGCCAGCCCTTCGAGCCGAGTGTGTGCACGCGATTCGACTGTGAGGGTTCCAGGTTGAAGGCTTAAGGCTAGGCTGTTCGGTAAGCCACTGGGAAAAAGTATATATATATATACACACGTTCTTAGGCTTCAAATTTTTCAATGGGAACCCAGGAACCTGAAAGTAAAAAAGTGTACCACTTAACAGCCTGCAATAAGGTGTTGGGTTTCCAAGTTTTCGAGCGAGGCTACACGCCTAAACCTCAAAAGCAGTGCAAAGCCCAAACATTTCACACTAAACCCAAAACCTATGTAGGGTCTTGGCTTGAAGCGCAGGAACCCACGGCACTATAAGGGCTACTAAAAGGAATCCATAAGGGTACTATACTATAGGGGATTTGATAGTTAGAACAGGGTTTTGGGATATGTTATACTATAGCCCGAACACACACGGGTCCTGGCGCTCTGTGGAATGGCAATCTGCAGCCTGCGTTGTCAAGTCGTAGTATGATCATGGCTACGTTTACGATCATGCTTTACGACCATGCTGCTTATTGTGGATATCAATGTAGGTAGGTAGGTGGGTAGGTCTACACTTATCCTTGTATATGTATATACAGATAGAGAGAGAGAGAGAGAGAGAGAGAGAGAGAGAGAGAGAGGGGGGAATGTTGATGTTCAAAAAAACTGGTGTGGTCTCATGCTACGAGCAAGCAGATGGGGGTTTCCGAACATAGGGGACCCTAATATAGTACCCTACATAGTACGATCCTTGTTATAAGGACCCCAAAAGAAGGTACCCCTAATTTTCGGAACCTCTAAACCCTAAACCCTGTATAGAACCCTCATAGAGCCCTTTAAGGAACCCTTTAAGGATCCCTTTAAAGGTACCCCTCCATGTTCGGAAACCCCCAGGTGTCTTGGTACAACACCTGGGCCCTGCTTGGAAGGTCGGGGGACTTAGTAACTGGTTATTTTAGGGACTTATAAGTACCATAACCCCAATTAGGGTCCCTTTTAAGGTACTTATAAGTCCACTTACTACCTACTTACTAAGTCCCCCTCAAGGACCCGCGCACGAATGGCCATGAGGTTAAGGGCTTACTTTCCCAAAGGGTCCTAGGTACTGTTATGGGGAACACTTTTCCAAATTGTAATAGATTCCTAATCTAGAAACCCTACATATGACCATATAGGTACTTTGGACCTTTTGGGTTTAGGAGTTTGGCTCCGGTAAGGATTCCAAACCCTGTCTGATTGGCCACTGCAAAGGATCTGTCTGGTGTTGAGGGCGAGGCACTGTAGAGCTTAGGAAACCAAAAACCTGCACCTTCGGACTACTTGGAGGTTCATGGGTAGTTATAAGTCGGGTTATAAGTCCCCTAATCTGGGTGATCGTATAGTTACCCTACTTATAACCAGACTTACAACTACGCATGAACCTCCAAGTAGCGTGTCAGGTTATGGGGGAGAAAGCCCAGTATGCTAGGCCAAACGTGGTGTTCTCTGGGTAGAACCCCCCCAAAAAATAGCATTGGTAATTATTATGGCCGATCCATTACATACGAAGCCCAGGCCTCAAGACTTGACGTCGGAGAAGAGGCCAGGGAAACGAGGATTTTGAGGTTTTGGGGTTTAAAGCTTTTTGGGTTTAGGGTGTAGGGCTTACAGGGTTTTGAGGTTTCGGGGCTGTAGCGGCTGTAGCGTTGGGTGCTTGAGGGCTTAAGGATTTGGGTGCTTTGGACTAGGGTGTAAGGCGGAGGGTTTGAGAACTTGAGCCTGTTGGGGCTGCAAGCAGAGCTTTGCGGATTTCGGGCAGGTTGGACTGAGGCTGAGCGCCGAAGGGGAGGCATTGTTGCTGCCGCAACTCCTGCGTGCATCTTGAAGCACACGACCGGAAGGGAAGGAGCAGTACTGTTCTCGTCCGTTAATGTAGGAACCTGATTCAGAAACCCTGGCCCGATAACCCCCAATATAGGATTCATAATTATGAGGAACCCAAATACAGTCCCTGGGTTCCTTCATCAGGTCCCTACAGTAACCCTAAGGGTCCATGTACTCATTTAGTATATACATTGGCCTTAATGTAGTCCCGATATAGGTACTTTGGGGCTCATGTATCTCTATATGAGTACATGGACCCTTAGGGTAAGTGATACTTCGTCATGATTGCAGGAGACCATGTAATTGGCTGGTCAGCTGTCGGATTTGGTGATCCGGGGACACACTCAAGTCCTGCTCGGGCTGCAGCTGTGCTTAGGATCCAAACTATCCCAAAGGGTCCCAAGTCCTGTTATGGGGGAGACTTTCCCAAATCATAATAGTCATTCCTGATAAATAAACACTACTACGCAGGTACTTTGGACCCTTTTATTGTTTAATGAATCTGACAACCTTTGGGAAACCGAACATTTCAGTCCCGAAATCCAAAGAGGCCAATTCTTTTCTGCGAAGGGCCGATAGTGACCAAGTGAAACGCCGCAGAGTGCGGTTAAAAAAGACGGCAGCCGTTGGGGGCTTCAGGGTCATGGTCATAAGAGTACAGTCCCTATACAAACCTTGAGCCCTAAATCAGCAGCCCCTAAATCCAAGAGCCTCAACCCGAAGAAGGTTATGCTGGATCGAACATGCGGCTTCCGGTGGAGCTTCAGGGAAACTGAGCTCCCTTTGCACATCCGCCATGGAGAAGAAAAAGAAAGACATGGCAGATACTCGATAGAAGCGTTTCAGGTTTGGGGTTATCAAATTTACTATACTGAACTTAGAACCCTAGCTTAAAAAATATACTTATAGTTTTAGCTGTTTCTTAGGGATTATAATAACCAAAAGTTGAATTTGGGTGAAGGAACCACATGGCAGACCTTAACTTGAAAGGCCTGCAAAGGCTTCATGGCCTCTGAATTACTTTGCAAGGTATCATCAACACGTTCTAGGGTCTTGCACGTATTCTCTACGGATCATCTGTGATTTAGGCTTTAGGCTGACGGCAAATAGGACGGGTGTTCTCCATCACTAGCAAGGCAAGAGCTGTGAAATGGCAGTACTATACGTGGCTTAATCATTAGAATACGATTTGGGGGGTTATCGTATATTGAGTTTTGATCAGGAGCCCCACAAAACAGTACAGGTGATGATTAAGAAGCCTATAGTAGGAGCTTAAAGGTTTGACATGACAGGGAGTCCAGTGCATGTTCGGGTCAGAAGGCTTCTGAGATTCTAATATGGGTTTTGTCATGGCTCTCATTATATGGAGCTTCCGGGGTCTGATAATTTAGAGCTCAGTCAAGGACACGAAGAAGCTCAAATAAACTTGGGCCAACCCCGATAAATGAATCCATGATCAAAGTATGGGGGCCATACTCTGAACTAGGTCAGCGCTTTCGGTATGTATGCCATAGCATTAGTATACAGAGGCGATAATACGGGGTAAGATTGCTATGTATCCAGAGCCTTATGTTGATGGCCCTGCGGTGACGAGTACTAGGTTTGCTTTGGCCGGACGCCATACTAGTAGCTGCAACGACTGATGAATACCGTCCCCTTGTCTTCCCCTGAGCTACTGGTACTGTTGCTGCTACTACTACCACTACTACTACTACTACTACTACTACCACCACCACCACTACCACTACCACTACCACTACCACTACCACTACTACTACTACTACTACTACTACTACTACTACTACTACTACTACTCCTGCTACTACTACTACTACTACTACTACTACTACTACTACTACTACTACTACTACTACTACTACTACTACTACTACTACTACTACTAATTACTACCACTACCACCACTGGCTACTGCTGCTGTCGCATCTCCCCATCCCTTTTGCGGACAGTTGTTTGTCTTCTCCAGCGGCAGGAAAACCCAAGGTAGCTGCAATTTGGATCGAAGGCTGCTGCGCATAATACTCGAGCAACTTCGCCACTGCTGTTGCTGTTGTTGTTGCTGCTGCTGCTACGTCAAAAACAACAACTACTACTACTGCTGCTACTACTGTGGCACTACTAGGCAAGTCGGCTTTAATCTTGTGGCAGCCGTCAAACGAGCAGCAGAATGCATAAAGCTCGCAAGAACGAACGGAGGCTGGCAAACTTGGGCTGCTTGGCCAAAGCGGATTCTGGTACACTATTTTGGGGGGTTCCTTCCAAGGGTTCCTTAAAGGGGTCTATAAGGGATCTGTAGTAGGTTGCTATGGTCTGGGGCCTTAATAAAATGGCACGATCGGTAAGGGCTTTGGGTTTCGGGTACCTTATCTTGGGGTCGTTATAGCCGCTCTTCTTCAACAACCGGGCCCCAAAAAGTTCATTCTTTCTAAGATAGAGCTCATATATAAGGCCAGAAAGTTTAAAGTTTCCCCGTTCACTATCTAAGTAACTTATAGCAAAAACTGGCCTTAATGTAGTCCCTGTATAGGTACTTTGGGGCTCATGTATCTCTAAAGGGGTACATGGACCCTTTGGGTTATAGCTTTATCGCTTAACTGAGTTGTCCTTTAAGCCCTTTGAAAATTATTTACTATTATGGTTCTCTACCAAATAGTAGGGGAAATTAAAAAAGATCACAAAGGACAACCCAGTTAAGGTCAAGCAGCCAAGCTCTGGCTTTGCCAAGTGCCGCCCCGATTCTGCCTCACAGTTGGCACTGCTTGGGCGGACGCTGGCAGTCTTCCGAAGTAGGGTTTAGGCTTTAAGGGTTTTGGGTTTGGGGTTTTGGGTTTGGGGTTTTGGGTTTAGGGTTTTGGGTTTAGGATTTTGGGTTGAGTTTTTTGGGTTTTGGGTTTAGGGTTTAGGGTTTTGGGTTTAGGGTTTAGGGTTTAAGGTTTAGGGTTTCTAACATGGACGTGTTTCGGGTAAGTGGTTTGGGGTTTGGCGTTTAGGGGCCACTCTCAGAATGCAGGTTCTGCATAAATCAGCTTACCGTATCAGTGCTGCATTCCGAAGGGTCGTCCTCATTCATAGTCTTGATCTGGCTACCCTAGAGGCTTGAATAATTAGAAAAGGGTTTGGGGGGTATTCTAGATGTTCATGCATTCATATTGCGCAGATCCACAGGATCCTGATTATGAGAAAGTTTAATACAGAGACAGAGCTGGTTGTCGTCTTGCTGCTGTCAGAACCATTGCACCAGTTGATTCCACCGCGCTGAAAACCGATTTCAAGCTCAATCTTCAGCGGCTGAACCTGGAATCCAAGCCGGAAGATACGCCCTAGACTCGAAACCCTCGAACCTGATGGCCTGAAACTCAAACCCCAAACAGACCTTACGACGGGATCCCAGGAACAGCTGCAGGACTCCTATACCAAAACCCCAATAGCCCAAGCCCCGCGCCATGAACCCCCCAGAAACAACGCCCACCTAAAGACCCTACACCCTTCTTGCGCCTAAACCCTAAACCCTGAGACCTACCTTGACCCCCAACTTCCCTTGATTGTAGTCCCTAAATACCTCTTAATGAAAATTTATTGTAGTCCCTAATTACTTCTTAATGAGAAAGATGAGAGCCCTTTAAAGGGTACTTGGGGGGTGCTGGTAAACCCTTCTTAAATCAGTGCAGACCTCGCAGCTGAAGGGAATTGAAAGTGGGGACAACAACGGAATTCGGGAATATCTACCCTGCTTTGCAGCGCCCTTTCGGAAGACCCCTGCAAGTGCACGTTCACCACCATGGGGTGATCCTATACACACAGAGAGAAGCCTGGGCCCGCGGTAGTTAGTTTCTGCGCTCGGGGTGACGGGCGTAAGTGGGTTTTGGAGTTTCAGAGTCTACAACGAAGCTAGGGCCACTTTCGGAGACAGAGGCCTACATGAATGGTTTCTGGCTGGGGCTTCGACTGGGGTTCATGGGCCAAGGTATCCTAGAATAGTAGATAAGGCTTTGCGGGAAATAAGGGTTTACCATTTTTGGTTCCTTGTTATGGTTTCTAAATATTTCCTGAAAAGGTAGCGTTTAGGATTCACGCTTTGGGTGTCGGGGTCATTAAGAAATCCCATTCTTGCAATCTGAATACCGTTTCATCCCTTACCCAGACCCCTTGGGAGGATCCAAAACCTAGACCGGTTAAGGGGGTTCCTATAGAGCACGCCGTAGCAGTATAGGCAAAAGGGTCCCAAGTTAGGGGATCTACTGTCTGGGTCCTTGGGGGGATTGATTGAGGGTTCAGGCAGGCATTGGATCCTCTGACGTCCAGCGATTCCACAAGCCAGTCTGATTCAGGGTTAAGGTGTTAGCGTATTGCGGTCAAGGGCCAAGGGGGTTTAGGCTTCAGTTTTTCAAAAGGCTCAAGCATGGGAACCTCTAGCTGTCGGTAACTCTGCTTGGGGTATCTGAAAGCCTGAACCCGACCGAAGGCCTCTGCCCCCTAAACGAAAGCCTAAAGCCTCAACCATAAATTTAAGTTTCTAAAGCCATAACCCTAAGGGTCCACAGCACCCAATAATCAGGTACTCGGTTTTAGGATAGTAGTTATGTAGGTTACTATTTTGGAGAGTATATGATAATCAAGTACTTGGACCCTTGGGGTAAGTTATGGTCCATAAGCATCAGCTCGAAAGACCCTGCAAACTAAGGCTAAGTACTTGCGCCTGGGGTCTCTGGGTCTCTGGGCACCCCAAACCATGAAACCCGAAATCCGACACTCCTGCAACGACAAACACTAAGATGGACCCCCAAACCTGACACAAAAGAACCCTAGATCCAAAACCCGTTACGAAGCCTCCGTCCCTAAACTTGAAGCCCTCACACCCCAAACCTCAACCCTAAACCTTCAAACGTAAAAGTTCAAGCCAACGAAAACCCTAAAATCCGAAGACCTCAAGCCTAAACCGTAAAACCCCAAAACCTACATAGACTTTAAACCCTAACCCTGCATTCTGGTTGTTTCTTATTATAAACCCTAATATGGAATGAAAAGGGGCCCTACAAAACAAGGAGGTTCTGGTGGGTTAAGGAATAACTTGTATAAAGTAAACTGACAGTGCCCCCAGCGTCTCCGTTGAAAGCACGGGACTCGGCATCCGGGCCAAAGTCTGAAGCTTCCCCGGGTTACTTCCATCCTTTGCGGTTTGGGGATTAGGGTTTAGGGTTTAGGGTTATAGGGTTGAGGGTTTAGGGTTTTAGGGTTGAGGGTTATAGGGTTGAGGGTTTAGGGTTCAGGGTGTTAGGGTTGAGGGTTTTAGGGTTGAGGGTTTAGCGTTATAGGGTTGAGGGTTTAGGGTTGAGGGTTTAGGGTTTGGGGTTTAGGGTTGAGGGTAACCTAGACCCCCCAAGTACCCTTTAAAGGGCTCTGATATTTCTCACTAAGAGGCTGCAATAAAGGGTAGTTGGGGGGTCTAGGTAGAGTTTAGGCTTATTAGGGTCCAGATCATGTCCAGTGACATTCGACGAGAGTTTAGGGTTTAGACAGGTTTAAGGCTCCTTTGCGGTTTAGGGGTTCGGGATTAGGGGCTTCAGGGTGTAGGGTGTGTATACAGCGTGCGTGAGGTGGGTGCACTTCATTCGAAATGGGCGCACACCCACTTATCGCACGCTTGCGTCAGCATGCAGTCCCGCCCCAACCACCCCAGCTGTTCTCAACCAAGGGTGGGTTTAGGGCTCAGCCCCCAAACCCCCCTCAACGGAAGCGTTCTTGCCTGCTGCCTCCCTTCGCAGCTCAACAAAAAATGTGCGTTTCACAGAACCCTAAACCCTATACACCCTAAACCACAGGTGAAGTGGATTGGACCCGGGTTGGGTTCTCGCAGCCCGTGCCGGCCGCTCGACGAGAAGCAGGGGTTTCCAAAAAAAACGCACCCTGTGAGGGTCGGCCTATGTCTGAAGCTTAGGGCTGGGGTTTAGTTGGGGTTTAGAGTTTGGGGCATGGGGTTCAGGGTTCATGTGCGGTTTAGGGTCTAGAGTCTAGGGTTTAGGTGGGGTTTGAGGATTTAGGGCTTCGGGTTTCATTGAGGTGTCGGGCCGTGCGTTTTGGGATTTTGGGCCTAGCGCTCAGGGTTGAGGGTGTAGGGTGCGAGGGCTCTGTGGAGGTCTGATCAGCGATGAAGGGTCCATGTCTTTGGGATCGAACTTTAGTTCAAGAAGGGTTTCCAAATCGAGTTCTACAACGCTTTCACGATGGTTTCTCATAAGCATTTTGCGGTGGTTTTGCACGAACTCGAGAAGGTGTGCTTAATAGAATTCTTACGCCAATTTCAGTAGGCCTTTGCGGAGGTGCTGCAGGGGGCTCATAGGGTTTCTACACGAGTTCTACACTACGTGAGTTTCATGAGGGTTGCAGGGCGGGCGGGTGTCATCGCAAATCTACGCGGGCTTAGGGGCTTGCGTCGGTGCGTAGAGTTGAGAGAGTCTCGGATTTGGAATTGCATATTGAACCCAAAGGGTCCAAAGTACCTATACAGTAGAATGTAGGATTTATATTTTAGATTTGGGAAAGTATCCCCCATGACAATACCTAGGACGCTTTGGGGAAGGCTTGACTGGCTTTCGGGCTTCGAGGCTTCTTCCATACTGAGCGACATGGAACTTGCGCAGTGTTCAGCTCAGATCGCAGTTCGTGGGTCACGGATTCACGAACCCGTGGCCTATACCCTAAACCCATGAAGCCCTAAACACTGAACCCTCAACCTTAAACCCTAAATTTTCGGGAAGATCTCCCAAAAAAGCCTTAGCTCCCGACTCTCATTGTAGAGGCGGACCAAATCTGTCACCTTGCGAAACTCAGAGACTCCATTGACTCCTACGGGGCCTTCTACAGGGTTTGATAAGGGTTGTGTCAAGGTTTTAGACTCCACTCGGACAAGTTGAAAGGGCTTGTTCAATAAGTGCTCCTCAAGGGCTTTTAGGAGGGTTGTACATAGTAAAAGTTCGATACGGATGGATTTTGTGGACCTGGAGAAGTTGCACTTCATGACTCACGGTCCCTAATTATGCAGCTCCCGTACACGATAGGGGTCGGACTAATCACCAGAATATTCGCTAGGAGTCCTTAAAACAAGCTCTTGTCTATTGTACCCCAACAGTCTACTCGAAATATTCCCCCCCCCCCGCACACCCCCCGGATTGTCCCAACACGCTTTGCCGCGTATTCAAGCCCCAGTATTATCCTGTCAATGAACCCTGATGTTATAGGGATCCTGCAAAGGGCTCCTTCTTTGGAGTTGTGTGGCTTAGTATAAGAGCCCAGCAATAACCTGGCCCAAGAAAGGGGAACCCTTTCAATTACGGTAGGGCTTCGAAAAATTTAGAGGGTAAACGGTTACCGCCTAAATTCTAAATCCAAAGCCTTTAAGCCCTTCCTAGAACCTAAGCCCCTCAACCTCAAAACCTAAACTCTAAACACCCTAAACCCAAAGCCACAAACCACCCTAAACCTTGAACACCCAGCCCATGAGTTTGTGTAGGAACTTTCGGCACCAGACGGGGCTGTTAGCCGGATTTTCCTCCCCTGTAGTTCTAGCCCACGGCTTCCTCTGCAGGTTTGAGGGTTAAGGGTGTAGGGTTCAGGTGGGGTTTGTGGTTTGAGATCTAGGGTATCCGGTAAAAGCTCATAGAGATTAAGGACTAGAGTTGTACGTATCCGTATAGTTTATGTACTTTTGGATCCCAGAACTCTACTAAGAGCCTGTCATACTATTGGTACTGCTGGGCACTCTGATTCCGGAAGTGTATCCCTAAACCCTAAACCCTACACCCTCATTCCACCCTCGTTCCGACAGTGTATGCCCAAACTCGAGAATCGAATTGCTTTCAACACAACTCGATACCCATAGGCTCCATAGTAGTTCCTTTTGGGGATTATCTTACACTTATTCGTAAAGAAGCCTGGATCCTGAATCGGTGGCTCTTGAATGCATCCGGATTGAAACTGAGCTCTATCAAGCTCTCGTAACTCCGCTTGCGGCGGAAACACACACAACACCATACCATGCTCGAGCCTTATAACGAAACAGCTAAAGGCACAAGCCGAAAACCCTGCCGAAAGCCGAAAACCACTTTGAGCCCTGTGCCCCACATCCGCATAGCACTAATTCACCTAAACCACATCAGCCCATTAAGCCTGAATCACACATAAAATCCTATATGGGAGTTTCCGAGAATAGGGGACCCTAATAGAGTACCCAAAATCGTAAGATCCTTATTTTAGGTACCCCAAGATCAGGTACCCCTGATTGTCGGAAGCTCCCGTGTAAGTCCTGTAAGCCCCCAAGCTAAGCCCACCATGGAACCCTAAACCCTAATTAAACCCTAAACCCCCTAAACCTCTAAACCCCCTAAACCCCTAAAACCCTAACCCAAAAACCCTAAACCCCTAAACCCCTAAAACCCCAAACCCCTAAACCCCTAAACCCCTAAACCCCCTAAATCCCCTAAACCCCCTAAACCCCTAAACCCCTAAACCCCCTAAACCCCTAAACCCCAAACCCCAAACCCCTAACCCCTAAATCCCTAAACCCTAAACCCCTAAACCCCCAAGACCCTAAATCCTAAAGTTCTGGAAGCTCCGGTCTAGGGTTCCGTGCTCGTGACTGCAACGCTTCCCTCTCTTCCGGGCTTGTAAAGCCCTCCTGAAAGGAAAAAATGGACCCTTTAAGGGTTCCTTTTCAGGGATCTATAAGGTTTCTATTAAGTGCTTAGGGTTAAGGTTTGGGAGTTTCTGAAGCTTTCTGCAAAATAGCTCTTTCCCTCAAGGGGTCCCTGTGTTCAATGGTTCGGGACCCCAGGGTTTGCCTGGACCCCGTCAAACCCCACCGCTTTTCTAGGGCTCCTCAATTCGGGCTTAGGGCCTAGGGTTTAAGGGTTGAAGGGTTTAGGGCTCCTCACTTATGATGATTTCTTTGTATGGGTCCTTGACATGGCAGGCTGTTTCTGGGATCCAGATAAGCTTAGATTGGTTGCATACTCACCGGATTTGCTTTGAAACTGCTTGGTTACTGGTCTGGCTGCGTGGTGTCGTGGATGATGTTGCCCTGTTGAGAGCTAAGGTCGAGAAGTAGTTGAAGTTGTCTGGACAAAGAGGGTCTTCGAGAATCAAGAGCTCTGGGCTACGTAGGATTTATACCGTTTAATTCACCCTAAGGGTCCATGTATTCATATAGAGATACATGAGCCCCAAAGTACCTACATAGGGACTACATTAAGGCCAATGTATATACTACATGAGTACATGGACCCTCAGGGTCAGAGAACAAAGAGCGAAGATTGAGAAGTCTCATCTAGCGGCCCGTGCTCTGCGAGACTACGGGTCCTCCAATGCAAAAACACATCAGCGAACAAAGCGAGGAGTCACACTATCCAGAGGCCCCGAAACAGTTCCTTTTTGGGGTTCATACATAGAATCCTATTAGGAATCCCCAAAAAGGAACTACCTTGTGGGGCCTATGGGTATAAGCGAAACAGGATAATATAACCTCTGAAGCCTACCCGGACAATAAGAAGAGTAGCATTGGTACATGGGTAGCTCCTCTCTAGAATACGGTTCCTTCATGAATGCAAAGGCGGCAAACTTATAAAGAGTACCTTGAAAGGGAGAACTACCGACCCACGTGCAGCTCACTGGCTCCCCCTCCCGCCGCTGCCTCCTCGTATTCACTCTGCCTGCACGGTTTAGGATGCCGAGTTTTGGATGGAGCGCAGCAAATCAATTTAAGACCGAGATCTCTAGGAACGAACCACGCGCTTCCAAAGACAAAACGATGTAACCTGGCAGTGCTAAGCGGGGCGCACCAGCATTTTGCGTTGAGCATCATCTGAGCCAGCATCGGTTCCACGGGCGGCAGGACCTGACAGTGTGAGTCAAGTGGGTTTGACGCCTTGGGGATTCCGTACTCCCAGAGACTCCAATATCCCTTGATCAAGGAATATACCTTAAAGTTATAGTAGGTTCCCAAATATGATTTAAGGTACATTCCTCAATTAATGAAGGGACATTGGAGTCTGTGGGCTAGTAGCATGTGTTGCTTTACGGATTCCTGCATGGGTTCTAGACTGCGGAAGAGTAAACGACTTGAAAAGGTTTCCTTCCTTGGTTTCATTTAAGCGTTTCTATCTAACAACTGAAACGGAGCAATGAAGCAGCAAAGCAACATACTGAGGTAAACAACTTAGGAAGATAAACATGGAAGATACGTTGAGAGGACGTACATCTCAGGACATGGTGTGTACACGTGTAGCTGCACGTGTAACAGTCCAGAGACCTTAGTCTAGTCATTCTCCACAATGAAAACATACGCCCGTATAATAGGGGCCGTAAAAATTAAAATAGGGTTTACTGTATATTTTACTAGAACCACAATAAGGAACCCCCTAAACTAATGCTGGTAACTACTTCGGCCCCTATATTATGGATGCTCAAGGCCATTCATTCCAAGCCCGTTGCTGAAGCACCCAAACTCTTTCTCATGAGCAAACTCCCTTCAATCAGGACCTTGACTTACGGAAGTCAAGGTAGTTTAGTAATTTCCCCATGAGGGATAACTCAGGATTTTGTCCATCAGCCCCTTCCACTTGAACTTTGAACCCCGTATCACCCTGGCCTTGATCACCGTCATCAGGAAGGGTGCGACGAGATATTCGATGAAGCCGAACTGTCGGAGTGTGAAGAACATGGTGGCACAGGGAATACACTGGGCACGCTTCCGGGTTTAGCGTTTAGGGTTAAGGGCGGTTAGGGTTGAGAATTTAGGGCCTATATAACTTCTGTTCGTGCCCCTTGTCCCCTGTCCTGCACCTCGGTACGGAAACCCCACCAAAAAAAACGAAAGAACTGCCGATGGCCGTGGCTCCTATCGAACACCCACTTATGGAACCCATACTCACTATGCAGAACCATGTAAACAAACCGGACTTACAAGGAACCCCCATACAATCCTTGTAGAACTTATAGCATCCGAAATCCTTAGTCCTACACCCTACCTGCACCCGAAAAGATCTGCCTTTTTGGGGTACATTATTATGGCTTCTACATACCTTCACCTACCAAAACCTACAAAAAAGTATGGTCCCTACAAATTCCATATTGGGGTTTATAATAGGAACCTACAAAAAAGTCTGTTGTGGTAGCTTAAGGTATGTACTTCCTTAAAATGGGTCGGTCCAGGTAGGGTCTTTGGGCCACGGGAAGTGTTCAGGGTTTACGGCTTTGGGTGTCGGGGTCATTGAGAAATCCCATCTTGCAATCTCATTACAAACTCATCCCTTACCCAGGCTCCCGGGAGGATCCAAAAAAACTAATGTGGGGGTCGGTTTAATAGTAGGGTACCCCCCCCCAACCAAAAAAAAAAATTCTATTTAATATGGAGCCGGTGACGCCGGACAGGGGTCAGGGGTCTGAGTGGCAGGGAATTGGGAGGTGCCGAGGTTTGGGGGCTGGCTTGGGTGCAGGGTCTGCGGTTCTGCGCGAATGCGCGGTCGGGGGTTGGGGGGGTCTGGGGATCACCAAATGCTGGAAACCAAGCCCCGATCACTCCAAGATTACTACCAAGACTAAAAACCCTTCATTTTGAACACTTTTGCCTCCGTAACCTACACGCCCACACTCCCACCCAAAATCGACCACGTCTGAAGCTTGGTGCCGTGCAATAATAGTACAGCAGTACAATAGTAGTACAGTAGAAATAATACAGTAGTAGTAGTACAATAGTACTACAATAATAGTGCAGTAGTACAATAGTAATACAACAGTAGTACAGTGGTAGTACAATAGTAGCACAGTACTAGTACAATAACAGTACAGTAGTACAATAGTAGCACAATAGTAGTACAGTAGTAGTACAGCAGTAGTACGATAATAATACCGTAGTACAATAGTAGTACAGTAGTAGTATAGTAGTAGTGCAATAATAGTGCAGTAGTACAATAGTAATACAACAGTAGTACAGTGGTAATACAATAGTAGTACCGTAGTAGTACAGTAGTAGTACAGTAGTACAATAGTAGCACAATAGTAGTACAGTAGTAGTACAGTGGTAGTACGATTATAGTACCGTAGTACAATAGTAGTACAGTAGTAGTACAATACTAGTGCAGTAATACAATAGTAATACAACAGTAGTACAGTGGTAGTACAATAGTAGTACAGTAGTAGTACGATTATAGTACAATAGTAGTACAGTAGTACACTAGTAGTACAGTAGTACAGTAGTGATACAGTAATAGTACAGAAATAGTACCAATAAGCAAAGCATAAAGTTGGTGAGCACATTCCCCCCAATAAGCAAAGCATAAAGCCAGCGCCTGAAACCCTAAACCCTAAACCCTAACAAACCCTAAACCCTAAAAATCCTAAACTCCTAAACCCTAACAAACCCTAAACCCTAAGCCCTAAACCCTTCCCAAAGGGGGGTCGGTCCAGATTCGACCCAAAATTGAATCCTTTATACGAACTTTAATACTGGAGAGGCCTTTGTCGAGCAAGGGTCCAATTCCCAATTCGGCGGTTCACCCTAGCAGCCCCCCCCAATAAGCAAGGCATACAGTAGCAGTACAATAGTACAATAGTAGTACAGTGGTAGTACAGTAGTAGTACAGATTCTCATTCCTGACGCCCCAATAAGCGAAACAATTCTGCAAGAGATTTTCGGGCTTCAGGGCCAGGGTTTTAGGGTTGGGTGGGGGTTTGGGTGGAGGTTTAGGTCGTGGCTGCCTTAAGATTGACCATCAGCAAACAGCACAGCCCCGCCACCAAAAAATCCCCCAGCCAGAAAAAAAAACGCATTAATTAGTTCACCCAAATTTTTGGTCAGATTCGGAATTAGCCCCCGAGCCGACGCATTAAAGGAGCCTATATTCCTAAACCGACCCCCACATTAGACCCCTATTCTTCGGCCTGGGAAAAGGACAAGTTGGCCTTGAAACGGTCGTTCATGGCCTGGGCAAGGGGGAGGTCTCGGTTTAGGCTTCAATCCAAGGGTAAAAGGAGGGACCCTTAATAAGGACCCCTAGGTATATACCCTTAATATAGCTATTACATACCCATTATATAGCCCATTATAGGGTAGCGGTCCCCATTAAGGGTCCCTCCTTTTCCCCTTTGATTCAAGTTTAACGCTTAGAGTTCAGGGTCTATGGGTCCTTAAAGGGCAGGTTGTTTGGGGTCCAGGTAGGGTTCAGGGTTTGAGTGCTTAGGGTTTAGGGTGTCGGGTTTTTGTTTAGGGCTGGGGTTTAGGGTTTCGTACTTCCGGTCTCGCTCTTACATTACTACCCTCTCTCTGTTTGAGTCTCCAACGTCGATATAAATTGTATATAAGCTAAACCCTATGTTTGAAAGTCGGTAGGGTAAGGATCGCGGCTCTGAGTGAAGGATTTTGCTGGAATTCACGTGCTTGAATCCTCTTGGGATGCTTCAGGCTTAGCGCGGTCTGTAGGTAAGCCCTGAAACCTAAGCCCAAAACCCCCAAACCCTGCACACCCAATAAACCCCAAACCCGTACTACCGTAATTTGTCTGGGTTAACCTTAAATCCCTGACAATGCTTTCCCTCAGTGCCCAAGCCCCCCCATGCAGGGCCTTCAAAAATCGAATGGGATTTTGAGGTAGGTTCTTGGACAATTATGGAACAAACGAGTAGAACTAGATGGAGACTAGATTCAGGGCTAGGTACTACGTAGTGCTCATAGATCAAACTCCTACTAAGAGGATCAGGGGGCTTAGTAAGTAGGGCCATAAGCACTCTAATTGAGGCTACCTTAAACTATCATTATCATAAACCCTAATATGGAATTTCTAGGGACCCTACAAAAAAGTAGGTTTGGTAGGTAAGGTATAAGTGAATCTAACTTCGGTTACCTTCCCTATAACCCCACATGCTCAGCCCTAGGACCGGACCCTTTAAGTGCGCTAAACAGTTAAACACCAAATCCTAAGCACTAAAACATCCTAAGCCCCGAGCCCTTAACCCTGAAAGCTAAACCTTAAACGGCCCTAGACCTTGGCATTAAACCTTTATCCCTTCACACTTTCAATTGGCTTGTGAGCAAGTTCTGGGATTCCTTCATCTTCATTGTCCCCTTAACCCTAAACGCATCCTTTCTGAACGACCCGAGTCGGAGATGTCCGGCCTGGATAGGCAGGCCAAGAGCCTTCTCGTGGTCTCCCTGGAGGAAGCTCTCCTCCATAGCCTCCCAAGGCTTTAGGCTTTAGGGTTTTCCACCTAGAACCATAAAAAAAAATTACGCCTAATATTCTCCTGGTCTTTATATGAACAAAAAACAATTCCTAAAGAGCCTATAGATTTAAGGTTCAAGGCTTAAGGCTTTAGGGCTTTGGGGGATTAGGGTTCAAGCCAAGGCTTTAGGGTTCAGGCCTAAGGCTTTAGGGCTTCGAGATATTATGGTTTAGGGTTTAGGACCATCTACGGGAATGGATACGACTGCCTGGATAACGGGCTTCTGCAAACTGCCGTCTCTGCATGGCTTTTGCGGTGCCGTTGGGGTTTACTTTTTGAGGCGCCTTTCTGCTTTCTGTCCCTAAGGCTCCATGTACCCATATAGCATATACTTAGGCCTTAAAGTACCCATATAGGGACCCCTTTAAGGCTTAAGTATCTACTATAAAGGTAGAGCCTTTGGGTGTGAAGCGGACCAAACTCGTGTTAAGTAAGGGATGTTCGGATCGATGGTCACAGATTCAAGTGGTTCAACCTTTCAGGGCTCTGGGTATAGTACCAAGAGACTCCAACATCCCTTGATTAAGGATTCTACCTTAAATCGCACGAGGGATCCTACTATACCTTAAGGTATATTCCTTGATTGAGGGATGCTGGCGTCTCTGGGCAATTGTGGTCAAGTTTGAAGGCTGGAGAGTTGGGTGTTGGGGGCTCGATGTGCTGTGAACGATGACGAGGAAGAAGACAGAGCCCTTGTGGTCCTTAATAGTGGGCATTTAGGGTACATTAGAGGGTAGTTGGGGGCAGTCACGTTGGTACCAGGCTTCAAGCTGATTATGTCCAAGAGCCTTCCTGTGCTTACAGTACACTCAGGTTTTGAAGGATTTGAAGTTCGATACGAGGGTTACACCCGGAGACTCCAATATCCCTTAGTTAAGGAATATACCTTAAATTTCAATAGGGTCACTTATATGAGTTTACTGTATTCCTTAATTATGGGATATTGGGGTCTCTAGGAACTCTGGGCACGCATCTTCCATCGAAGCCGCCGCTTGTGGCTGCCCAGAACTCTCGTACCTGATCGCGACGGCGTCCCGTCGGTCCTCTGGCCGTATTGTGCACGAAGCAGAGCCTGTATCTATCCTTAAGTGGCGTTTTTTAGCACGACGGCCCCAAAATTACGGTATCTATCGACCCGCGGCAGCCCTACACCCTAAACCTTAGACCGTCAATCCTAAACCTTAAACCCCGAAGTCCCAACGCGCGCGCCCCTTGCTGGCCTTCTGTGCCCAGATCTTGCCTCAGAAGGGAGGGCCAGAAGCGGTTTAGGATTTAGAGCTTAGGGTGCCGGGTTTAGACCATTATTACTTGTAGGATCAGGGAACTTAGCAGACTTAGCAAGTTGGGTTATACTCTAGGTACATCTACTTATAACCCTTGAGTCAGACAACTGTAGCTTAGAACACCAATTAAGCTACATATAGCCCTGCGTATTTAAGTGCACGGAACCAATGAGTAACATAGTCTAGAATGGGGCTGGCTCTCTGACCAGGAACATGGTGTTTTACATGGTCCTTCTGGGTTCGTGCGTATGTGGAACATGTATTATATATCCGGGTGTGTGGACATATACACATGCATATGCATGTACATGGACATGTACAGACATCTGTCAGCGTTTTGTCCGTGGCTGTTATTTCTTGACCCCGCTTCGGGTTTAGGGGTCCTTGGCCTTTGACCACTACAACCCTGGAGCCGACCTCCCCACAACCCTGAGACTCCAAGATCCCTTAATTAAGGAATATACCTTAAATCATATTAGGGATCCTACTATAATTTAAGGTAGATTCCATAGTTAAGGGGTATTGGAGTCTCTGGGAACACGACCCTGACCTCGAAGGTTCAGAGTTTAGGATTCAAGGCTTAGGATTTGTTCACGCCGTGCGTCGCGAGGCCTTTCCCCTGTTGGGGCCTGAATAGATCAGCAGTAGGATCCCCTGCCTCTTGTCCCTATATACAGAAAGCGCCTCAAAATATGCCCCCGGCTCCTATTTAACTAGCGTCGCAAATCACTATCATAGCCACCCGCTGAGATGGAAAGCAGTCCAACACTCCAAGACGGTCTGATTTAGGCTCCCCCACATATACGGTAAACAAAGCCTAATTAAACCCTAAACCTAAAAAACCCCAAGTTACAGAGATACGGGAATGAGGTCCTGGCAGATTCGGAACGGCTTAGTGGAGTTCGAGGTGTCCGCCAAGTGCACCCTGCCACGAGCATACCCTACAGCCTTATTCAGGAACCAAATTAAGAAACCCTGGGTCTTTTATTTCGGTTCTTGTACTGTTTTGGGGTTCCAGGGCCATTGTTTTTTAATCAGGCTCCCGCATTAAACCCTCAGCTTCATGGAAGGTTTAACCTTCAGAACAGTCGCAGGGTCTGGACACCTACTATCGTCTCAATATAAGGGAAACAGGTACACAGATGTATCATGCCTACAATTACCCAGCCCTCTACAGTATTCTTTTTGGACTGCAGCTTGAGTATAATCGCTGCGACCAAGACGGGTAACAAACCTACAGCACATGCACAGAGTAGAAGCACCAAAAAGGTACAAGGTATCCCACCATTGCATGGGGTAAAGTGCTGTATTTCTCAAAGATGGGGCCTGGGCACAGATTCTACTGTGACTCATTGATATCTTCAAGGGTAACACAGAGACTCCTAGGTATCCGCCCATTAAGGATTTGTGGTTGTGCGGTCCAGGCTGTAAGAAATTAGGTTTACCCGTAGGCCCCAAAGTAGTTCCTTTTTGGGATTACCTTATAGAATTCTATATGGGTGGTTGTCAAAATTATGGTCTCTTTTTGGGCACCCTAAACAGTAGGTGCCGTATCATAATAGGGACCCAAAAAGGGACCATAATTTTGTCAACCACCTATATGAAGCCCAAAAAGGAACTACTTTGGGGCCTATGGGTAGGGCCCAGGCCCGAAGAGCGGATCCTCAAAGCGTAAATCCCCTATTTATTAGGCTCGTTTCTGTCCTGATCTTTGTCTAACCCTAAGGGTCCATGTACTCATTTTGTTTTTACATTGGCCTTAATGTAGTCCCTATATAGGTACTTTGGGGCTCATGTATCATTATATGAGTACATGGACCCTTAGGGTAAGCTCCTATGCAGGACAATAGGGGTGCAGTTCTTGAGAACGGTCCCTTGTTGAGTTAACAGCTAACAGCTTGTTCAACGAATAGCAAGCGACACTCCATACCTTACTCCTGCAGACCCGAACTTAAGGCCCAACAACACACTTTTCGAAACCCCTGAACCCTCACAATGACTTGACATGGGGTCGCAGGAAGCACGTAAACCTGCGGATCCCGCTCTTGAAATGCGGGCCTTAGGACTAGAATAGGATGGTTAGTAAGTTATACTTCTGGTACAGTGAAAGTATCAAGAAACCCTGACGTATGAGACCCACATATTAGGGCTCTGGGGCCCTCCAAATTGGCTTCTGTTTGCGGCTTCGATGAGACCCGTGTGTTCTTGTGCTGAAGACAACAGGACAGCAAACAAAAGACAAAGAGAAACGAGCCAAGAAAGGAAGAGCGGACAAGCGTGAGTGGGTGGAGGCTTGCAACAAGGCATTTTCCAAGATCAAGCAAGCCCTCCAGCATCAATGCCAGAAGTCCTTCAGGAAGGCACACATGTTTGTTCGGCCGTGTACTTAGCATCACTTTTCTTGACCCCTTTTTGACTGTACCCAACCGGCCGCTGTCACAGTGGCCTTCCAACATCACAACTGTCCCCGAGCATCTCTCAGCGTATCTCAAACATTTCCAAGCTTAGCCGGCTTAGCCTTTGAGGTGGCCCAATCCGTGCCAGATCCCCTTTTTGCTGGGCAGTGGACCACCAGATTCCCCTACGGACCGTCTACGGCAAAAACATGATGATGGACAAACACACCCCCAGGCTGGTTGTGTCAATAGCGGCAGAGCAGCGGATGACCCACAGCTGCCCAAATCTGATCAGCGCCTAAGATCAGACAAATTTGCGGAACTCTGTTGCTCAAAAGAGCAGGAACCCTTCCCACGTGAGGCTTTGTGCTGGCACGCGACCCCACAGCATAGCACTCTGTGGCCGGGTAGTCAAGTCTTGCACACGAAGCTGCACCCGCAGGAAGCTTTACCGTTCGGCTAGGCAGTGCTGGTAACACCGATTTTACGACGACTGCTGACAACGCTACATGGCACAGGCTTGTATTTAGATGCCTGTACTTATCAACACCATTTTGCCTTGATGAACTGAAATATTTGTGAATCGTGGCTACCCGTTAATTAGTTGCAACACCTAATGTCAATCGCAAGCCAACCCTTTAAAGCGTTATGGCTTATACGTTCCCCCGCATCCAAACCTGAAGCTCTGCAACCAAAAACAGCGTGGGATAGCTAATTGCCATACTACACCGATCAAAACCCATACAGCCCTTGTCAACCGTCATAAACACCCTAAACTTAACCCTGAAACCCTAAAGCCCCTAAAGTCCTAAAGCCCTAAACCCTGAAACCCTAAAACCCCTAAAGTCCTGAAGCCCTAAATCCCGCGGAGAAAGAACCGTGCCGGAGATGACAGGAGGTTGACCAGGATCTGCTTGTTGTTGGCTTCCTTGAAGACCTGGATACTTGGAGGGTCGGGGGACTTAGTAAGTAGGTAGTAAGTAGACTTATAAGTACCCTAAAAGGGACCCAATTATGGGGTTATGGTACTTATTTATCACTAAAACAACCAGTTACTAAGTCCCCCGACCCTCCAAGTATGAGGGGTGCATAGTTCGGGGCCATCGTGGCACTCCCAGAGACTCCAACATTCCTACTACTATCAATTAAGGTATATTACTTAATGAAGGGATACCTAGAGGCTCCATAGTAGTTCCTATTTGGGGCTCACATGTAGAATCCTATAAGGTAATCCCCAAAAAGAACTACTTTGGGGCCTATAGGTATAGAACCTCATCTGAAAGCTAGCCTTTCCCACCCTGGAAAAGTTCAGGTCCTACGGTCGTGGCTACTGTCTCAAAAAGGTAAACCCGAAACCCTAAACCCCAAACCCAGAAACACCTGAACCCTCATCCTTAAACGAAAACCCTAAACCCTCATCCTTAATTAAACATTAAACCCTAAACCTTCAACCCCAAATCCTAAACGCTCAGCCCTAAACAGCAGCTGACCCCGGTACCAACTCGAGGTCCCGGGCATCTGAGACCTCGGGGAGCGGGAAGACGGGTTCCTGCAGCGGCAGGAGGGCTTTACCCATAGGCCCCAAAGTAGTTCCTTCTTGGAGTTACCCTATAGGATTCTATGTATGAACCCCAAACAGGAACTACTTTGGGGCCTTTGGGTAGGGTTGAAGGTATGGCGTTTAATGAAGGGTTCAGAGTTTAGGATGTAAGGTTTGGAGTTGAGGGTTCGGGATTAAAGGTTGATATAGAGTTTAGGGTTTAGACGGATCTAGGGTTCAAGTCATGGGGCCTGAAGTTCAGGTTCAATGATTCAAGCTTTTGTCGGGGCCATTGACGGAGCCCTAAACCCTAAACCCTAAACCGTCTCCCAAAAAAGGGCCGAGTCCGGCGGCGTCGGCAGTGACAGCCGACAGACGGTAAAGCCAAGACAGGATGAACACTCTAACATTTAGGATTGCGGGTTTAGGTGTAGGGCTAGATTTAGGATGGCGGGTTTAGGGGTGTAGGGCCAGATTTAGGATTGCGGTTTAGGGGTGTAGCGGTTTATGAGATTTAGGATTGCGGGTGTAGGGGTGCAGGGGTTTAGGGTTTAAGGTTTGGGGGCTTTAGGGTCTCGAGTTTACGTGTGTGAGACAGTATCGAGCCGCCCTGATGCAACCAACGCATACACGAAAGGGGCCTTGATGGTTGTATTAAAGCAAAAGCCAGAAAGTTGGAATATGATTATCCTAAACCTTTGATGGTAAATTACAGGGTATCCTACCCTGAAACCATATTCCAACTTTCTGGAGTTCCCTTTAGGGTGTTGGGGTATGCTGTGCTTCGATTAGGAGCCCTACGAAGCATATTCGCAAATATTCAAGCCCCTAATCATCCTGGTCATGAGGCCGGTAAGGCGAGAAGCTATATAGGATAATGCTTGTTGAGACTTTCGACAGAGAAGGGCTGAGAATCAGATCGCGAATTGAGCCTCCTTTTGAATCCGAAAACCTCAGCCGTGAACGTGCAGCATCCCGATAGGCTCGAAGTGCGGGACTCCAGTGTCAGGCTTGGGAGTGTGAAGAGTTTAGGCCTAAGCGTGGACACGTGTTTTGACTCCAAAGCAGTGTTTCGTACAAAACCGGCCAGATCACCTACCATAACCTACCAAAACCTACAACAAAAGTAGAGTCCCTACAAAGTCCATATTGGGGTTTATAATAGGAACCTACCAAAAAAGTCTGTTATGGTAGCTTAAGGCAGACAGTAGGTCTTCAAGAACTTTCCTTTCCGTATTCCTCTCGGCGAGTCGAAGTTACTTCTCACTACCCTCTCGCTCTCGTCCAGCCCTTACGACACCCCCATCCGTCCAGAATCTCTGAATTCCTTGGCTTCGCCTGAGATCGAGTTTATATTAGGGTTTGCATTGCAATTTGCAATTTGGGACTTAGGCTTCTACGGCGAAAATCTGTTCCATGATAGTCTGTTGCCCTGTTGCTCTTTCATTATTGGCTGTAGGTAGGATGTAATCTCAAGCGCCCACCCCTGGTGTGTGTGTGTGTGCTGACTCGACCTCCTCTTTCAGATGATGTGTTGTGTGTAGGGTTTGACGCTGTGGCCTAAATCCCAATCCCAATACCAAAAATATGAACCCCATTATAGGGTAGGGGTCCCCATTAAGGGTCCCTCCTTTTCCCCTTTGATTCACAGGAACCCCCCAATATCGGACGTAACCTCCTCGTCCTCTTCCACTTGCTCGCGGTAGACTTCGCCTGCCATCTGGAGGACCTGGAAAAGCCCCGGACCCCTAGGGCTGCCGATATGGGCTGGCTGTCAAAATTATGGCCCCTTCTTGGGTACCCTAAATATTAGGTGCCGTATAAGAATAAGGACCCAAAAAGGGACCACCCATAAAAATCTTGCATTACGTTAATGACGCTAGACTATGGGAATTGTGGTACATTCCTTATTATGGGTAATGCAGGATTTATAACATCAACCGTGCGTTTTAAGGTTTGGCTTAGGGCATACGTACACCGCGCAACTACACTGTCATAATTCTACTCCAAACACCCACTATTAAAACCATAAGGGATCTAGTAAAGGGCACTTGGGGGGTCCTGGTAGTCCGAAAAAACCCCAAACCCAAAACCCTAAACTTTGCCCTAAACACTTAAACCCCTAAACCCTGAACCCCAAACCCCTGAACCCCCAAACCCTAAACCCCAGAACCCCTAAACCCTACACCCTAAAGTCCGACCCGCTGTCTCCTTCTTCGGGCAAGCTTAGCGCAAAACTATCCGGAGTAGACTACGGCTTTTGGACAGTAAGAGTCTACGGAATAGGACGACTATTAAGGTCCTAATGTATCTATATTATGAATATTAATCAAGTCTATAGTTGGGCGACTACTAAGGTCCTAATATATCTGTATATTATGAATAGTAATCAACATGTAATCAACTATTAGTGAGTGGGGGCCGTACCCATATTGCAACCATGCAGGGGTGAAGTTTCAGCCTTTGCATGTCTACATCCCGCTGTTGTGTAACCACAGTACTACGTAGGACTGCGTGCGCATGCTTGCAGCTGGCGTGCTTTTGGGGTACATCATATACTACCCATAGGCTCCAAAGTAGTTCCTTTCTGGGAATACCTTATCGGATTCTACATATGAGCCCCCAAAAGGAACTACTATGGAGCCTCTCAGTAGACATTGAAATCATGATAAGGAACCCTATGGAACAGTGTATACTTGCTTTCCTGAGTTGTAGTGTTGGTGACCCTATAGAGTATCTATACGGACATAGGTACATCTATAGGAAGCATAAAGGGGAATTCAACAAGTTTGTCAAAGTGCCACCAAGTGTTTCCCAACTCCAAGCCGGACAGAAACCGTCCCGAGTCACCCCAATTAAACGATAACCTTGCCCTAAGGGTCCATGTACTCATATTGTATATACATTGGCCTGAATGTACTGCCTATGTAGGTACTTGGGGGCTCATGTGTCTCTATATGGGTACGTGGACCCTTAGGGTTGGGTATCCTGCACCTGAAATACGCTGAAGTCCTGCAGCCTAGAGACAACCCTCGCGAGCTCTGAAGCCCCTCTACTCGAGGGTTTCGTGTTTAGGTTATTTTAGGGTTACTGGACGCGCATAGTAGGCTACAGCGCTCAATTCTTGCCAACAGCTACACCTGCAGAGGTCATGGCTCCCCAAGAAGACTTTCATTAGAGCCGCTGTTAGGGTACAATGGGGGTAGTTGCGCGGGTGCTGGTCTTTACACAGGTTAGGGCTTAGGATGTGGGATCTAAATAACAGTTCTACAGGGGCTGAACCGGCCCTGCACGTTGAACATAAGGGGCTGTGAAGCTCTCTTTCGAGGCGGGGGTGTCGTTCATCTGACGGAAGCGTGTTTGAGTGTTGAAAGAGTGACTGGTCCAACTTACCCTAAGGCCCTAAGGGTCCATGTACTCATATCGTATATACATTGGCCTTAATGTAGTCCCTACATAGGTACTTTGAGGCTCATGTATCTCTTTGTGGGCACATGGACCCTTAGCCTTAGGGTTACGGCCTGACACCCGAAGTCCCAAAAACTTGGGTGAAGCCCCCACCACCTACCTCACATAGGAGACCCTCCAAACCCGACATCCGACAGCAAGACACGATCCCACAAAGCCTCCGAGTTCATCTCGTAGAACATTTGCACCTACCAGAACACTCCGGGCCCGGAGTTTAAGCCCAACTGTATTTTGAAGGGTGTGGGGGCTTAGGGGCACAGGGTTAAGGAGTTAAAAAGTGGTTGCGTAGAGCCTAGTTCAGGCTTGTTGGGGCCTAGGGTTCACTTCACGTTTACCGCTTAGTCTGGTGCCTGTAGGTTTTGGGCTACAGGGAAAGAGGATCCTTCTACATTCTAGTTTGCTTGTCCTCCTTCGCACAAGGCCTTTGGGTGCGTGGACCCTCTTCTTCAATAGCCGGGCCCCCAAAAAGTTCAAACCTTTGGAGGCAGACCAAACATGTGGGGCCAAAAAGGATTGAAGCTATACTTCCCTTTAAAGGAACCCCTACTAAACCCGAAAGCCCTAAAGGGTCACGAGGGCTTGGCCTTTGCAGGTCTAGGCTGTCGGGGTCGTCGGAAAGGTGAGGGCCGGGGCAGACCGAGATTAGGTCTTCACGGGTTCAGGGGTTGAGGGATCTATAGGGTTTAGGGGTTCTACAAGGAATCTATAGGGTTGAAGAGGGGTTTAGGGGTTTAGGGGTTGAGGGTTTCAGGGTTTAGGGCTTTAGGGGTTGAGGATTTCAGGGTTTAGGGCCTTAGGGGTTTAGGGGTTGAAGGTTTCAGGGTTTAGGGAAGTTTAGGGCCTAAGTTTAGGAGACTAGGATTTGGGGTTTAGGGTGTTGGCGTTCCTTTTGGGTTTAATGACGGGAAGTCTATCAAATCTCCAGCAGTAGTGATGCTGGACTACCACGCGCTCCAACCGCCGAAAAGAGGCAACGAGGCTAAATCCTGAAATTAACCCCTCAAGCCTGCAAGCCAGCACCTTCGCTCGAACTACTTGCCCAAAAGCACTAAAACGTACAACACCTAAACTTGAACCCCGGATTGAACTGCAATCGGTTCGGTCCCCCAGAAAAAGCTGGATCAGGATGAGCACTCCGGCCGCCAGAAAAAGGGCAGCGAACTGTTCGGCGTTCAGTGCCTCATCAGTCCGTGATTTGGGTTTTGCCTTCTTCGCAATCTTTTGGCAGTCTTCGAGGTGCTGCTTGCAACAGAACTTGATCACATTGCAGTCTTTCCGCAAGACACGGCAGCGATCAAGCTGCACTGCTTTTGGCCAAGGAGTGTCCCGAGTTCTTGCAGTGGGACGCACAAGTGCAGCCGTCCTTGCTGCAACTGAAGTGGCCGTGCCCGGCTGAAGTTGAAGGTCTTTTCATCTTCGCCATAAGGTGATGTTCCACTGTTTCGGTGTTGTTTCGGTGATGTCTGAAGTTGGAGGTGGGTGTTGATTGGTCTGGTGGTGGGCCAGTTGTTTGTTTATGCAGCTACTGACATGTGACTACGACAGGATTTGAGAGCAAACATACCGACCAAACCCATATCAAGATCTACAGCTAGACCGTGGGCTCATGAATCGAAAGCAGCATCCACAAGTCTCGCCTTCTTCACGCTCTGAAAGTGTTGTGCCTGAGCTGATGCACAGCACGATTTCGCGACGAAGGCGACTTCTTTTCGGCGATTTTGTATAAGGAAATCATAACAAAGAGCCCCAAAAGGAAGGGTTTATTAGGGTGCAGGTAGTACTAGAATGCTTGCGCTGGATGCGATGAAGCCCGGCCCTAAAGGAAGCCCAAAAAACTGCTTAGCCGTGGAGATTACAGTATTGAACTTGGGACCCAGGGATTATGACAGATTATATTGACCAAAGACGACGAACTACTGTTGATGATATAAATCCTGCAATACCCAAAATAAGGAATATACCATAATTCCCATAGTCTAGGGTCCTTAAGGTAATGCAGGATTTCTATGATTTCTATCATCAACCGTATGTCTGTTTATCCCTTAGTGCACAGCTCAATTCTAGGCCGCGAAGAGCTCAAACCATGGCCTGAACCCCAGAAGGTCCCAAAGAGTTAGCTAGGGTTTAGGGTTTAGGGTTTAGGCTAGAATCTCTCGAAACTTGCAGAGCCCCTCTGAGAAGGCATCTAAACGACCCATGCCCCCCCAAAAAAAGGGTAAGACGAAGGCCTTACACTTTTGAAGGTCCGAGGGTTTAGGATTCCGAGTTGGGGAACCCTAAGCCCCAAACACCGAATCGGTAGGAATATTCCGCCTTTGGACATGATTCACCTATACTGAACTTAGAACCCTAGCAAAATTTATAAGTTTAGCTGTTTCTTTGGGAATATCATAGCCAAAAATTAAAACAAACATATTTCTAAGTACCCCTAAGTCACGGTTCTCTGATCGAACGGCATGTCATGGCTTACCGTCAGGTGCTTAGGGTTGGAGTTTGCGGATTCCAAACCCTAAGGGTCCATGTACCGAAATAGTATATACTTTGGGCCCACAGTACCTGTATAGGGACTACTTTGAGGCCAATGTATGTACTATATGAGTACATGGACCCTTAGGGAAACTTCTCTGCTCAACCTGAGTATCCCGGCCGTATCTGTGTTGAGGATGGCAGCAATCACCACCTGACAGAGAACCGGCACAGGGCAGCTCATGAGAAACCACACACGGTTTCAACGCAGCAGGGCATCCTGATGTAGGGGCCTTAATAAGTAGAATAGGGCTTGGGGCCATTATACTATAAGTACAATTCAATAAGGAACCCCACAATAGTATTGGTAATTATTTAGGCCCCTATGGTACTCCAAATTTGAACTGCAGGTGCTTCTTGCAGTGAGAAGATATGAGCAGATTTTCGGCTTCCACAACATATCTAGGCGGCCCTGCACCGACTCCGTATGCAGTACCCCCCTGCGCCGAATCTACCGAAGAAGATAATTGAGCCGACACTCCTGACGATGGTGCCCAAGAAATCAGCCAATCACCAATCCCTCCAGGCTGACATCGGGGCACTTTCAGAGCAGACCAACTAAAGCACTGAAGAAGACCACAGAGCTGTGGCAAACCACACACCCCCCAAACAGATCCTTTCAACAGGGCTTTGAGGGGACTGACGTTTGATACTGTAAGCCTGTTGATTGGTTGACAAGGGTTGTTTGGGGCCTTATAAGGGCTCCAAAATGGATAGTAACAGGGTTGATATTAGGTGTCGATTTCTAAATCCTGAAAATCATGTGTATTAGGGCTCTAGATTAAACAATAAGGGAAATTGGAAACTATCCAAAATCGATAGCTGGGTTTACAAGTGGATCCAACAACCCACCGTTTTAACGGCCAGACCCTCTTATTAAGGGGTCATAGCCTACTATTTTTCAGGGTTTGAGGATTCAGGTAGTGGTTGTTCTCCCTAAGGGTCCATCTACCCATATATAGAGATACATGAGCCCCAAAGTACCTACATAGGGACCATATTAAGGCCAATGTATATACTATATGAGTACATGGACCCTTATACCCCAAACCCTTATAGATCCCTTAAAGGATCCCTTATGGTACCCTTAAAGGACCCATATACTATATGAGTACATGGACCCCAAAATCCCTAAACCCCAAACCCTAAACCCAAAACCCCAAACCCTAAACCCTAAACCCCAAACCCTAAACCCTAAACCCCAAACCCTAAACCCTAAACCCTAAACCCTAAACCCTAAACCCCAAACCCTAAACCCTAAACCCTAAACCCTAAACCCTAAGGGTACCCTTAGGGTCTCTAAGTCCGTTCAAAAGGAGCGGGGCAGATACGGGCTTCGGATTGAAGGCCTCGGGTCTCTACTTGGGAGGGTCTTTAGGGGACTTAGTAAGTAGGGGGGGGCTCCTTTCAAGGGGATTCTAGGGGATTCCTTTAAAAGGGCTCTATAGGGGTACTATAGGGTTTAGGGTTTAGGGGTCGGGGGACTTAGTAAGTAGGTAGTAAGTAGGCTTATAAGTACCCTAAGAGGGACCCTAATTGGGGTTATGGTACTTATAAGTCCCTAAAATAACCAGTTACTAAGTCCCCCGACCCTCCAAGTACTTGGGAGTTCATGGGTAGTTATAAGGGTTCCTTTAAGGGTCCCTTTGCAGGGATCTATAAGGATTCTATAAAGGTATAGGGTTTAGGGCCTACTTGGAGGTTCATGGGTAGTTCTAAGTAGGATTATAAGTAGGGTAACTATACTTATAGCCCACATTAGGGGGCTTATAACCCCACAAATAACTGCCCATGAACCTCAAAGTACGGGTCTAGAGATTCAGGGTTTGGAGGTTTGGGGCCAGGTTTAGGGTTTAGGGGTTTTGTATGGTCCCATCAGTGCCTTGCGAACGGTGTTGTAGTGGTTCTTTGACAACGGCTCCTGGAAGCGTTCGAGCAAAGCCCCGCTGCTCCAAATGAGAGTTGCCGACAACAAGAGACCCGAATCTGCACCCTAAAACCCCAAAACGAGCACGATCCTCATCATACGGACACAAAAGAATCGGCCCTTCACAAGCAAGACCCTTATTATCCGAGCCCGTATCGAGGATTCGCTCTGTTTCGGACCTTCCAAATAGTTCCAAGGCTTAGGATTCAGGGTTTCGAGTTCAGGATTTCTGGTTAGGGCTAGGGCTTTGGGGTCTTTAGGTTTGTAAGGCTCAGGGCAAAGTTCATAATTCTAGGCTAGACTTAAACATAGAAGGTTTCGTCTCCTCATCCCAGGAATGCCCTCAGACGCGACCCTGACAAAATCCGTTGAAAATCCTTATACGTAAGGCGCAACAGGGTCTGTGAACAAAGAGACAAAGGAAGCTGGTCAGCTGCAAGCACGCGAAATGAGTGCACAAGACCCCCTAAAGTTTAAGCTTCAAAGTCCTCAGAGTTCCAAGAGTTGAGGGCTTCTGGCTTAGGGTAAGCCACTCCTTGAACCCCGAACGATGTTCATAGTCGTGACAGCGTCATCATGAACAACACTGCTGCCACCATCGCCGTCATCATCATCATCATCATCACCGCCATCATTGGCACCAAAGATAGCAGTAAGTCACCAGATATCTTACCAGGCAAAGGTCGACACGAGAATCACTATAACTACTATGAAAAGCGCTGCACCTTTTATTCGGGAGTGACCAAACACCAAGGGCCCAAGAATGAACCGAACAAAAATCCAAATCCTGCGCCCCAAGCCAAGAAGGTTTGTTGGAAGTTCTGGGACTTACAGTTTCACTTTAGAATACACAACGCTCAACCATACACCCTAACCCCTAAACGCCGGATTCCGGACTCTCTTATGAGCCCTCGGGTTCTACACTCTCCCACTTTATGTTCAAGACTTTCCTAAACCGGAACTTTCCACACTCTTCCAAACCCCAAACTTCAGAGGGCTTCAGGGAGTTGGGATTTTCGGGGTTTCGCAGTTCAGGGCTTCGGCTTCCAACACTTCGTGAGCCCTGAACACGAAACCCTAAACCCTAAACCCCTAAACCCTAAACCCCTAAACCCCTAAACCCTAAACCGCTAAACCCTCTAGACCCTAAAACCTTCAAGGAGCCCTTCTGAGGAGCCCGGCAAAGATGGCGCAGTGGGGTTGGCTCACGATCTCCTTGGCGTTCGACCGATGGCTTTGTACATAAACCGCTACAATATGATTAGGGTTTCGGGTCCAATTTTTTGTGGGCCTTTTTTTCCAACTGCAGGCTATTCGCCCCACCAGCGTCCCCAAACCCGAAGCCCTAGCCCCAAGGGTCCAAAGGACGCAATAGTTAGGTACTCGGTTTTCGGATAGTAAGGATAGTAGTTATGTAGGTCAAGATTTCGGAGAATATATGATTATGAAGGTACTTGGACCCTTGGGGTAGTGTTTCGGGTCCAGGGTTTAGGGTTTAGGATAAACACAACAGTACCAAAATAATGTATAAAATCACAGTGTCCTAGGTGTTAGCCCATTTTCTAGGTTAGAACATAGCAACTATCATAAACCCTGAGCTTTAAGCTGGAAGTCCTGGACACTCACAAGCGACTGTCTTTGTGAGGCGAGCCTTGAGTTCCATCATCATGACACCCATGAGTGCCGTGCGGAGTGGCGCCTGGCATTCTCCGTTCTCGTAGCTTTCCTTCCACGCCACTGAGGCTCAGGTCTTGAAGAGCTGTGGGAGAAGACTGCTTTCCTTGGTTGTTGGTACAGGCAGAAGCTGCGGTCAGCCTCCAACATTTGGATTGAGAACTCGTGAAGTACAAGTTGCACCAGCATCTTCAAGAGAGACCGTAAAGCGGCTTGGGGTATAGGGCCTGCAGGGCTTACTTGGAGCTTCATGGATAGTTGGCGGCTGGGGGTTACATATAACTACAACTATAGCCCGTACTTAGGGGGACTTATAACCCCGCTTCAACCCTAAATCCTAAACCTATAACCCACGTAGGGGACTTATAACACCATTCTACTACCAATGAACCTCCGAGTAGGGCCAAAAAAACGCGACGCTCTCTCGACCCTGCGCGCTGTGATGTTCAGCGTGAAGAACGCGATCCTAAAAATTCCAAAAAGCATGGTTCGCCAAAACAGTAATCCAAAGCTTGTTTGCTGAACCCACCCTACACCCTAAAAGGCTAAACTGTATCACCGAAACCCTTTCCCAACTACCCCTGTCTACTTCCCTCCTGAACACCGAAACCCCTCCTGAAGACCTAATTCCTAAACCCTAAGCCCGAAACCAGAGTTTCGAGCAAAGCCGGAAGCGTCACCTGAGGCTCTGGCGAAGAGTCTGCTGCAGCTCATGCTCTCCAGGCAAGACCTGTTTAGGGCTTAGAGCGTTACTAGAGCTCCCGTTCTGAGTTCTTGAAGAAGCTATAAAGGGTCTATCATAGGGTTTAGGGTTTAGGTTTCAGAGATTTTTGGGTTTAGTGGCGCTGTTTTCGGGTTTGGGGCTTCGGGTGTAGGGCTTGAGGAGACCTGGCTTGAATCACAAGGACCCTCAGGTCCCTAAACTTTCAAACCCAGCTCTCGGGGTTTAGGGGTTTAGGGTTTAGGGTTTAGGGGTTTAGGGGTTTAGGGGTTTAGGGGTTGAGGGGTTTAGGGGTTTAGGGTTTAGGGGTTTAGGGGTTTAGGGGTTTAGGGTTTAGGGTTTAGGCATCATCTTCATTATGTTGGAACTCCGGGCGCCTCTCGGGCGAGTCCAGCCAGGTGATTGCCTCCCTCGAAAGGAAAAAGCGGCGCTCCTGTATGAGCCCCGGGTATAAGTACTCCGCTGCTTGGGAATCGCGTCGGAGTTGCGATCATTGCCAGTGCCGCCAGACATGCCCACATACGCGTCTACCAAGGATCGCGTCGCCTTTGCTGTGTGCTCCCGAAGGTAGCACCACCCATGGGGGTGGGCGGTGGCACTTCCTTGGTAAATAGGGTGCTTATAATATTAAAGGCGTCCTAGAAACAGAAGCCTCCCTCTACTGTTTTCACTGACTGGCTGCTGTCTTTTCCAGACTTGGTCTATCAACTTTGCTCCGAGTGTTCTTTCTGAGAAACATGTCTATTTGTCTATTTGGTGTCAAGCTCTACATTTTCGTGCTTAAGGCTTAGGGACAGGGATGACCTGGTCGAGGGGTTAGCCATTTCCAGAGACTCGAAGATACATCAGTAAAGGGGTCCTAACATTGTGTCTCTGTTGCAATCTAAGCAATGCTCGTAATATGATTCGTGTTACTGTGTAGCGTTTCAGGTACAAGCCCGGCGCCCAAACCCTAAACGCAGAATCCAAGAAAGTGCGCAAACCGGAACTGTAAACCCAACCCCAAAAAGCCCTGAACGTCCAACATCCCTAGACCCGAAATCTCAAACTCCAAACCCGCCAACACCCAAGATCCTTTCGGAACTAGTAGAACCCGAGAACCCGTTCCTTAAATTCTAAACCCTGAATGAACCCCTCTGACCCTAAACCCCAAACCCTAAAACCCCAAACCCTTATCGAACCCTTCACAGCCCAAGCCCTAAACCATCAAACCCTAAAACACTAAATCCTTATCAGCCCAGACCTTAAACCATCAAAACCCTAAAACACTAAACCCTTATCAGCCCAAACCTTAAACCGTCAAAACCCTAAAACACTAAACCCTTATCAGCCCAAACCTTAAACCATCAAAACCGTAAAACAACAAACCGCTATCGAACCGTTCCCAGCATTGTAGTTCAACTAGGATACCCAGTAACCTAAGAATAAAAAGGCCGCTCTTTTTGGTATTGGGTAACTTTATAAGGAACCTAGGACTACAAAAAGGGAATAAGGGTACTACTGGAGATCCTAGTAGGGGTTATATAGGGATTATATATAGGGATGATATTTAGGGTTCCTTATTATGATCATAAGTCCTTAAAAATGTAGATTCTTCGGGGTTAAGGTGCAGTTCAACCTTGGAGCCCGCACCGGTCGTTGTAGGTCATCGCCTTGGATCTCAGGACTTTGCTGACTGTGAGTTGGAACTTAGGCTTTGAGGCTTTGGGCTTTGAGGCTTTGGGCTTTAGGCTTTGAGGCTTTGGGTTTTGGGGGTTGGGCTTTAGGCTTTAGGGGTTAGGGTTTATAGGGATTAGGCTTTAAAGTCTTTCGGGTCTGGAGTTTTTAGGTTTAGGCCTTAGGGTGGGGACCCACAGGTCCTAATTACACAAGCTTTGCATCGGCTTTGAAGAGAAACGAGACTTCGCGCAGAGTGTCCAGTTGTTTCGCTATTGGGTACAGCCGCATCGCGTTTCCCGGAGGTGTTTTTGGTTACGGTGCGTCGGGAGCACTGGGCTGTTGTGCTCTTGCGTGAGGTGGCGCTTAATTGGCTTAACGCATCGCATGCCTCGTGAAATTAACTATATAACCAGCAAATATGAGCTTTGCCCTAACGGTCCAGGGAAAACAGGGTGCAGCAAGCGAGATACACAACCCACGAACCAACAAAGGTCAAGATCGGGCGGCGACAGGGGCTCAGTACATGCCTCGATTGCATGCTTCGCCAACAAGAGTGAGTGGGCGATAAGAAATTCTAGCAGCTAGCATATGCTAGCATCACCGTAGGGGACGTCTTTGGGAGATAAATGGTCAAGGTATAGTCTGCAGGGCATGCAACAGCTCGGTAGTAGCATGCATGTGCGAAAGCATCCGGCACCTGCCCTCTTACAAAAGACACTGCTAGACTACGTGCACGTGCTCTGAAGTTGTCGGACGTTTGGAACAGATGGTATGGGGGGCCAAGGTGGCGGTTGAGCGCGTGCAGAAACATGCGACCTTTCATCTGCATCGTTCTGATGAATCCGATTTGTAGTGCCCATGTCGGAGCTGTGGACGATGGTACCAACATAAGTACTGCAAAGGGCCAGAATCGTCAAGGCTCTCTCTGACTAGATTTGGAGGCCAAGCCCTCTTCGAAGGGAAGTTCCACAGTTGATTTAGGGCCCTGCATGTGAATGGCAACCAAAAGAACTAGGATACCCAGTACCCTAAGAATCAAAAGGCCTCTCTTTTTGGTATTGGGTAACTTTATAAGGAACCTAGGACTACAAAAAGGGAATAAGGGTACTACTGGGCATCCTAGGCAACCAAAAGAAGCTACCAAGGGCTCTACTGCCCAGATAGGGCCAGGTCCCTTGATCGCCTTGGCCTCAGCCCCTTTACTAAACCCAGACCAAGCACCTCATGATACACAAACCCGGCCTAACACCCTACCATAATATACTATACTATACTATAATATACTAGAATATGCCATAATATATCATAATATACTATACTACACCATAATAAGCCTAAACTCTAAACCATCCTAAACCCATCTTGCGGCCCCGGTGGCCAAAGGGTGCCTGGTTTGCACAAGGAAGCCGTTGTTCAGCCCGGGATGAGCCAGATCAAGGCCTGATCTTGTCAGCTTGTGTTCGGGAGGGGAGGGGAAGGGGAGGGTTCAGGGTTTAGGGTTTAGGGTTTAGGGGGAGGGGAGAAGGGGTGTAATGGTCCTGTATAATTTCCCAGATAGATCAGCCGGGGCCGATTGCATGGACAGAATTGGGTTCAGGGCTGGAACTTCGGGTGTAGGATGGAGTTGGGAATTTAGGGTGTTGGGTGTGAGAGCCGAAGGGGCAGGCATGGAACCCACACTAAATCAAGCTACTTCAGCAATTTCCTACGCTGCCACGAAGATGACTTCGGAGGGGAACAAGGACCGTAACCCTAAAAAACCCTAAAGCCGAAAGCCTAAACCCTAAAACCCCGAAGCCCTAAACATCCTGAACCCTGAGTCTGATGTAAGGAGTCGGATTTCATGCTTCCAGGCCCGGACTCCTCGACGTTGCACCGAACGTTGGTCCCAGATTGATCTCCAAATTGATAAGGGGTTCCATGCGAAAGCTGATCAGCACCAATTTGTGAACCAGCTTTGAGGTCTACGATACCCAATGAAATCAGTACGTGCTTGTAGTTCCGTATCAACCCAAGCCCCCGATGCCCTTAATCAGCATGGAAAGCTGTCTCAGCGCAGCGTCATCCTCATAACCAACCTGGACCCTAAGGAACCTACCTTTTTAGGGACTTATATAAAGAAATCTTATTAGGGGGCCCTAAAAGGTAGGTTCCTTAGGGTCCAGGAAGGGTCTGCATACCGGGGACTTTATTCACCGCCACATAATCAAGATGCCGATGTGGAGAGGCACCAGTCTGCAGCAGGTCGTCTGGTTCTGTGCCAGCAGCTCTGTTCCGTCTGCCACTAACCCAAAGGGCCCGGGTTACAGTACAGCTCAGTCTAATTATATATGGGGGCCCAAATAATTATCTACTAAGAACTTATTGTAGTGGTACTTGGACCGTTTGGGTAGGCCAACGGCCCAACCAAATGCAAGCGCGCAAACATCAGCCGCAAACGTCCTTAATTGATCGATTGAGAAACTACAGTTTATATTCCGCCCCATACCCCCTTGTCAGGTCCTAAACCGAACTTAAACTACCTTAAGGACTGTTTAGGGTTTAGGGCATAATATACAACATTTCAGGACATCATGATAAGGACCCATACAAGGGTGGGTTTTATCGGACGTTATGCTAGAACGTAACGTAGCTTAGTTGTCCAGCTAGGCTATAAGCGTGGTAAAGCTTAAGCTTTGGGAATGTGTAGGGATTATGCTACGCCCAAAAGGTTAAAGGTTACCCACTCTAAGGCCAAAAAACACCACAGCCCCCAATCCTTGTCACCTGAAAGACTCGGAACCTGCTGCAACATTCTCATCCCTTAGAGGTACCATTAAAGAGATCCTTTAAGGGCTCCTTAAAGGGATCTATATTCTATAAAGGGTTTAGGGTTTAGAGTTTCCGAAAACTAGGGATACCTTATTCGGGGTCCTTATAATAAGGATCCTACTATTTGGGTACTATATTAGGGTGCCCTATTTTCGGAAACCTCTTATAGGGATGACAGTATGTAGCATTGGGTCGTAGTTTGAAAGCCTGTAAGGTATTTTTGTGAATAGACGAACAGGGGGAACGACACCGTACCCCAAAGTCAAAGTGCCACTCGGCAAGACTCCTGGAACACTGTGGAAACTAATTACTCGACACTACAACTTCACACTGGACAAACTCCTCAGCCGCCAGCAAAGTGCTGCCACAAGCATGGCGAAGGTCTCATGGAAGGCTAAATACTCGGTCACCTGACCTGGGCATCGGAAGAGGTGTCATGCAGCTTTCTCGTGGCTTTTCGAATGTTTCTGTGTCAGCTGACCCGGGACTGCAAAGGTTGAAGACTTGCTTTGCGATTCTTGATCCCTAAACCCCGCAACCCTAAACCCCTAAACCCAAAGCCCTAAACCCCTAAACCCCAAATTCAACCCGTTGGCTTCAAATTGAAAGAGTTCAGGGCGCCGGCAGCGGCATCAACCTTGGGGTCTCTGGAGGCACGAGTTTTCTGAAGGCACGCTAGCGACTATACTGAACCTAGAACCCTAGCAAAAATTCCAATTTTAGCTGTTTCTTAGGGATTATACTAACAAAAAACTAAAATTGTTTCTAAGTACCCTCAAGGTCAAGTTTCAGTGGCCGAATGAACTGATTGAAGTTCGGGGTACTTGGGGGTTCATAGGTAGTTATAAGTAGGGTTCCTTTAAGGGCTCCGTAGGGTTTAGGCTTTCTGGTATAGGGCTATAGGGTTTAGGGGTAGTTAGAAGTGGGGTTATAAGTAGGGTAACTATACTTATAATTCATAGTTAGAAGTAGGGATATAAGTAGGGTAACTATACTTATAAATAATATTAGGAGACTTGTAACCCCACTTACAACTAGCCATGAACCTCCAAGCATGAGGACAAACCCAAGGCCCCAACCCCCCCCCCCCCCCCCCCCGCGTTTCCCTCCGACCCGGTGCAGGTCTATACTCCCCAAAAATCCTAAACCCGAATACCTAATTATTGGGTCCTTTTGGACCCTGAGGATGACACAAATTCAACTCTGGCACCGAAAAACCAGAGCTACAATTGAAGGACTCGAGGAGTTCCCGTTGGAAGGAGGGGGTAAAGGTCTGAATAAAGGGTGCTAAGTGCCCTAAGGGTCCAAGTACCTAATTATCATATGCTCTCCCGAATAGTAACCTACAGAACTAGTATCCTAAACTCAAGTACCTAAATTATGATAGTGATTCCTGATATAGAAACCCTACATTCTACTATACGGGTGCTTTGGACCGTTTGGGAAAGTATCGTGGGAGTTAGGATTAGGGGGAGCCTCAGGGATATAGAACCTCTCAATAAGGTACCCTTTAAGGGGTCTCCCTCATCAAGCTACCCATAAAGTTCTAATTATTACTTGGAGGGTCGAGAGACTTAGTCAGCAGGTAGCAAGTAGACGTATAAGTATCCTAAAAGGGACTTTAATTGGGGTTAAGGTACTTATAAGTCCCTTAAATAACCAATTACTAGTTCCCCTAAACCCTAAACCCTTACAGAATCCCTATAGATCCCTTTAAAGGGGCCCTTAAGGAACCCCTTATAGTTACTAAGTCCCCGAAAGACCCTCCAAGCAAGGCCCCTACATCAGGAGTCGAAAGCTCGGGGAGGCGGGCTTCTCGGCTTCGCGCTTTGTTGAGGCTTCAAAGTACATATCAAGGACCACTAAAAAGTTTACTAAAAAGCACATAAGCATAAGCATTTCATAGGGATATCCCTACCTTATTGGGCTTCATTATAAGGGGGCTTGTCTGGGATATGCCTGTCCTTATTTTTGCTTATGTGCTTGTTTGGGGCCCTATAAAATATGTGGTTAAGGGTTTAAGGGTTCGGCTTTGCTCTCTGCTTTTGCTCACGTAGCCTGCAGATCTTGCTCGAATTCCTCAGGATTTTCAGTTTCGATCGTAGCTGCCCTACACCCCACCCCCCAAAACAAATCCTAAACCCACAGTTCTAGAATCCTTATGCAGAAACCCCCGCGCTCGGGCGCAAGCAAATGTTGGCCAGGCGCCAGGTAGCATGGCCGACATCCACTGCACGGAACCTGGCCAGGAAGGTGCAGAATTGAGGGGATTCAGTTCTTGTTTTGTGTTGAGCGGGTTCAGCACGCAATCGTTTAGGGCTTACGGTGTCGGCGAATCCACACACGACTGGACTTTCTCCAGTTGGCCAGGAAGTGTAGCTTCTTCTGTACGTCAGCGGTGTCGTCCCCCTGCTTCTTGGTACAGCTGTCCACCACTTGGCAGATCTGACGGAGCTCTGCAGTTTTTGGGAGCTCAAGCCGCCATTTGTGCTTGTGCTGCTGCATCAGCCGCCGCTTGTGGTTGTGACGCTGCAGCCGCTGTTGCGCCACTTTGGGCTCGCTGGCGGCGCAGCCGCTGTTGCTCCACTTGGGCTCGCTGGCGGCGTGTATGTCGAGGCTGACGGGAGCCCCTCGATGTAGTCATTGTAGTCTTTTCTGCCTGCCATACTCGAATACATAGGCTTTAGGGTTCGGGGTTTAGGCTTAGGGTTTAAAGTTCTTCTCGGATGACCTGAACCCTAAGGGTCCATGTACCCATTTAGAGATACATGAGCCCCAAAGTACCTATATAGGGACTACATTAAGGCCAATGTATATACTATATGAGTACATGGACCGTTAGGGTGAAGACATTCCAGGAAACTCCAGTTTCCCTGCCGCCTCATGTCTTGCAGGAGAGAGCTCTTCTGAGGAAGCTTGACCTACAATCTACTTGGAGAGTCATGGATAGTTGTAAGAGTCCCCTAATGTGGGTTATAAGTATACATACCTTACGAATAACCCTATTTGTAACTACCCCAACATAGTACCAGTAATTATTTAGGCCCCTACATTGCTGCTTGAGACCTGAACCTATACCCTGGGAAGGGCCCAATCCATGGCGCTAGGGCTTAGGGTTGTGGGCTTAGGGCTTCGGAATCTGATTCGACCCTAAACTCATGGCTCTTACTACTGTAGCTGGACCGTGGGAACCCAGTCCTTTGGAGATTTCGCAACCCTAAACCCTAAACCTAAACCCCTAAACCCCCAAACCCTGAACCGAGTTTGCTGGCTCCTGCATGGCTGGCTAAACTAGTGCCGCGCATCACATCTCAAGTGGCCGAGTGGACCGAAGCATCGTTCTGGATTTAGGGGTTCTTGGAGCTTTGGGATTGGGGATCAGGAGCCCTAAAACCCAAAACCCGAATATGGAGTGGGTTTCGGGAACCATGAAGCTTTAAATCTGGCTCTGCACTAAGACCCGTCGCACCCGAACCTAGGCCACCTCAGCCGCCAGGTGGACAAGTTAGAGATGCGTAGCAGCAGCCCCGAATGCCCCAACACCCACCACTTGCCACATCTTAGAGACAACAAGTGAAAAGCGCAGAAGAAGACAATTTGGGTTGTGAGGGGTTAAGCGAAGGCTGGACATGCATGATTCGTCAAGATTTTCACGTGTGGGGTTTAAGTCCATGGTCTCTTCGAAGTGGGCTCTCGATACTGAGGGGTCCTTTTGGGGAAGGCACGTGTGTGATCGGATCTCTCCATAGGATGTAAAATTCGGAAATCCTATAATAAATATCCCCAAATCCCTTATAACAGCGTACTGTAGAATCCCTCAAAGGAGCCCTTTAAAGGAACCCTACTCTATAATTATTGAGGCCCCTATACTCGGGCCCCGGATTCGGCTAGCAGGCTTTGGATGTATGGTTTCGGGCTCAAGGTTTCGGAACTTCTAATATAGGGGCCGTAATAAGTAGAAAAGGGGTTTGGGGTACATTATGTACTATATGTATAATAAGGAACCCACAAAAAAGTAGTGGTAATTATGTAGGCCCCTATGTTACTGCTGCTACTCCGAAGACACGCACGTGGACGAGCGTGCATTTCTGCCGGTGCTACGACATGCTGCGACTACTACTGGCAAGTCAGCTGATGTCGAGCCTTTCCTGCTCCTCCTCATTATCATCATCACCATCATCGTCACTGTCTGTCTGGTTCCTAGTAAGGAATGGGGGAATGGCTATTGGGACCACTATAGGGGACCTTGAGGGATCCATTCCCCCCTTCCCCACTAAGAACCAGACAGTTGTTCTGAATCCCCATCTTCACCCTCACCATAGGAAGGAAACCCTAAACCCAAAACCCTAAACCCTAAACCCTAAAGACCTAAACCCCATAGGAAGGAAACCCCGCACTCCCGCGGCGAAAGGACATGGCAGCTCGGCCAGTTGTGGTAGGGGTTGAACCTCAACAGCACCCGGCATAGTAGGGTTAGGGTGTAGGGTTCTCTTTTTTGTTTTAAGGCCTTTTTCCGCCTGCAAGACAGAATCCCTCCAAGGGAAAGCGGTTTAGAGGTTAGGGGTTAGGGTTTAGGGGCTGGGGCTTAGGGGTTAGGGTGTAGAGAGGTCATCCCAGAGCCCAGAACTCTTCACAAAGGCCCCTTTTCGCACAAGCAGAAACTTGATGACGAGGATGGTCATGATGGTCATGTTGGTGATGAAAGTGAACAGGGAGATGAAGCTGGAAAACATGATAGTGAACAGTGATGATGCATGACGTTGACGACAGTGGCCTTTCGGATCATTACAGTACGAACAGCTCTTGTGTATGACAACAGTGACTTGCCTGAAGTACACACATAATACCTACATTGGGCTAGTTGGAGGAATAGGGCTTTGGCGCATACTATACTATACTTCTTAGAGCCTATCAAAGGGCTCTGAGTTTGGAAAGCTGTACGGTTGTAGGCATCAGGGAATCTGATCTCCTTCAGAGTGCTCGCTTGAGAGTCGAAATGGTTTCTCTGTGTCGCGTGAAAACCTCGGAAGGAACAATGCAAGCAACTGCTGTAACAAAGCGTCCCAGGCCGCAGACCCAACCTGTTCCTGTGTTCCTACCTTGATCCCAAATGACATACCGTATTAAGGACTTATATAAAGAAATCATCTTGGGGAAGACTAAATTGGTAGGCTTTTCGGTTTCCTTGGGGTCCAGGCAGTTCCTACCCCCTAAACCCTCAACCCTAAACCTTATAAACTCTAAAACCCTAAACCTCCAACCCGACATCCCCGGGCTCTGAACTTAGCCTCCTCAGATCCGAAATCCGTATGTAAGCCTCGACATGCACCCTAAATCCCACAGTCCGGAAAAACAATATCCTGAACACGGAATCCCAACCCTTAAGCTTTAACTTTAAAACCCCAAGCCTCGAGATCCAAAAAATCTATCAGGATGATTTTAAAAAAAAACATAGCTTCTAGACCCCAACCCCTGCGATAGTACATTTCTAGCACACAAATAAAGGAACCTCAATTGCTATATAGTACCCTTACGGGCACCTCAACTTACCAAAACCCTAAACCCTAATTGCTATATTACCCTAATTACTATATTACCCTAATTACTATATTACCCTAATTACTATATTACCCTAATTAGTATATAGTACCCTTACGGGTACCCCCAAGCCCGGGCTACTTACCAAACCCTGGCTACTTATCGGCGCCCGGCTTCATGTCATTTTCAATCTCGTCGACGAAGGCCTGAAGGAAGAGCGAGAGCCGGATATTATATGATTCAATAATTATATTCTGAAACAAATTAATATCATGATATTATTAACTTTTTGGATAGTATGGGGGCCTAATAATATAGCGGCCTGAATAATTAGGATAGCGTGTGGGGCCCAATATACTATACTATATAAGTATAACATGAAGGAAGGGTGCGGGCTGGATACTCTTGGGCTCTAAACATCTTCAGCTTTGCACTGAATTATTCGCTAATGTGTATAATATCAGCATGGCCTCACACACGCACACACATGTGTATAGGTACTGCTATGCACATATACCATAAACAAGTAACTAATGGAGAGAGATATACGTATATATATATATATGTATGTGTATATATATATATATATAGAAGAGGGTTTGTTGAGTAAGGGTTCAAGGATCTACACGGATCCACGATCTGGAAGGAATGAAGGTTGCGGCGGGCTGCTAAGGTCACCGCAAGAATAAGGATGATGCTGGCACTGGTACAAAGGAAGTGCCCAGGTTGATGGTGTTACCCTAAGGGTCCACAGCACCCAATAATCAGGTACTCGGTTTTAGGATAGTAGTTATGTAGGTTACTATTTTGGAGAGTATATGATAATCAAGTACTTAGACCCGTGGGGTTATCTCATGACTGGGATGTTGTCGTCGCGAAGGATCGAGCTTGGCTATCAACTGCGAGGCCCGTCCAGGTTAGGAACGCTGGTTCCCGCAGGGAGCCTGGAATCGTGGGTTGCTTGACACAAAGGAGAACAAAGAGGCAGATGTAAACAGGAGATGAAAGCTACAGTGACCTCATCCCGGGGTTCAGCTTGCATTTACCGCTTACTGACCTTATATTCACCTTGCATTCAGCTCAGGAAGCGCCTGTTTGTCTAAGCAGCCAGCTTTACAAATCTTTGCATCCTCGTGTCGACGTGAAATCTCAATCCAAATCTCCAAACCCTTAGCGCTCAACCTTTGAAGCCTCACCCTGTATAGAACCCTTCAGCATGAATCTGAAGCCCCATACAGTAGAAGCCAGAAAGTTGGAATATCATTATCGTAACCCCTTTATGGTAAATTATAGGGGATCCTGCCATGAAACCATATTCCAACTTTCTGGAGTTCCCTTTAAGCCTCGAAACCTCAAACCCTCCGGCCTTGACGTACTTCTCACATCGTATGCCATGGTTTGCAGGCCTCTAACCCAAAGGGTCCAAAGTACAGACGGAGGTTCATGGGTAGTTCTGAGTGCGCGATAGAAGTAGGATAACTATACAGTTACAACCCATGTCCGAGGACTCATAACCCTAAGGGTCCAAAGTACCTATATAGTAGAATGTAGGGTTTCCATATTAGAAATTTCTATTATGACTTAGGGAAGTATTCCCCATAACAGTATACAGGACCCTTTGGGTAACCATTGATAGGGCACGGGGTCTGAGATTTGAAGTCAGGTTGCTGCATTTGTTCGTTTATTAGGTTGTTTTCTTCGCCGCACTCTTGGATCTACAGGTCTAGGTTACAAATAACAAGCTAGCTACAGTAACAACAAGTTTCCAAAAATGATCAACACAGGCAACTGAATACCTTCCCATGAGCTCTTGTTAGCCTTTGCAGATCCAGACGTTCAGGGCGTATAGTACAACGAACACCTTCCCATGAGCTCTTGTTAGCTTTTGCAGATCCATACGTTCAGGGTCTAGGGTAGGGTCCAGGGTTCGGGCTGACGCCAACTTTGTCGTGAGGAATTGTGTTTTCAGAGATAAACATCACCATCTTTTGGGGTTTAGGGATGGACATAATCATCATCCCCCGTGAGGGCTTAACATCATGCGTTCATTGCTCTTTGGAAAATGAACAGAACTATCGTCTTGCTCTGAGGTGCTGGTCTTGCTGCCTCGGACCGAGCCCCAAAGCCGAACACTTGTGCCCTTTCGTGGAGAGTGTTTGCAAACGAAAACATCCTTCCGAAGTCCAGAACGGAGGTAGCAGGTACAATTGATAGTCATATTGGGACTATAACGAGGTGCTGCTTCAAACTACTCAGAAAAGAGGAGATTATTCAACTATTCAAACTGCAAGGCGACATTCTTGCAAAACTACACAGACATCTAAAGTATCTCGGCTTTAAACAAGCAAACTCAGGAACACCCAGGAACCTAGGAGGATATAACTCAACTACGCAGACATCTCAACTCACCTCACCTACTTGGAGGTTCATGGGTAGTAAAAAAGTAGGGTTAGACGCAAGGTAACTATACCTATAACCCATCTTAGGGGACCTATAACCCCCTTTTAACTACCCATGAACCTCCAAGTAGACAACCCAGAGCCCTTGGCCCGATGATGAACGCGGCGAGGGATCGATTCATCACCTCAGAAGCTCGCCGTCTCTCTTCTTCTTCTCCTTAAACCCCCAACCCTAAACCCTGAACCCTAAACCCTAAACCCTTCCCTCTCTCTCTCTCTCTCTCTCTGTCTCTCTCCGTTCGATCTCGGACTAGGGTTTACGGCTTCAGAAATGTGAGATCTTTGTGTCGTACTGGTACACAGGAATCAAGTGCTGAAAAGGGGGAGCAAGAAGTCACGTCTTCACTCCACCTGCTGCTGATCACTAGCCCTCGAGCACGGAAACGAACTTCGAGTAGAGACCTTGAATAAAACAAAACTGGATCCCAGCTGAGGGCGCATGAACTAGCATCATAGACGAGCCAGTATCAACAACAGCACCCTCTCTGCTTCATGTAGTATGTATGAATGTATCAAGATGAAATGATACATACACATGCATACGCCATGTCGAACAGTACGGTTATACGGCTCCTATGCACACAACAACCAAGATCAAGCGTGAGCCCGTCTAGCTTCTGCAGCTGAAACCTCTTGACAAAAACACATATGCCGAAGCAATGCAGTCCACCCCCAAAACCCAGAAAGCCTCCACCAACCTTAATGACGAAATGAACCCTAGAAGGGTGTAAGGTACAAACCAGCACAGAGGGATTCATGGTACAAGGATCCAGGGACCCAGTGTCATTTGGTCCGTACGAAGCCTGATTCTTCAGCCAAACACAAGCTGCAACCCCAGTCCAATCCCCCAAGCCCTGAAAAACTGGTCGATTAACCCGAAACCCAGAATCCTAAACCCTAAACCCGAAATACTAGCTTCTGAACCCTCAACCTAGAACCCCCAACTACCCTCTAACATACCCCAAATACCCACTAGTAAGGACCAATAAGCACTCTATGAAAGGGCCCTTGTTGGGGGGTCCTCGTAACTTCTGAACCCTGAACAGACCAAAAACCCTAAACCTTGAAGCTGCAAGCCTCCTGACCCCGCCCCGCACCCTAAACCCTCAACCCTAAACCTTAAACCCTAAACCCTAAACCACAAACCCTAATTAAACCGTAAACCCCAAACCTTAAACCTTAAACCCTAAACCCTAATTCCCAAATCCTAAACCCCAAACCCCAAACCGTGCCCGGCCCACGGCCCTCGGGCCTTGTCGAACTCCATGGGGTTCACGCGCCAGTCGCTCAGCGTCTCGATGGTGAGACCTGACGGGCTGCTCGTGTTCGGATTTATAGGGCTTAGGATCTAAACTAAGTAAGGCTTATGGTCTATAAGGGTAAAGGGTTTAGGGCTCATAGGTCCTAGGGTTTGTTGAGTTTAGAGTTTAATACACTATAAGGCTTGGTGCGCAGAGGGCTTAGAAGGTTCACAGAACTTGTGGGGTTAAAAGGAACTTGTGGGGTTAAATGGAACTATAGGGATTTATCGGGCGTAACGGGCTTCGGGTTTATACGGCTTGTTTCCTGGCTTCTAGGATTTTCGAGCATATGGAGTACGATTCTGGAGCCGGCCCGGGTTCAGGGTATACCCGGACCCTAAAGAACCTACCTCATAGGGTTCCTTATTCTGATTTCCGTAAGGAAGTCCTGACAAGGGTGGGGTCTGGGGGGGTTCCAGATTTGAAACGTCTGGTGGTCTCGTAGAGTTCGGAGTTGAGGATGCAAGTTGGTGGCTTTCCCCAAGGGACCATGTACTAATATAGAGATACATGAGCCCCAAAGTACCTATATAGGGACTGCAGTAGGGCCAATGAATATAGTATATGGGAGTTTCCTAAAATAGGGGACCCAAATATAGCACCCCAAATAGTTGGATCCTTATTATAAGGACCCCCAAATATGGTACCCCTAATTTTCGGAAACTCCCATATGAGTACATGGACCCTTAGGGTTTCAAGTTTCGTTTCGGGCAAAGCAGTTCTGGATTTCTGGGGGGGGTTGCGTTTTGAAATTTTCAGGGTCCCGCATTGTAACGGCTCGGATTTCAGGGTCCGCACATCTGACTTGAGGGTTTGACTGCTTTCTGTTTAGCCAGGTTTTGGTATTAAGGATTCTTTGCCGTGGATTGTCGCAGAGGAGGGTCTGCTGACTGTCGACATCTACCGGTGCTTTGCGAGATGCTATAGCAGATGCAGGGATCCCTACCTAAAACCCGCAACTACCCTCTGATATACCTCAAATACCCACTGTTACTGTTCAGACCCATTATAGGACTCTATTAAAGGGCTCTTGGGGGGTCCTCTGGGTCTGTGTTTTGCGGCTGCTCTGACGCCAAGAAGCTCGACATAGGCCTTAGTGTAGGGGCCTTGATAATCCGCCCAGACCACAGGCCAGGCGTATTGGGGGTCAACTCAGGTACCCTCCACCCAGCCCTCTTCCCTGCAGTCGGAACCACCCTTTCCTTTGGTTCTGTGCCCCCCCTGCCCCCCGCCACCTCCCTTCCGCTGATCCCCTCCTTGCCCCCATCCCTCCCACGTCTGCATCCGCTCTTCTCTGTCACATAGCAGAAACAAGTCGATGAGTTCTGTCACCGTGCTGGTCTCTGCCAGCCGAGGCGGGCGGCGTAGCGGTAAAATTAGAACAGGGCTCCTTTCAAGGGGTTTTTAATGGTTAGTATAAAGGGTCTATAGTGTAGGGTACAGGTGATAGAGACCATGCAAAACCACGTTCGGGCTTACGGCCAAGAGCGAACAAGAAGAAGCAACCACCCTGATTGCTCAGGGCGAGTGTAGCCTAAACCCTGCAGACTAACACGTGTGTCGGATATACTTGACTATATCAGTACTAGCCATTATCCGCTTGCAGACCCTAAATCACGGTTCCTCTGATACTATGATTGAACCCAAATCTACATCTCATCGGTGTGACTTCTTTGCTAACACATGGACTCCGTAGGTCCGTAACAAATCCTAAACCCCAACTCCCTAAACCCTAAACCCAACTTCTTAAACCTAAACCCTAAACCCAACTCTCTAAGCCCTAAACCCTAAACCCAACTCTCTAAGCCTAAATCCTAAACCCAACTCTCTAAGCCCTAAATCCTAAACCCAACTATCTAAGCCCTAGATCCTAAACCCCAGCTCTCAGCGCCTGATTTCTCCAGCAAGTCCCTCTCGGTATTCACCACCTTGAAGCTTAGGATTTCGGTACACATAAGGGTGTAGCGTTTGGGGCGGCCTCGAAGTTTCCTTTGAGTTTTAGAGTTTAGGGTTTTAGGGTTCTAGGGTGTTTAGGGTTTTAGGGTTTAGGGTTCAGGGTTTTAGGGTTTAGGGTTCAGGGTTTTAGGGTTTAGGGTTCAGGGTTTTAGGGTTTCAGGTTTAGGGTTTTAGGGTTTAGGGCTTAGGGTCGGGTTTACCTATAGTCTCCATTGTAGTTCCCTTTTGGGGTTACCTTTTAGGATCCTTAATGTTTGAATTGATTAAAGCAACAAAAGGAACTACAATAGAGACTATAGGTAGGGTTTGGTAACTCGTGAAGGAATGGCTGTAAGAAATGTGTACAGTCGGAGATGAGGTCAGTAAACTCCGTGCTAAGGTCGGGGTGGGTCGTCTAGGGTATGTCCATGGGCTTCTCTTCAAGATTCGGCTTGCTTTGTTTTTAAAACTTGTACCAGTGACTATTTATAACCCACTTATGACATAGGGGTGCCGAGGCCAAGCGTCTGGATTTCAGGAGTCGCTTACGTAGAGCAACATGCTCTCAAAATGATCGTCTTAACTCGTTTAAGACGATACAAGACGATTGTGAAATGGCGGAGTGGCAAAATAGAGGCTCCTTGTAGGTTCGTCACCGCACAGACTCAACGAACAGAATTTCGACAAATAGGCTCCAATTGCTGAAGAAAGGTGGGACAAGCTGATCCAAGACGGTGGGTGGAGCTTGCTTTTCGTAAGGTCCAATCAGCAAACAGCCTGAACTATCAAAAAACTCTTGTCGCTGGGGCTTCCTCCAGTGAGAATCTGTGGACCAGTCAGAACCCCGCCCAGGCAAACACCTCCGCCCCCACCGAACGCAAACATCCAAAGCCCCTGCAGTCCCACACTCCTGTCAAAGGGGAAAAGGAGGGACCCTTAATGGGGACCCCTAGCCTATAATGGGCTATATACAGGGTATATACCTACCTTAACCCTGAATAACCTACCCTTTTTAAGGACATATATAAGGAAATCATAATAAGGAACCCTAAAAAAGTAGGTTATTCCGGCTTAAGGTAGGGGTCCTTGTTAAGGGTCCCTCCTTTAACCCTGTGATCCTGAGTGCTTCACCGACATGACATCGGTAGGGCCACTGTCCTCCTGCCGGAGAAGCAAGCTGTGGGGCAGCCCGAACCCTCAGACCCTACTTGGAGGGTCGGGGGACTTAGTAACTGGCTATTGTAGGGACTTACAAGTACCATAACCCCAATTAGGGTCCCTTTTAGGGTACTTATAAGTCTACTTACTACCTACTTACTAAGTCCCCCGACCCTCCAAATATGGTATATATGGGTTCATCCGGGATGAGCACTGCTACTGCTGCTTCACAATGGTGATGATGGCTATAGCTAACAGAAGGGCCTCAAGTATTAGACTAGGCTGTTGGTATATATTAAAAATACAGACATAACAAGCGACCCAAAGGAACCGTAGTGGTAATTATGTCTAAGTACAAATGCAGATGCAACAAGAAACCCTAAAGAATCATAGTGGTAACTATGTATATAGTAGATAGTCAAATACAGTTGTAATAAGAGACCCCAAGGAATCATAGTGGTAATTGTGTGGGCCCCTATCCAAAGGGTCCAAGCAGGCTTTAGGTCCCAAAACCCATACTCTGGATGGTTCTTGGATCTTGAAACCCTACTAGCTGGGCAATTGGACCCTTATGGCCATATTGCCGGTTTGATTGAAAACCATGCTAGCGACTCGGAAATGAGAGCAGCATGTACGGGCATGGCTGCCGTTCCATAACCCCGCGCACTTCATGAATCCGAGCACCCCATGCCGTTGGCTATAATTGTATATCCCCATGCAGGTATGCACATACATTTCCATATGAACATATATAGATATGCACATACACAAAACAAGATGGGCAGATAGATAGACGACAGATGGATCAAAAGATAGTTATGGGTAGATAGTAGGTAGTAAGAGCAGTCCTCAGCAATGCTCACGGTTAATTGTGTGATGGCAGTGTTACGAAATCTTATACGGCTCTGAGTTTCACCATCGTCAATGTTGCTACTGCCAACACTGCTAAAGGTACTGCGAGCACATGTTGTCGTAACTTTTCTGTGGATTTGCTACACTCTTCACTACCACTGCCATCAGCAACATCGCCACTACCGTACAATTCTTGCTCCCAGGCATACATGCACGCCGGCGTCATCATTGTCGCTCGTCCGGCTTCTCTCCATGCAGCTGATGCTCTTCCAAGTCCGACGACCCATCAGGCAAATCTTGCGATAGCAGCATCATTTCCACTGCCAACATCCATTACTAGCACAATACCGTCAGAGGGCGTTCAAAATGAAGTTTCAGATGGTGACAGTTTCGGCCGGGGGGAAAAGGGACATCACGATCCGGAACACAGGTCTTTAGGCCTTGCGGTTTAAGGCTGGAGATTCAGCCTAAACAGTAAACTTCACCAAACCCTCAACCCTTCTGAGATTCGGCCTTGTCACTGTCGCGTTGTTTCCTCAAGCTACTTGGAGGTTCAGGGGTAGTTATAAGTAGGGTTAATTATGAGTAGGGTAACTATACTTACAACCTATCTTAGGGGACTTATAACCCACTTATAACTACCCTTGAACCAAAAAGTATGAGCATAGCGAAGGCCTCAGCGATGAAGAGGCTTCCGACAATCCGCTTCTTCGTCTTCCTGGGCAGCGTCGAGATAAGATGCAAACCGTTTCTAGGATGCCCAGTAACCTAGGAATAAAAAGCGCTCCTTTTTGGTATTGAGTAACTTTATAAGGAAGCTAGGACTACAAAAAGGGAATAAGGGTATTACTACTGGGCATCCTAGGTCTGTGCAAACCGTAACGGGGAAGATGTTCGCAAAAGCAGATGGGCCAAGATCCCCTAGAATAGCAAACTCAAGCACTCTATACATTGGGGGAGTATCCATAGAAGGGGCCTTTGATTTATAACAACGACGACTTGAACAATCCGCATAGCAAGTCGGAAACATCGTGAAAACAAACCTTCAGCCCCGGACCCCTAGAGTAACCAAGGGGCAAACCCTCAATCCTAAACCACGGTTTAGGGTTTAGGGTTTAGGGTTTAGGGTTTTGGGTTTAGGGTTTAGGGTTTAGGGTTTAGGGTTTACCTCAAATCCTAAACCCAATGCCCCGAGCTCCTAAGCCCAGAACCTAAACACGCTCTTCATTCATTGACTGGTCCAACGAGAACCTCTTGGGCCGTAGTGGCAAAGGATCGAGGCATTAAGGCACAGAAGATATCTGAAGCACAGGCAACCATTGGACCATGGGTTGCAGGCTGTAACTGTAAATGCCTGAGCCCTAAACGCGAAAGCCTACACCCTACACCTTAAATCATAAACCCTAAGCCCTAAACCTTAAATCCCAAACCCTGAACCCTAGAACCTAAACCCTAATCCTAAACCCCTACGCCCAGAGAGATCTGAGATCCGGGCTTGTCCCCGGTGCCTAAGGGCTTCGGTGCTTCTTGAGGTTTGGGTGTTTTTGTTCGGGCTTTTGGGCTTTGGGGTGTGGTATGGGCTTTGTGGGGCTGTTTGTGGGGCTTTGGGGTGTTGAGGGCTTTCGGATTTTGGAATATGTGGGGCTTTGGGGTTTTCGGGGCTTTAGGGCTTGTTTGGGCCTGTTGGGTTTTGTGATTTTAGTGCTTTAGGGTGTTGGGGGTTTGTGAGTTTGGGGTTTGTTGGGTTTTGGTGTGTTAAGTGCTTTGTCTGGGGATGTTTAGTGCTTTAGGGTTTCGGGGCTTGTTGGGCTCTGGGGTTTGGAGTTTACGGTTTGGGGTTTGTTGGGCCTTGGGGTTTGTAGGGTTTTGGTCGTTTGAGGGCGTTCGGCGGTTGGTGTGCGTTGGGTTTTGTTTTTTCGTGTTTTAGGGCTTTTTGGTTTGTGGAGCTTTTGAGTGTTTGGGGTTTGTGGCTTTAAGGTTTTTAGGGCTTTAGAGTTTGGTGGTTTGTTGGATTTATGCTTTGCTTTAGGGTTCTTAGAGCTTTGGGGTTTGTTGGTTTTTTGTGTGTTGTTTTGGTGGGTGGTAAGGTTTTGTTTCAGCGTCTAATGCTTGCCTCAGGTTTTAGTAAGCGTGTAGAGATTACTTTAATGGATCAGAAGCTTGGTCGATGTGTATCGAAGGCTTGCTGTCATCGGAGCTACCCAGTCCCCTTCATCAGCATTGTCACGATCTGCAACTGCAAGCCCTAAGCCCTAAAGCTCAAGACAAAAACCCTAAACCCTACACCCCTAAACCCCTATGTAAACCCTACCTCAGACACCCTGAACCCTAAACCCTTGACCCACAAGCTCCAAACATCTTTGCGGCAAGGGACTACTGCCAAAGGCCCGAAAAGCTCGCAGCGACGAGGACAAATGCACTTGACCACAAAAAGGCAGTTTACAATCTTCTGGCTAATGGGCTTAGGAGTTTAGAGTCTGGATGGTTGGCGCTCTGGGAGAACACGTAGCCGCGAGACCCTTTTCTAATCGCACTGCCACTGAACTCCTGCCTGCACGGTCGCTACGACTCTGTTGGGAGTTCTCTGCATAAGCCGGTATTCTCTTGCATGGCAAGCCCCATGCGAAGCCCTAAACCCCAAACCCGAATCCCTGAATCTTTCACGAGGCCCACCCCTAGACCCTCACCAACCTCATCAGCAAAATACTTCCGACTAGACCTTTGATTTCAGCTCCTTTCCATGGTACACCAACACCAAAATAAACTTCACCTAATTATGCTCTGCACAGGGACTGGCATTTAACTGTTCCAAACTGCAGGTTAGGTAGCAGGTTTTTGAACAGGGAACCCCCCCTAACCTAAGGAATAAAAACGGAAGGTGTCTACCGGCCCTGAGTCTGTCTGAGTTCGAAGTACCATAAAAAAGATGCTAACTCGGTTTATGACACTTAAACTGCTGAAAAGATAACTAAGTCCCGGACCTAAACCCCAAACCATAGACCCTAAAACGCTAATTCATCCCAAAACCTAAGCCCTAAAACCATAAAATCCCAAAGCCCAAGACCCTAAGCCCTAATCCATCCTAGACACGAGACATCACGAGACCCGAGACCCAAGACCCCCCGAAATCCCTTCACCCAAGACATGTGGGAGTTTCCGAAAATAGGTGACCCTAGTATAGTACCCTAAATAGCAGGATCATTGTTATAAAGAACCCCAAAATAAGGTACCCCCTGAACCCTGAGACCTTCGGTCTCAGAGCAAGGGTTGCGAATTGCTCCCAACAAAGCGTCTGCGCCCGAAATTGTCTGAGCGCGGTGCATCTGACAATTCTTTGGGGAGGCTGGGCAAGGGCTTCTGTTAAGGGTTCCCTTGTGGTGTAATCACGGGCTCCTGAAGCATCAGACCTTGAGGAAGCTGCAAACCTCACATTCCCTGTTTACAGGAGGTTTAAGGGAATAACGATGTAAGGCTGTGGGAGTGCAAGTTCAAGTGTCCACACAGCTTACAAAAAAACCCTTTGGAGGATCCGGCCGGTGACATAGAGGGGAATCCCGATGCCCATATAACAACTATGACCCCAAACCCTTGAACCCTAAACCGACGCTGATAAGGAACTCCGAAACTGTGGGCCCTGCCCTCCTTTGTCAGCACGAAGCCTTTAGCTTCGCACTGACATGCCAAAACATCGGCAATCCCTTTGCTTTGCATGGGGTTGTGGCCCCTGATCCCGGTGGAAGTTGATGTCACAGGATGTCATGTACGATTTAGCATTTAGAACCTGACTTGAAGGCTTGAAGGCTCGGTATTGGCCACAATACCGTACGGATGCCAACAAAAACTGCAAGCGGCCTTAGCTTTGCAGGGCGCAAACAGGTGCCCTGAGGCCTGATTTAAGCGCACGGCGCAAGCGACTCTTGAAGCAAGGCTTCGGGCTTTTGGTTGGGGTTTGAACGCGGAGTCTAAATAAGGGTTATCAAAGCACCACGGCCACTATATGGGTCGGCAAGTTCTTTTGCAACTATGTTTCCCAAACTAACTGTTGATTAGTGTCGCGCCAGCAACATCCATCAAATATTTACAGTTAGAGGAAAACATGTTTTGTCCGAAGGTATCAGAAGACGCAGCAGTGTGAGACCACATGCAGTACGTGATGAGTTCGTGGCTATAGGAATGAAAAGCATGCATCCTGATGCGTCTGTCCATTACAATGCTTATTTCACAGCGACATCGCATTCGTGTCTTTGATACGTGGTGGCAATGTCATGAATTCCGATGTCCTTCAATCCAACTGGCTAGCTATCATGTGGGCTTCCATCAAGCCATTGCATGCTTGTGTGAAGAACTACTTCTGCGTCATAATCTCGGCCGCGTGGTGCCATAAAACACTTCGTGCTTGCACGACTGCCTCAGCAACCCGCCTGCGCCCTTTTGTGTATGAGTTGCTCGCCAAGCTCCTGGTTGTCAACAAGCCCGTCAGCTAGTCTATGGCCTTGTCATCAGCAGTACACAGCGACACAGGGCATGATTGGAACATGCAGTTACACAGCATTGGATCGTTCGCATTTCTTGGAAAATGCCTGCAGCGTTGGGGACGTCTGTGATTGTGGCAATCCCCGGCATCTATGCAATCTTTCGCCTTGTCATCAGATATTTCTCCACCAAAGCATAATCGAAGATGCGGTGAAGGAAAAATATGTCCGACATTGATACTGACGAGCAATTTTCGACTGTGCTCGTTTAACCCCTGCATCGCAGCGTACGGAATCCACTTGTCGGTTCGGGCCCACCCCTGAAACTCTGAGTTCCAAAATATCAACACACGGGCCTATATGCTCCTGTGAGAACCGTATTCCTGAAGCAGAATGCTTGAACTGCTCATGACATGCTGCGGACCCAAAAACCTTTCACAAATATGCTTCGAAACGACCTCTTTCATACTGCAACCTGTTGTCTAGGATTTCTACATGTGCACGCAACGCGCAACCCTTGTAGCGGGCTTACGATCGTCTAATGGCACCCCCCACCTTCGCACGCTTGAATCAAGCAAGCAACCGCCCGTGGTCGTATGAAAACAGATCGGAACGAGTGCATGGTAGGCCGAGTTCGTATCTTTGCAGTCGACAAAGAAGAATCTGTTGCAGAGTGAGACGGTCACACTCTCGTAAGCAAGAGAATATGCTGAAAAACAAAAAAAACGAAATTCCTTGTAAGCCGCAAACAGTTTATCCAGAACACGAAACTTCAACACGGCAAAAACATTGCCAAAAAACCTTATATGTCGTATGATCTCGGATACCCAGAAGCCTCAAAAGTTGGATCCCTAGAGCCTTACGGCAAACACTGCTCGAAGCCGGCTGCCATTCAACACGTCGGTCTTGGGGTGTTTTGCTCGGCTGCAGCTGAGATAAATGGTCATAGACGGTCCTCACAAACTGAGAGCTTTTTCTGCCGCCGACCCCAAAAAATCCATCAAGCTGAACCGTGACAGCCTGAACCGCTTAAACTCCAAACCCAACCCTCCTTACTGACCATTCAGGAATCAGGGTTTTTGGGGTTCACTTCCACTAGTACAGTGACATATACAGTAGGAAAGAGGGATATACGTTGGTAATCGTGCAAGCTTCTGACTATGACAAAATTTACCTAACTTGCCGAGTTGCTTAGGGGCAGTATGAGGCTACTGCCCGGGACCTTAAAACGCTGGTTAAGGGTGACACGCAGAACCCTGCAACCCTAAAACCAGAAAGCGACAAACCCGAACCTTGAAACCCAAGCCCTAAACCGAAATACAACCCTACCCTGGAAACCTGAGGACCCCCAACCCTGACCTCCAACCCAAACTTAAACACCCTAGTTAACATCCTGACCAAAAAACCAAGAATACCTAACACCCTGCCCGCCCCCATCTCAAAAATTACAACAACCCGAACCCTCAACCCTACAAGAATCCGAACCCTAAGCCTATCCCTACAACTCCAAACCCCAAAACCCTAAATCCCTAAACCCTAAGCCCCTATAGATCCCACCAAACTGAACGGAAACTCGACGAACGAGGGGGCCTGCAGCTCAAGCTGAAGCTGCTGGAGCCTCGGCCAAAACAAAATTCATGGAACGTTGCCCAAAACCTTAAGCGCCTAATATGGGGGGCCTTAATAACTAAAATGGGGTTTTGGGGCCCATATATCCTATCCCCAAAATAGTATAGGTAATTCTGAAGGCCCTCATATTGAACCCTAAACCCCTGTAAGAGCCTGGGTGTGGTGTAGGGTTTACCGGGTTCAGGGTTTCGGGTCTTGGAAGGTGCTGTGAGAGTCTGGTTATGGACTGTTTTAGAACCATGAAGCTCAGGAAGGTCTTCGGAGAGTCTAATGCCGAGCGGTTATACTGAATCCAAAACCCCTAAAGCTTGAAGCCGCAAAGCCCAAAACCATCAAGCCCTAAACGCCAAAGCCTACAGCACTAAGCCCAATACCATCAAACCCCAAAGCCCTGAACCCCCAAACTCTTCGTCTTGGATCTTTAAGGGTTCTTCCAAGGTCTTTAAGGGTTCTTTGAAGGGGCTCTTTAAGGGTTTCATCTACGGGCTCCTTTACTGCAGCATGAAACCCCAAAACAGCCTAAACCCTAAACCCTAAGTCCTAAACTCTAAGCCCTAAACCCTAAGTCCTAAACTCTCAAGCCCTAAGCCCTAAGCCCTAAACTCTCAGCCCTAAACCCTAAGCCCTAAACTCTCAACCCTACACCCTGAATCTCTATACCCTAACCCCCGAAACAAGGATTCCCTAAGCCCTGAGGGCTCCTACAGAGATCCCGGCTCCAAGGGCTTCCTCCAAGGGCTCCTAAACCCTGAGGGCTAACCCCTACAAACCCCTAAAAAAAAAAAAAACTAAACCCCTAAACCCTCAAACTTAAACCCCTTACTAACCCCTAGCGTAAAACCCTAAGCCCTAGACCCCTGAACTCTAAACCCAAACCCCTACAGAAAGGGCTCCTTTGATCAAAGGGGAAAAAAAGGAGGGACCCTTAATGCGGACCCCTACCCTATAGTGGGCTATATAGTGGGTAGAAAATAGCTATATTAAGGGTATATACCTAGGGGTCCTTGTTAAGGGTCCCTCCTTTTACCCTTGGATTTGAGGGTTCCCCCCTAAGGGGGCTCCTATAGCTCCGGGCTCTCGGCTGGATCATCCGCGGCTTCAACTCCCGAGCAGTCGTGGCGTAGTCTTTGTAACCTCCCCAGGAACTCAGGGGAGAGCCCTTAAGGGAGCCCTTATGGGGACCCTGGAGTGTTCCTTTAAGGGTTCCCTTTAAGGAATCTATAGGGGTCCCTTTAAGGGCGCCTTTAAGTGTTCCTGTAGGGGATTTTTAAGGCCCTGTAAGGGTCCCTTCAAGGGATCTGTAGGGGTTCCTTTAAGCGTTCCTGGGTTCTTGTTTAAGGATCTAATTTCAGTTACCAGAATAAGGAAACCGTATCACTTACTATAAATCCCGAATGGTAGCGTAAGTTATTTTCCCTCAAAAAGAACGCCCAGGAAAAGTGCAAAAGGGTACTGCTGGGGTACCTAGAGGACTTTCCGCTTCAAGTCATAGCAGAGATGATGTTCAGCTCGTAGAACTTCAGTTCATGGCTGCTTGGGCTTAGCAGTTACTCTTCACTTCCTCAAGCGAGGCACTAGGGGTTTAGGGTGCAGGGATTAAGGTTTAGGGTTATAGGGATTAGGGTTCTAGGGATGTTTAGGGGCTTAGGGTCATCAAAAGGCCCAAGAAAAGAAAGGCCTTAAATCATCTTGGGGTTCCGGTTATAACTTATATAAGGTACATTCCTCAATTAAGGGATAATGGAGTCTCTGCAAGAAAAGGTAGGCTGTGTGGGGTCCAGGCAAAAAAGTACGAGAGTCGGATCTTCGGGGGCAGTCTTGGGCTTTACGGCTTAGGGGCTTTGGGGCTTTGGGGCTTTAGGACTTTAGTTAGGGGCTTCAGGGCTTAGGAGTTTAGGGTTAAGGGTAGGGGTTTAGGGCTTTAGGGCTTTAGGGCTTTAGGGCTTTGGGGCTTTGGGGCTTTGGGTGTTAGGACTTTAGGGGCTGAGGCTTTGGGGCTTTAGGGCTTCGGAGCCTTGTAACGGAGACCTCCGAATTTTCCGAAGCTCTTTTTTGATATTGGCTGGAGGGTAGATGAGGGGGCTAGGAAGGATCCCCTTCCTTAGCTCTTCGTGGGTTGATTTGAGGCAGTTTGGTTGGAAGGCATGTTTGGTTCAGGGCATTCGGGCTCAGGCAGCTTGACAAGCCCGATCAACATACTAAACACTGAATCCTGGACACTAAACCCTATTACCTCAACCCTGAAGGCTCCGAGTAAATTAAACTTCCGAGGGCCGTGGTAACTAGAAGAAGGTTTTTCGGGTATATGTTCGTGCAAAATACTAAAGAACCTGAAGAACCCCAAGAAGGACTATTGGTAACATATTCCGACGCTTACAAGTTTCAGGATCCTTGGCTGAAGGTTTCCGAGGCTTCGACGCAACTCGACAACTAAGTCTTGGTTGTATGCAATTCCTGGACCCTAAGGAACCTACCTTTTTTAGGGCCCCCTAATAAGATTTCTTTATATAAGTCCCTAAAAAGGTAGGTTCCTTAGGGTCCAGGTTCTTTATATGTGCAACTTTCTGTAGCGAAGATTATACGGTTTGATCCGGTTTAGCACTTGGGATGCACCTCGACCCCAGAACTACCCTCTATTGTAGCCTGACCATAAGGACTCTATCATCCGGCATTGCTGGTCTCCTGGTAGTTGTTCAGGGTTTAGGAGTTTAGGATTGAAAGATGTAGCGCGTCGGGAGTGGCGACTTCAGGCGTACCACGACCCTGAATAACCTACCATTTGAAGGCATTCTATAGGAAAGTCATAATCACGAACTCGAACGGTTTTCCGGGTCCAGGTAGCATGTGGAAGTTTCGGAACCGTTGCTGTTGGGTTTGGTCGGGGGGCTTAAAGCACTTTGCCACGGACACGGACTCCGAAAACCCTAAACTCTGGACCCCATTGCTCCGTCCGCATATCCCAACTACATAGGCACTAAATTAGAAAGAGGATACCAGTACCAATTATTCCCAGAGACTCCAATATCAATTGATTAAGGAATATACCTTAAATTGTAGTAGGATCCCTAATATGATTTAAAACACATTCCTTAATTAAGGGATATTGGAGTCTCTGGGTACCCTAAACCCTAAACCCTATAGATCCCTTAAGGATCCCTTAAAGGAGCCCTAGGCCCTAGGTATTCCTTAAGGGATCTTAGGAGTCTCTGGGTTCCGACCCCTGTGTCGCAAGCGCTGGCGAGTGGCCCAACAGCCACTGCTCGAGGAGCTGGGCAACACGGCGACTGCCGCAGGACGCCGAAGTCGCGCTTTGCAACCTGTCTCAAAGGGGAAAAAGAGGGATGGCTATATAATGGGTATATAATAGCTACATTAAGGGTACGGGAGGCCAAAAAAGGGGGGTTTAAGATCCTTGGGGTAGGGATTCCTTAATATGAAGCCTATTATGGGAACCCTCATCCCTACTAAACCCCCATCGGAACCTGTCTCAAAGGGGAAAAGGAGGGAGGGGCTACAAAAGGAGGGATGGGCTATATAATGGGTATATAATAGCTACCTGGACCCTAAGGAACCTACCTTTTTAGGGCCCCCTACTAAGATTTCTTTATATAAGCCCCTAAAAAAGTAGGTTCCTTAGGGTCCAGGTATATTAAGGGTATATACCTAGGACCTGTCTGCTGGTTTGGTGGAACTTTGGGTTTGGCGGCGTTTAGGGCTTCGGGGGGTTTAGGGTTTAGGGCTTTCAGGGTGGCTACAAGGGTTCCACAAAATTACACCGGGCTTGAGTAGCTTAGAATGGGTTCCTTTTAACGGCTCCAGTGCAGGTTCCCAAAACGGCTGTAAACCATAGGGGCCTTCATTATCGAAGCAATATTTGTTGAGGTATGTTTTGATATAGATTCGATTAGGGAACCTTGGAAACCTTTGTGCTTAGGCTCCACGGTACGACAATAAAGCTCTCGTTTGTTATTCTCACACGAGCCTAAAAAAAGCGATGTATGCCGCTCCAGAAGAAACGAATGGATGCCCCGTTGCAAGCACCCGGGCCACATGAGTCAAAGTGAAACCGGCGGGTAATAGCAAATCCAGGACCTTACTTGCCTATCGACGAGGTTTGTCAATAACCGGGAACACCCAGCCCCAACAAACCCTAAGCCCCGAAAGAAGGCACCACTCAAGCAAAAACCTGAAACGTTACTAGGGGCTTAGGGTCTGGGCCTTGGGGTTTAGGTGACGTGGGGGCTGAGTGTGTAGGGTCCACCGCCTTAGACTCTGCACCGTGCTGAGAGACTTGCGCCAGCCAAGGGCAGAGTGTGAACAAGATGGGCTTAGGGTCTCGGGCTTAGGGATTCAAGGTTTAGGGTTTAGGAGAAACGTGTAAAGGAGCCCATAATTGAATAGATCCCTTTGCAGAGCCTCTCACAACCGCTGCTCAACCGCTAAAGCCTAGAAGGTATCGGAGGCCCTTGATCTGGCATCTCAGGCTCTGGCAATGGAGTGGCACAGTGCTCCTGCCACCACGCCGTGCAGGGTTTTGGGGCTTTGGGCATGATAAGGGCATAGGGTACGTGGGGGCTGTGTTTGGGAATTAAGATGCTATTTGGGGGGTGCTAGGATTGTTTCGGGCTTTGACAGTCTTGAAGGTTCAGGGTTTTGTAGGAGCGACACTCATAAGGTTGCCCCGTAGCTCCAAACTCTTCAAAACCCAGGCCAAACATGCAGCACCCGAAAGCTCCCAATTTCTCATGTAGGATTTAGAAGGGCCCCCAACCTGTAATAGTGGTATAATAGGAAAAAAGTAGGGCCCTAAGATGACCGTTATAGTCACTATTGCAGGGTGGGGGCAGCTTCTAATGTAGGGGCCTTGACAATTCGAAAAGGCCTTGGGGGTACATGTTGGTTGGCACGGTACATGTTGGTTGGCATGCAACTAGTATATACGAAATAGAAAGGAATACTGACACTAGTTCTTCCAACCCCTGCATTCAACATCTTCGACCCTAGCAAGACGAGCAAGAAAGCATACGACTGCGAGGATATCGAGCAACAGCACTGAACATGAAAACAGCCATCGCTGTCAGAAAGCTCCTGCGGCTACAGCTGTACAAAAGAGGGTTGGCTCTCGAGACGCTGGTCAAGGAGATTTGGTTTAGACGCTTTATGTCGGGCAAATGCATCTTATTGATCCGCACATCTCCGTGTCTAATGGTCCTACTCTGGAGCATATTATGCGACGTCAGAATATTCCGGATCACCAAAACTCGTCCAAAATACGACTCTCGCCAACGCACACCGCCCTCACGTCCTCAGAGACTCCAATATCCCTTAATTGAGGAATATACCTTAAATTATATTACGGATCCTACGATAATTTAAGGTAAATTCCTTAATTAAGGGATATTGGAGTCTCTGGGTCCTATTCTGTTTACTGTAATTACACATGCTTGCACATGAACTTTTTTTCGGATCGGCGAGGCGAGATTCGCCCAAGAGAGATGCATATGGGCGGTTGTCAAAATTAGGGTCCCTTTTTGGATCCTTATTAGAATACGGCATCTATTATTTAGGATACCCAAAAAGGGACTCTAATTTTGACAACCATCCATATGTTTCTGTCACATCTAGTTGGGCATCAGCTATATGAGGCTATATGCACACGGCCACACATGGGGGCATACTATAGAGATCTGAAGAAATAACAGAATATCAATATCTTCCGTGGTGCTACTATAGCTATTTTTCATATTCACCAAGACGCCACTCTAGGTTTGAAGGTCAAGGATAACATAAGATAGGGGCCGTAATAACTAGAATAGGGTTTTGGGACCCATTATACTAAATTTTGATAAGGTACCCCGAAAATAGTATTGGTAATTCCCTAGGACTCCAAACAGCCCAAAGTAAGTACTATTTATAGCCTTTAGACCCCAAAGTAGGTACTATTTGCATACTTGGAGTCTTAGGGATTATTAAGGCCCGTATATTTCGTGAAAGATGCGGTCCTCCAACCTCCGAAAAGCTTCGTCGTTCATGGCCCGGCCGTCCTGGGAGTACTGTGAACCCTAGAAATCCTATACTGAACTTAGAACCCTAGCAAAAATTACATTTTTAGCTGTTTCTTAGGGATTATAATAACCAAAAATAAAATCTATTTCTAAGTACCCCTAAGAATCCTACTTTCCCAAAGGGTCCTAGGTTTCGTGAAGGCCTCTGACAAGAGTAAGTCCAAAAACTAGATTCCCTACATTGTACTATATAGGACTTTGGATCCTTTGGGTTTATCAAGCCCCAAGCTTTCAGCTTGGCTCAGAATGCCCTCAGCTCGCAGAGACCCTTCAAAGGGAGGAGGAGGGCTCAGGGTGAAGACTGCTGCGATGGTTTGGCGCCTACAGTAAACCCCATAAAGTTGGGAACCGGATTAAGGCCAAGTAGTGCTGGGATTCCCTATAAACTGCTCTGCTCACAGCCCTTCAAACACTGTTGGCAGTGATGCACACCTTCTAGTGCTTGATAGCCTCATCTAGCTCAAAACGCTACATGTCCATGGGTAGGTGCCCTAAACGAAAGCTCACAGGCTAGGTTCCCCCCTTGGGCCCTACCTGTAGCCGAAAAGACCTACCTTTTTAAGGATCTATATTTAGAAACCATATTAAGGAACCCTAAAAAGGTAGGTCTTTCCGGCTACAGGTAGGCCCGAAAGCCTCGACCCGCCCCGAGGTGGAGGCCTTGTCAAGGCCTTTGAGATCACTTGCCAGGTCCCAGTGCACCTTTCGAAGAAGTCTCAGGAGCTTAGGGGTAACCCCGAAGCCTCATCTGAAGAGCAGATAAATCCAAGTGTAAAGGGAGGGACCCTTAATAAGGACCCCTAGGTATATACCCTTAATGTAGCTATTATATATCCATTAATAAATTATATAGCCCATTATGGGGTAGGGGTCCCCATTAAGGGTCCCTCCTTTTCCGCTTTGAGTAAAGCTTAACTCCTCAACCCTGAAACTGCTTCAGGCCTCTAGGTTCAATGGCGTCAGGTGGAGCCTACTTGGAGGGTCGGGGGACTTAGTAACTGGTTATTTTCGGGACTTATAAGTACCTTAATTAACCCCAATTAGGGTCCCTTTTAGGGTGCTTATAAGTCTACTTACTACCTACTTACTAAGTCCCCCCAACCCTCCAAGTAGGTTCAATGGCGTCAGGTGGAGCCTATGTAGTTTTCGACCCCCTTGTGCTCGGCAATGTATTGGTACTCGCAGATATGCCAGAGCCCTATTCTACTTAGCATGGCTTTGCCTCGGAGTTTATTGTGTTTTCTGGCTCAAGCTTCGGTATTCTGGACACCTGCCTGCCATGGCGAGGGAGGGCGGGTGACCTGCTCGGAAAATGGAGGGTTGAAACTCCTCCCATTGAGTCACGATGGCCTAACCCAAAGCCGTAAGCATGTACCAAAACATAGGTACATGGAGACACAAGGGGGACTTGCGCTAAGATATCCTCCAGCAGTTGTCAAACGCAGTTTACGATAAAATCTTGCTATCATCCGAAAAGCCCTCACTGCAGCTTGTCAACTGTCTTTGAGAAGGGGGTTGAGGGTGAGGCCTCAATACTACACTATATAGCCGCCATGGCTATGGTACCCTTGTAGAACTCCAAACCCTAGAACCCCAAGCCCTGAGCCTTTCACCCTAAACCCGAAACCTTGAAGCCTGAACCCCGAAAGACAACCCTAGCCCCCTCTGTAGATCCCTTATACCCCGTTAAGGAACCCGTGAACAATACCCTTCAAAGAGGAACCCTGTTCTAACTATTAAGGCCCTATATTATACAGTACTCTTACCGGTAACTTGCGGAATCTTCATAGTAACCCCTATAAAGAGCCCTTCAAGGGGGTCTCTTTAAAGGAACCCCTACAATACCCTTCAAGGGGGAACCCTATTCTAACTATAATTACGGCCCTACATTATATAGTATTCTCGCAGAGCCCTTCAAGGGGGTCTCTTTAAAGGAACCCCTACTGAAGCTTTGGCCTTCGGCAGCCACTGGCTGTGATCTTCGGACTTCCCATAGGCAACGCAACCTCTGGGGAGCGCGTCTTCGGGGGTTCCGGGTCTAGCCTCAAGGGTCCAAAGGACCCAGTTCATAGGGAATCCCAGCACCCTTTTTGGCCTTAGTCCAGCTTCCTAAGCCTATCTCTGCTTACTGTTGCCCCAAGGGTCCAAAGGACCCAATAATCAGGTACTCGGTTTTCGGACGGTAGTTATGCAGGTTAGGAGTTTGGAGGGTATATGATTCTTGGGTGCTTGGACCGTTAAGGTAGTGTTGGGGGTTCCTTCGAAGGGTAAGATACGGGTCTCCTTAGGGTCTAGGGTTCAGGGTATATGCTAGGGCTGGTTAATGGGCTGATGGGGTTAAGGTTAAGGCCTTAGAGTTACGGTGCCATTGGGTCATGGGGTCAGGGTTACAAGGTTAAGGGTTTAGGGTTAGAAGGCAAACCGTGATATTGGGGTTTGAGGCTTAGGACCTATTGGTTCATTTTGTGTTCCAGCTCCTGAGATTTTACCTTTGTAAGACATATATATACATGTATATATAGAAAGAGAGATCTGATACAGTACAATGTGCTTATGCTCAATCCGAATAGCGGGACTCGGGCTTTCTGTGCAAGGAAGGGCTTAGTCACGGTAGGAAGGTCTCGAAACTGTGGGGCAGAAGACCTTTCAGCATGTAGCCGAAGCAGCCATTTCGGTTTCAACAATAGCGACCTTACTTTATACTGCTTTGATAATTCAGTGGGGTTTGGGGGTGCTTTCTCGAATAAATGCAAAGAGAGCATAAAGGGGAGACTCCTACTATGACTACTAATGATAAACAAAAAACAATAATGAGTGCCCTAGCTTTGCAGTCTTGATAACACATTCTGCTTCCGAGACATAGGTAGGGCCTCTGAATTACGGTGCGCTGTTGCATCCCAAGAACAGTACGACACCCGTATAAACAGGCCCTCGAACTGACCCTACAGTAATTTAGAGAGCTAGCCGTCTGTATTCGTGTAGTAATCTCGGGTTGGTGGTCTACGTTGGAACCTGAGGCCGAACTTGGTGTATCTCAACGGGGAAAAGGAGGGACCCTTAATGGAAACCCACACCCTATAATGGGCTATATAATGGGTATATTATGGCTATATTATGGGTATATACCTTGGAGTCCTTATTAGGGATCCCTCCTTTTACCCTTTGAGTATCGTGAAGAATTCTTTGGCAAGGGTCCCAGCTCGTTTCCAAGGGCCCGGAATCTTACATGGCCGAAGCGCGGAATACACAATACCGGTTCCGGATGTCGTGAAGCCCTAAACCCTCGCATGAAAACAACTGCACGTTCAAACTTTGTGTTGCCGCAACACTCATGAGCTACAACCCTATACTTTTTGACCCATTTCAAATGCTCCGCCCCAGGGCAAATTAAACCCTTTCACCCCTTCAAAGCCAGAATCCGAAACTCATGAACGTCCCTTAGAAGACAGGTCCCGAGGAACAGAACCAGAACCTGCAACCACAGCCCCGGGTTTAGGGTTTAGGGTTTAGGATTCAGCTTCCAGGAGTTACAATCGAATGTAAACCCCTGACTAACCACCCGCTTTTTAGTACACATCGGGTGGTTGTCAAAATTATGGTCCCTTTGGGGTCCCTAATATAGTACGGCACCTAATACTTAGGGTTCCCTAAAAGGGACCCTCGTTTTGACAACTACCCACATCAATGCAGCCTGGCCTCGTGCGGACTTTCAGCTCGGAGCCCAAACGATGTTTGGGATTTGGGCCTTCAAGCCCTCTAAACTCTGAACCCTGCGCCTCCAGAGCTCTAAACCCTGCTCCCTTTAAAGCCTGAACCCTGGAGGTTTAGGGCTTAGGGTTTAGGTGGACCCCAAATGCTAAAGTCCGAAGACCAAGGCGCCTAAGGTTGACAGCACCGCAATGACAGAGTCCTGGAACTGTCGGAAGCGATTCCGCGCTTGGGCATTCAAGCTTCCAGAAGTGCTAGGGCTGAGTGTGCCCATTTGGCACAGACTTTGGCCCTAAAGTACCTATATACGGACTACATCAGAAACAATACGGGTTTCAGTGGTCTTCATGACGATATCCGGCTTCGGGTTTGGGTTCGACATCCTTCTGAGACCGAGCGAGGAATCGACGACGGGAATGTTGAACCCGCCTACAAATCAAGTTCAAGGCCTACTTAGGCTTTCAGGTTCAGGGTTTAGGGATAGGTTTCGGGATTATGGTTTTCCATGGCAGCTCAGCTATGCCCCTGCACAAGTCCACAAACCCCTGGCGCCTAAACCTTCAACCCTTTTGTTTCTTGGCTTTAAGACTTTCGAACTTTATAGGGCTTCGGGCTTCCGGCTTGTATCTTTTGTGGCTGTTGCTTTTCAGATGGCGGGCTCTGCCAAATAACATCCGACATGGTTCAAAGAACCATCAAGCGACACCCACCAATCCTCAAGCACAACACTCCGGTGCAACAGCAAAAACCTACCAACACCAAAAACCCACCTAATATAGGGGCCTTAATAATTAGCAGATGTATTTTCAAAAAAATTGCGGCCCATGATACTATACTACAATAAGGAACCCTCAAGCTAGTATTGGTAATTTAGGCCCCTACAGTAAGCCTTCAGACCCAAAACCCCGAAGCTCCAGCACGCCTGCACCAGAAACCTGAAAGCAGAGGTGCGGCACGCCTCCAACTTCTTCGTCCTCCAGAGCTCATCATAGTCGCCATGCTCCTGGGTCCCCTGAAACCTAAAACCTTAAATCAACCCTTCACTCTCTGAGCGCTACCGGCCGAAGCACCTAAAACCCAAACCCTTAACCCTAATTAGAGGGTTTAGGGTTGAGGTTTTAGGGTTTAGGGGCTATAAACCCTAAACCCTAAAACCTTAACCCTAAACCCCGAATCGCCAGGGCATCTTGGACACTGTGTTGTGATACACTGGGCCGTCGTGATATGTTACGACCTTCGGTTCTATGAGACCTTTGTGAATAGGGGCTCGTTGAGGTCCATGAGGGCTTTATGTTTAGGGTTTAGGCCGGATTTAGGGTTTAGGCTTTGTAGTGCCCTACCTAGTAGGATCCGTATTGTAAGGACCCCAAAATAATGTACCCCCCTACTTTCCGGAAACTCCGATGAGGGCGTTATAAGGGTGCTGTGATGGGTCGACAGGGGCCCTTTAAGGTTTGTCGGCCGTTTGGTCTACTCGTGCGGTGCGAAGAAAGCCACACACCTCTCCGAACTGCCAGGTGATTGTCTCCCCGTGAATTGCTCTGAGTCTCTGTCAAATTCGAAGTACTGGTAAATAGTGGAAAATAAGAAGCTGCATAGTATAGGATTGTTTAGTTTCATGAGTTTGATGGAGTTCTATGGGGGGTATCATGTATTTGTCTAGAGATCTGAATGAAGCTCCAGTAGAAGCAATTGCAACAGAAAAAGCAGCAGCGGCAGTGATCGTCGTCGTGGTGTGGGCGCCGGGCATTGCTTCACCCTAAGTCCCAATGCGGCCGAACCTCGCCACGACCGCTTTCATGACAAAATTCTCGCAACCTGAACATCCTTAACATTGAATCCGCAACCTGAATTACAACTTACATACGAAGTCTGTAAACTCAAGATTCTACAACCCTCAGCCGTAAGCCGCTTCGAGCCGAGTTTCGAGCTTTTCCAAGGCCACCTCCATTCTACCGGCTGCCTCATGAGATGAGAGGTTTAGGCGTTGGGGGGTCTAGGGTCGGAATGATCGCAGCAGTCTTCGGGGGATGCCAAGCCGCACTCTCATAACACTTAAAGCTCTACGCACGTTTTTGTACCCAATACTGGTTGTGATGGCAGTGATGACCATTGGTAAGCGGGGGTGGTGATGCTGACGACAAGGAGTGATTGCGTCATGCGTCATAGTGCATGGTGATGATAATGTTAATCTGATGACGTTGTGGTTCTGATTTGCCCCGGTTGTTGTTGCTGCCAGGACCACACTTCTCCTTGCGAGACTTCATGCTTCTAGATTCCTGAAAGCTTGTGGTCAAAGCATGTCATGCAACTCATGGTCTAAGCATGCAGTGACAATGTAGTGTCGAGAATGCTCTCAAAGCCAGCACTCCTAACCCCCACTATAGGGACCTAAATAATTACCAATACTATGTTGGGGTTTCCTTAGTATATAATTATTATTGTATAATATGCCCGCCATAGCCAGTTCTGATAATTAAGTCCCCTATACTATAGTACCCCTATCATAGATCCCTTACAGCAGCCCTTTTAAAGGATCACCCTTTTTTTGGAACCCTATTCTCGATTCTTTCACCCTAAACCTACCCTTCTTCGACAAACCCTGTGCGCCCAAAGTGCCGGCAGCAGCTTCTCCTCCACAATCGCCTGGAGCTCCTGCCTTTCGGCTCCCTCTTAAAGGGTTCTATAGGGATTCTATGGGTGGGAATGGAAGGGGCCTTATAAAGGGGTCTATAAGGGTTGCTATAAGGGATCTATAGGGGTACTATAATATAGGGGCCTTAACAATCCTATAGATTACCTTTGGTTAGAAGCGAATGGGAGAATGGTAGTAATAGTAGTTACAGTTGTACCCCATTCCTCCATTCCCTACTAACCCAAGGTAAGTCAACTGCATGCTGAAGGCTTCAGGGTCTTGGTGTTCGATTTGGGAGTTTCCGGAAATTAGTTAGGGGTACCTTATTTTGGGTACGACATAAGGGTCCCCTATATTCGGAAAAGGAATTTAGGGTCTTTAGGGGCCGTTTAGGGACCGTGGCCCCACAGAAAGTGCACAGCGCTGTAGGTTGGGATGAAAGCAGGGTTTGGGGTTTCGTGTTTAGGATGTAGGGTTCAAGGCTTGATCCTAAACAGCCGTCCGCGTCAATGGTTCTGGTCTAGATGTTGTCTTCAGTGCTCGTCCAGAACTTGTAACATGCATGTATGAGTGTAGTACACTATATATCAGACGTCCTGCTGAAAGGCACAACATCGCTCTGACCTTACTTCGTAGCCCACTATGTCCAGCGAGTTCCTTGATATGGCTTGCAAGGGTTTGTACGTAAAAGGCTCTCGCTTTGGCGGTCACGGGGGACGGGTCCCGCGTTAGTCGTGGCGGCGCGCTATGTCTCAAGCCCTACACCCCCCCTAAACCCTAAACCCTAAACCCTAAACCCCAACACTCAACATCAAAAACCAACAACGAGGCCCTGAAGCCTGCAACCCTCATAGGGATCCTTAGGGGTGTAGGGGGAGGGGGGGGGCCCATAACAAGGACTAATAAGGCCTATTTAAGGAAATATAGTCCCCTACGCCCCTCCCCCCTACACCCCTAAGGATCCCTATGAAACCCAGGAAAAAAAAACCTCTAAGGAGCCTCACGTAAAGAGACCTTCAAAAACTCTTTCTGGAGCCAAGTCACTGCAGCTCCCGCGTCTCCTTTGAGAGATCGCTGAGGAGCTTAGGTTTAGGGCTAAGTGGGAGTTGATCTATTGAACCGAACCATGAGGGTCCATGTACCCATATAGAGATACATGAGCCTTAATGTAGTCCCTAAAAAGGGTACTTTGGGGCTCATGTATCTCTATATGGGTACATGGACCCTTAGGGGAAGTCACCAAGTGCAGTTCGGGCAACCTACGTAGCATCTAGGGCACCCACACTGCGCGGTCTCTAGCGCATGCATGGTGCGGCTGAGAGTTCAGCTTCTAAACATGCTGTACCCGTGCTCGTCGTAGTTCTCAAGACAGACGTCGTAGCTAACTTTCACAGAAGTCAAGCGTTTGTATGCTTCATAATGATACCCATCACGGCTATCAGGCACCGGTAGCTACAAATGCAGTGCCCAGCAAAATCAATATCTGGTGCACATGCCTAAACCTTTTTCTGAATGCAATGCCTCAACACCCTCAATCCCAAATCACAAGAACCGAAACGAACATCGTGCTGCGAACAGGGTCGCGGAAACTCCGCAGCCAGTCATTCAGTCCGAAGCACGTTCGTCTTGCTTACGACCTGCTTCGTCAAAGGCAGAGCCATGACAGTGCACAAAAACAGTGCCAAAGTCGGCGAAGGTCGGCACCGCAGGATGGGAAGCTTGATCTTTCTGTTGGGGGCTAAGGGGTTTGAAAGGATTGTGGGGTTAGCCGGCAAGAGTCTGCAGCTCCGTTGGACTGTCAGTCATCAGGATGGGGTTTGGGGGAAACTTCCAGCTGTTCGTGCCGAGACAGCGGCAGACGCAGGCTAATGGCGATGCACAGGTCTCAGGGTTTAGGGCTTAGGGCATAGGGTTTAGGGTTTAAGGCTTAGGGTTTCGCGGCTAGATGGGTTATGCACATGCTGCATCCCAACCCCTGCAACACCCTGCAACACGGGTTTTCAGAATGTTGCAGCATAGCCATGTGAGGAAGACTATGAGGCGGGGTTAGGAATACTTCATCTTCCTGAGCAACCCGACACCAGACAACCCAAACTAGCCCGTCAAAAGGACCGGAAATTCTCAGGTCGGTCCATGCACTCTTAGAGTAGTACTTTGGCCTTAGGGGTCCTAATAATTGGAATAGGGTTTTGGGGCCCGTTATAGTACAATTATCATGAGGAGCCCCAAAATCGTATTGACAATTTTTTAAGCCCCCGTGGTACCATGGACCCTTGGGGAGGTAGATAGGAAGGCTAAGCAACCATTCGTCCGACATGCACCTCAACTACCCTAGATATGTAAACTAAGGCTCAAAATAGCCCAAAACCTTTATAGAGTATGGTCTTTGGGCCCAAAAGCCTTAAAAATATGAGTCCTTAGAGCCTAGGGGTTACAATCCTGGGACTGGGGCTCGCAGGGCTTAGGGTTCGGGCAACCTTACAGAACCGTTGCCTGTCATCCGAATCATCATGACCGGGTCATGAAGGGTAGTTATAGATGCATCCGGACACCCCAGACCTGAAAGTGGCATTATGCTGTTCAAGGCAGCTACGATGGAAAGCATCGACACCCCGTGCCAGAGTCCTACACCGAAAACCTTCGCTCCCTGAGGCACATGCCCGTATCGTCTTTCTCCGCCATGCGACCGCCAGTCCTTGTTGAGGGTTTAGGGTCCCCAAACCCTAAACCGCGGTGATGCTTTGGACTTGCAGTGGTTGTGGATTGTACAGTCTAGGACTTCGGCGAGAACGCCGAGAGCGTCCACTGCGAGGTGGGTGCTTCGACTTCGTTGATGGTGTCGGGTGATGATGTGTCTGATGTGCGTGATCTGTCGATTGCGCAAGTGATTGAATGTTGGTCTGACCCAGGGTACTCATAATGATGATGATGATGGTGATAATGGTGATGATCATAATGAAGATTCTGGTGAAAAAGAAGAAGATGATGATAGTCATCATTTCGGTTATGGCGCTGGCCTGCGCAATGACGATGGCGATGTCGATGCTTCTTGATGATGCTGATGGTGACGACGATTGATTGTGACGATGATGATGGGGTTGTGATGATGACGATGATGATGATGACGATGATCATGATCATGAAGGGGGCCATGATGGCGAGCAGGACACCGACGCATGTGCTGAAGACGATGGGTAGGGGTGCCATATCTGTGATGCTGCCTGTTAAGGGTGACACGTTTGTTGCTGCCGATTGCTGTTGCTGGTGCTGGCGCTTTTTGTTTCTGCTGCTGTTGTTGATTGTGGTGCTGGCAGCAGTGGTGGTGGTGGTGGTGGTGGTGGTGGTGGTGGTGGTGGTGGTGGTGGTGGTGGTGGTGGTGGTGGTGGTGGTGGTGGTGGTGGTGGTGGTGGTGGTGGTGGTGGTGGTGGTGGTGGTGGGGGGGGTGGTGGGGGTGGGGGTGGCGGCAGTGGCGGCAGTGGCGGCAGTGGCGGCAGTGGCGGCAGTGGCGGCAGTGGCGGTGGTGGCGGTGGTGGCGGTGGTGGCGGTGGTGGCGGTGGTGGCGGTGGTGGTGGTGGTGGTGGTGGTGGCGGCGGTAGTGGTGACGGTGGCAGCCGTTGCTGTTGTTGCTGCTGCTGTTGCTGTGGCTAACTGCTGTCATTGTTTTGGTTGTGTGGTTGCCTGTGTTCGAGTTGAGTTGCTGCGGTTTGGATTGATGATGCCTCCTTGCTTCCCATAGCTTGACACCCGCATCCGTTTCCTAAGTCCTAAATCTGAGCTTGCAGCCATGCGCTGGTTCCTCCATCAGCCTTGTCCTGGCATTCAGAGTTTAGCATGTTTTTGCTTAACGGTTCCTCCACATAAACAGAGTATATAGTATACCAACATACTCATCAAAACCTATCAGTGAATTGGGGCTTGGGGTTCCAGGGTTTGCCCGAAACCCTAAAACCCGAGGGCTTAAGGTTTACGGCTTGAAATTCAGGAGCTTTCAGGAGCTTCCAGCCTTGGTTGTTCGGGGTAGGGGGGTGCATGTTAGATGTTAGGATTCAGGGCGTAGGGTTTGACGGCACAGGATCTGAGAAACTGCGTCAGAAGCTAAGAACACTACAACCCTGATTCCACCCAGTCATAAACCCTAAACCCTCAACTGGAACTCCTAAACCCTGATTCAATGCCCTCAACTGCAAAAGCCAAACCCCAAACTCTAAAATCCCGAACCCGCAACTTCCAGCCTTTATTCTGGAACCTCTTCAGCCACACTGAAAGCTGTGCGGCCCGGTTTCGCTCCCTGCAACCTGCAACCTACCAACTTAACTCCGAAATCAATCTCTAAACCCCTGCACCCTGAAATCCCTAAACCCTGAAACCCCTAAAGCCTTAACCCTAAACCTTCGAGCTTCAGAGTCCAGCCTCTTTCTTTTGGAGGTCGGTGACCTTCTGAACCACCTGCATGGTTTAGGGTTTAGTGCTTATGGGCTTCGGGTTTGGGGTTTAGGGCTGCGGCCGCAGAAATACTTAGGCTTCGAGTGCGAATCTCTAGAGTGCTAGGGGTTAGAGCTGGGACTGCTACTGCAACTGCTACTGTTTCTGCGGCTACTACTCCTAGTACTACTACGGCGACGACTATGACGACGACTATGACAAACCTACACCCTAAACCCTGAACCCCAACCCTAAACCCCATTCCCTAAACCCGAAATCCTATGTAAACCCGAAGCTCTAAACTCCAAACCCTGTACTCGGAAGCCTAAACTGAACCCTCAAACTTCCAAACCCTAAACCCGCATCCCGGAACTAAAAATCCCTAAAACACCTCCCCACAACTCCCCCGCCTTGTCGAGGAGGTGGATCTCGGGGTTGAAGTTCGCCTCCTTCCAAGTCCCATCCTCGTTTTCCTGGAGATGGTATAGGATCCTTAAGGGGGGGTGGTTCAAGGGGGGAGGGTACTAGGGAGCTTTGGGGAACCTTAGGGAAGCTTAGGGAGTATTGGGGAATAATGGGGATTACTAGGTTACCTACCCCCCTTGGACCACCCCCCCTTAAGGACATCCTAAAGATGGTACTGCAACGTAGTGTGGTATAGTATATAGTGTACACGAGTATGGTCTAATCTGGTATCATATGATTGTTATTATTACAATCAGTAGTAGTAGGATATGGTATAACCTGGCATCTTATAGTATAGTATAGTATAGTAAAGAGTGATATGCGTTCACACAAGGGCTTGATACCGGTTCGGGGTTCAGGGTGAGTCTTCTCAGGGTCTTAGAGGGTTTCCATAAGGGCTTTGGAATAGTCTAATCAGGATCTCAGGGGCTGTAGTAGGCGTTTATGTTTCATGAAGGTCTTTTAATGTTTTGGGCTGTGTTCTAGGTTCGGCTTGCGGGTTAAGTAGAGTGAGGGTTTTTGCATATCGGGGAGATGCGTATCCGAGTAATGCTAAACGTTCAGAAAGTTGCTCATCATGTCGCATACGTCGACGGTCATACCTTTGCCACTCGCGAATCTTACCTTCCGTCTCCGCATTACCACCCATGGCCTAAGCTTTTCAACGCAGCATAACCGTGATGTCGCACAGCGATTGCAGAAATTGTTTCCATGATACCCGCCATGAGAAGGAATGAACCCATCATAACCCCCGCATCCTATGCTTGCACAACAGCTGCTGATTAGCCATGACGACCCCCAGAACCCTAGTCCAGAACAGCCATTTCAAGTCTGAAGCGAGTTCACAACCCAGCTTGGGGAGTATGATGTTGGGTTTGAACGGAAAGATCACAGCTAGCATGCCCAGCACCCGACCTCGTTGGCACTTTCGTTGTCTTGCTCTTCCCCTCGATAGCTGTTGGGCTTGCAAGCTTCAGGCCCACGTTTGACAAGTACACAGAGGCTGCATGTACCTATATCGTCTACACTTAGGCCTGAAAGTCGTTCCTGTGAAGGCAGTTCAGGGCCTAGGTACATGGACCACTAGGGGTAGGGCTGAGGGTTCAAACGTGTTGTTGGGGTAAAGGTTGTGGCTTGCTAAATCAAATCTGCAGTGCCCGATACGGCACCCAAAAGCCACATGCTCCACCGTGAAAACCTGAAGCCCCACACCCCCTGAAGCCCTAAACCCTGTAACCCGATACATAGAAAAACTGAACCCCCCACTTTTTGACATCCCAGAAGCACACAATAGATCAAGATCGCAATATGCCATACATCCGCCGTGTGACATTAAGACGCCTGCCGTCGCGTCGTGATTTGCACCGGACGTGTGCTTCACACCATAGGACCATTCGAGAGTTTGTGGCCCAAAACCAGCCCAGGGATGCGAGGGAACAGGACTTGTACTATAGGGGCCTTGATTCGATTATTCGAAAAGCCCGGGCGGTCGGAGGTTCCTGTACGGATTCCCTCTATTCCTCACCTCTTAATATTAAGGCATCTGTAGCAATTTGTCCTGGCCCGGCAACAGGCCCCAGAACACTCATCCCGGCCAACACGTTCCTTGAACCAGCTACAACACGAGGCGATAGTCACATCGCGATGAGACTTAATATGCTCACACCACGAAAAACACCAGGAATTTCAAGCTTGCTAACCTCCCTCTGACAAATCCAAGCACATTTTCAGATGCTAGCACAGCTTCTCAATTCCGCTGCCATCAACCAGGTTT